TACGCAGAAGCTCTAAAAAAATTAGAAAAAAAAGTTGAAACAATCAAAGCCCCTGAGGATCACGGAATAGAGCTTACCTTAATGGAGCTTAAGGAGAGGGAACACCGGGCCACAAATATCTTATTGTTTGGGTTTGATGAGCCGGCAGGAAATGATCCCCAAGACAATGCTAAAAAAGATAAGGAAACTGTTGCAGGCATATTTTCCAGACTAAACCTAGTTCTGTCAGACACCTCCAAGGTTTTTAGGCTTGGCACTAGGGAGCAAAACAAAAGAAGACCTTTAAAAGTAGTACTTACGACAAAAACTGAAGCCATAAATGCCCTTAAATGCAAAAGAAAGTTGGAAGAAAACTTTCCTGGCAAGTATATGAAAAACGACCAAACAGAAAACCAAAGAAAGTACTTGAAACAAGTTCTCGCCGAGCTTGAAAAACAAAAAAGTGAAGGAAAAACAAACATTATCATCAAGTATGTCAAAGGCATTCCAACGATACTTGAAAATCCCTCAAAAAACTAAACAACAGCCAAGTAATTGAGATCTCCTTTTGGTACAGCAATCTTAGCTCAATCGTAAACAAAATAGACGAGTGGAAAGCTAGAGTATCTGCAACAAGCCCAACTATTATTATGTTGTCAGAGACCTGGCTTAGTACAGATATAGATACTGCAATTCTAAGCCTAGATGGTTACAACATCTACCGTAAAGATCGACAAAATCAAAGAGGAGGAGGGGTTTGTATTTGTATAAAGAGCCAGGTCGATGGACACAGCCTGATCTGTAGTACTTCTCAAGATTTTAATACGACCAATCCTGTTGATGGGCTTGGGCTGGATATACAAATAGATAAAATGAAGATTCATGTTGCATGTATTTACAGGCCAGGAAACACAACCAGTGAGGAAGCCAACACTCAAATGATTGCTGCTATCAAAGAAAGCTATTCAAAAAAGAATCCAACATTTATTTTAGGAGATTTCAATTACCCAAATATAAACTGGGACAATTTAACAGTTTCCCCACCAGATAAAAAGACCCAAGACTTTATGGACATGTATCAAGAAACAAATGCACATCAAATTATAAATTTTTCTACAAGGTACAGAAACGATCAGAGCTCTTTATTGGATCTATTTCTATGCAACGATCGTAAAAGTATTTTTGACTTAAAGCCAGAGGCGCCAGTTGGACGCAGTGACCACATCATTATCACTGCTAAATATCAACTAAAAATTCCTCCCAAACCAACAAAAACCATACTAAGGAGAAACTTTTACACGCCAAACTATGATCAAATAAACAGTTTTATCACCCAGCAAACTGTATGGGAAGAAGATACCAAGTTTGGAAGTTTCAACAAAAATGTGATGGAGGCTATAGAGCAGTATATACCAGTTAAGTCGGTTAAAATAAATCACCAGAAACCATGGATAAATCAACATTTGTTTGGAGAAATAAATAGAAAACGCAAATTATGGGATAAATACAGAAGTAACAGAACAATTGAAAATTATCAAGTATATACTGCTCAAAATAACAGACTGAAACAAAAGCTTACTCAAGCCAGAACAAAATTTGAACATGGACTGGTTAAAGATAAATCACAAAAGAAGATCTTTAAATACATCAGCAAAAACTTAAATTCAAAAGTGACAACTATATCTCTGAAAGATTTAACTACGCTTGAAGTGCTAGACAACGAAACCACAGCCAAGACCTTTGCAGAACAATTTAACAAAGCCTTTTCACAGGAAACCTTTGCAATGCCACCACTCCCTGTTTGCACTAGAGCCCAAAACTCAATTGATACAATGCACTTTACCGAGGAAAAAGTGAGTGGCGCATTAAAGAGAATGAAAACAGACTCAAGCCCAGGACCAGACAACATACCAACGATCTTCCTAAAAAATTGCAGCAATTCATTAAGCTCACATCTGGCAGAAGTGATGAATGAATGTATGGAAACCGGTGCTATCCCTAAGGAGTGGAAACAATCAATAGTAACACCAATTTTTAAAAAAGGAGATAGGCACAAACCAGAAAATTATCGTCCAGTCAGCTTAACATGTAACCCACTGAAGTGCATGGAAAAAATCATTGTTGAGGAACTAACAGCCTTTTTCCAAACTAATGATCTTATTCCCACATCCCAACATGGTTTTCTTCCAAGGCGCTCCACAACCACAAATTTGCTAGAATGCCTAGACGATTGGACAGCAAACCACGATAAATCGCAGCCTACTGATGTGGTGTATCTTGACTATGAAAAGGCGTTTGACAAAGTCCCACATAACTTACTTATTGGCAAATTAGAGCACTTTGGAGTACGAGGACAGCTGCTAACGTTAATAGCAGATTCACTTAATGAAAGACACTACAAAGTCAGAGCTAATGGAGTATTGTCCAACCGGCATCCAGTGAGCAGCGGAGTTGTCCAGGGCTCGGTCCTGGGACCTTTACTCTTTACTGTTTACCTCTTCGATTTGGTTGACATCATACAGTGTCCAATGAAAAACTTTGCAGACGATGGAAAACTGTACATTAATCCACTTATTGGTGCCCATTTACTTAAAACAGACCTAGAAAATATTGAAAGCTGGTCCAGAACATGGGGGATGAAGCTAAACGCATCAAAATGTACAGTGCTTCGAATTGGGCCAAACAATCCAAACACACAGTATACTCTTAATAACACGACCCTCACATCAGTGAAAGAACAGAATGATCTAGGAGTCATTATAACATCTGATCTGAAATGGGAGACACATATAAAGAAAATAACGAAAAAAGCAAACTCTTTTGTATATCTCATAAAGCACGCTTTTAGGGACCATTCAGTGGAAATGATAACGAAGCTGTACAAAAGTTACATAAGGCCAAAAGTTGAATATGCATTTACTGTGTGGAATCCCTATTATATAAAGGACATTGAACTCCTAGAAAGGGTTCAGAGAAGAGTTACAAAAATTCCTCTAGAACTTAGGTCCTTACCATATACAGAAAGGTTAGAAAGGCTCAATCTTACAACCCTTAGAGATAGGAGACACAGGGGAGATCTAATAGAGACGTTTAAAATAACTAACGGCCACTATCAGTGCAATATTAAAAACCTTTTTCATCCAAGTCAAAATAACCAGCTTAGAGGCCATTCTAAAAAGCTAGAGAAAGAAAAGACATCGAAAATGGTAAGAAGAAACTTCTTAGTGAATCGTGTTGTGTACTCCTGGAACGCTCTACAGGAAGAAACAATTTCCGTCGTTTCTATCAATGCATTTAAGAACAAAGTGGACTCTGAATTGAAACAGGACTTTAATAGGATGGTTCATTATGGTGTATAAACAGAAACAAACTCTCATATCAAAAGACACAATAGCTTCATCGGTTTCACCGCCTGCTATTGGTTAATTATAGAATTATAGAATTATAGAATTATGATTGTAGATAAAATAAGGTAAAATCTGTTTTTTTTTTAAAGATAAAAGTCAAAATGACATTATGTTGGCAATACAATGTAAAATTGTCAATGCTTTCAAATTTTATATGTAGAAAAGGCTTGTGTTGCCAACATAGTTACTAAATTTTTGACTTGGGGAATTATCTTTAAATAAAAAACAAACTTTATAATAGGTATGGTAATTAGGCTATTACCGCCCTTAGAGATTGCAAATTTCTCTCGCGTGCGGTAATTACCTAATTACCACACCTATTAACTATATTAAGTGCCGGTACTTTTGCTCTCATTTGACTGCCATTAAAAATAATCAGAGGTTTGAATGTGCGTTCTCACCACATCATACTTATAGACCTTGGCCCATGCAAAACTTTGACAACGTATCAAATTCGTTAATCGAGAGCAAAAGTATCGGCCCTAAATAATGTAATATTACCATTTCACCTAGATTTTTTTCATACGAAGTCGTCAATTTTTACGTTCAGTACATAAACATAATCTTTTCCTATCAAAAATTTCTGAAGTTGTACCAAAGGTTTTACCCAGTTTATTTTCAAAACACAAAAGGCAATGCAAAAACTCTTCGATGGCACGGAATGGTCAAAACAATTATTGAGATAAGAATAAATCAAATCAAATCAAAAAATACTTTATTGTCCAAGAAAATCAAATTTCTGTTGACAAAGCATGATATTATACATTCCCGGGATGTTGTCGAAGCGCCGGCCAGGGGTTGGCGGGGCAGTTCTCAGTGTTGCCATGCCATAGAATATGTAGTTGCGATTGCATGAATTGATCCGAAATAATACATTTTCTGTTTTTTTATGTTTAACAAGAATGTACGTGTTTAACAAAAAAATTATATTGGTAAAAAATGTTAGTATTTTAACATAAAAATGTGAGAAGTATTTTATATTCCAATCTTTTTTTTTTGAGAGGCGAGATAATTTTTAGAATTACTTTTTTCTATAAAAAATTACTTTTCATTCTTCTGTGATTCATCATCTATCATCCCACCAAATTTCATTGATTTTGATCCAATATGTTAGACATAAATCAAAAAATAGTTTAACCCATCGCACAGAGGTACTCAGGCCTCTTAATTAAAATTTTCAATGAAGACACCCATATGATATTACAAATTAATGCTGACAATAAATAGTGGCAACACTGTTAAATTGCCATTTAGACAATACACTGAAAAGAAAATAATTTCAACTGTCCATTGTTTCTTTTATTCTTTCACAGGCTGAAAGTAAGGAATGGAAATACACTCAGTGCACATTAAATCAAATGCAAACACACAAAATATTACAAATAAATGCTGACAATAAATAGTGGCAACACTGTCAAATTGCCATTTAGACAGTTCTCTTTGTTTTTGTCAAAAAAAAATGACTTTTGTTGTCTTATCCCAAACGTAAGTGCTGATGTTTAAATTAAAACCTCAATTGCGAAATTCTATCACAAATTAAATTAATTAAAGAGATAAGACAATAATTATCAACTATTGGTCAATATGGACAAATTATTCAAATAAAAATCAAACCTGAGAAAATATCAATTCCGACCAAGTGAACTTTGGCGTGTCCGTGCTTGCCGGTCTTGGACGTGGACATTTCGACGATTTTGCAGGGCCTCGCTTTCAGCATGACGAAACCGTTTTTACGTAGGGCCGAACATTGCATGGGATAGGTGGCAGAGGCGCCAGAGTCTCCGGTCTCGAAGTGGGTTTCTTCAATGTCTGCCATAATTTGTTTTCGAGAATACGACCCTTAAAAACTGCAAAAGAACGATATTAGTTTAAAGGGGGCTTTAGTAGTGTACACGCGGCAAAAAAATACATGTGGCTCTAAAACAGACGCCTCAAAAAAAAATTGTATTTGGCATTTTGGTTTTAAACAATGGGGCCTTTATGAATCAATCAATTAATATTACTAATACATTGGGGCAATCAACTAGCAAGCAATTGATAATTATTTAATTAAATTTCCTCAATAAAAACCCAAAAAATATGCATATGAAAATCATGGCGTGACAGCTGCAAACCTGTCAAACTTTTGAATTGCAAAAAATAAGGTTTTACACAAAATCTGGACACGGTGCAATTTCCTCGGGAAAATTCAAGGATTTTCTCCGTACAATTCGCGCAACACTGACCTTTTGCCGCCCGTATATTTTCGATAAATTGAAGAAAAAGTGCCGTACTCACATGTGATCAAGATGGAAACTAATCCGAAAAAGAACGAGCACGCAAGCGCTCTTTTTTGACGAAGAATTGACGTATAGGTACGATGCTAGCGCCACCATAGAAAAAATGGCGCTAAACTTGAAAATTAATTAACAACAATCAATATTATTTATAATAAATGATTAATTAACTTGTAATTATTATTAGTAATTTAATAGTAAAAAAATAACTAATAATAACAGCCATTTGATTAATAAATTATAATTACTTTGATTAAGGATTTAATAAAATTACAGTTTTCTTTTTTTCAATAGCAACAAGTCTGACGAGTGAAGTTAGCTGCATTATTTTATAAAAATGTTTTATTTGGGTAATTTCTAGTTAATTAATTAATTCAATAAAACAAAATTACTATATTAATTATAAATTTATTTAATTAATAATTATTATTAATAAAAACAGTGTTTTTTCAATTGATTGACACAAATGGTAAATTACAACTTGGCAACGTTGCATTTTAGACTGACAAAATGTTTGCCTCCATATTTTGAATTTCAAATATTTCGGGCTCCCAAGATAATTCAAGATCTATTTTCAACAATGGTAAGTAATTTCCTTTATATTTTGAATATTTATAAGTAAATTAGTGTTTTAAGCAAGTATGTATTACATTTGAGGCCTGAAGGTCTCGCAGCACCAATTTGGAATTCAAAGTTTCAATAGGGATTTCTCAAAATCTTATAAAATTCTTCCAAATTTGATTATTTTGGGCCCCTTGGGGCATTCTACAAGTTCTTGAGCAGATAAATTTGATTGCATATTATTTTTTTGAATTAGTTTTAGCTTTTTCACAAATCACAATATACAGGGTGTCGCCAGGAATAACTTCAAGTAGGTAGATTGGGATTTTGGGAACCATTGAAAATACTGGGTGTGCTTACAAATAATCTATATCTTCAGCTTATTTGAACCTTCAAAAAAAAAAATGTCTGCCTGCATGATAATCGTATTGCAGGCCCTGAGCTGAAGTCAAAATTGATAATATTCCAGACTCTTAAGGTTTCTGGATATCAAGAATATTCTCAACTTTGCTTCTAGGCTCATTATCCACTGCTTTGGAACCTATTCATATGAACTTCTCACATAAAAAATCCAAATGGGCTTTAGATCAGGCCTGTAAAGTGGCTATTTCATGAATAAAACAACACAGAATTCTTCAAATTTGTTAAATTATAATTTATTATTGGTCATTTGGTATTACCAATCAAAATCAATTTTACTAAATATGTTGTGGAATTTGATCTCAAATACCAAACATCACAAGAAACTGGTCTAAATGTAAAAATTTATCTAACTAACTAAGTCCTTGCTTAATCCTAAAATCAAGTAACTGGTTTTGGTAAAGCTATAGAGAGACAAAATTTCCTAGACAAAACAAATTATCATACAGCTATTCCAGTATCAAGCCCCATAAACTGTTTGCACAACTCGTAAGTAGAAAACGAAGTGGCAACCATAGGAATAGCCCTCATATAATTAATAGACATGCCCCTGTAAAGCCCCTTAATCACACCATTATCTTTATAAATGTGCCTCAAAGTTTTAAACATCCCTTGAGCAAAGTGCTGCGTTTCCGGTTTCATCATTGCCAGTTGCATTCTTCTCCTTGTAACATCCAAAGGATAACTAAAGCTTTGGGCAATAGCCCCTGCCAAACCTCCACAAAGCAATTTAGCTGGAACAGTCAAGACTACGCCTCCTGTATTTTTCTGGCAAGGCTTTGTAGTCCATACAGGCAAATATTTGATACAACCATACTTAAGGTATTCAAAACAGTAAAACGATAGGCCTGCGTAAGGTACCATGCCCATTAAAGTAGGAGTAAAGCCTCTATAAAGTGCCTTAAATCCACCTTCTTCTTTGAAAATTGATGTGGCCGTATGGATGATGCCTGAGTAAACGTGTTCACCACTAATCTGGAACGCTAATCGAGCTCGAATTGTATCTAGGGGATAAGTTAGAAAGACGGCAGTGACTCCTGCAGCAGCTCCAGCTACAAATTTATCAATGTGGGACTTTTCGCCAAAAATACCGTCCAGGTATTTTTTGTAAATTTCAAAGGCAGTAAATTGGGAGGCGGCGTAAGGAAATATTCGTACCATTTGAGCTCCATTACCCTAAAATTACATTTTTAAATAAGTATACTATAGGTGCTATAGGACCAGTTTCAGAATTTATTTGTTTATCTACAGGGTGTTACAAGCTGGTGAATAAAATATAATTTTATCAAAAGATGTCGGTGTAAGTCCAGTCATTTCAATTGAGTTGATCCACATTAATTTATAACCAATCAAATGTTTTTTTGAAAATAGAAAAAAAAATAAAATGGCACGTCACTGTATATTTTATACCAGCAATTCATTGAGGTGCCATTTTTTTTTTGCTACACCCTGTATTATTCTTAAATAGCAATAAACATTTTACCAGGGTGATTCAAAATTTAATAAAAATTAACCTTGTATAGTGCTAAAGGTCCTTCTTGACTCAAGATCCTTTTAAATCCGCCAACGACTCCGTGATTTGCGTGATGGTGGTTGTGGGCTTGCAATAGGATTTTTACACGGTCCAATGGGGCCACTGTTGTTTTCGATACCATTCCAGCAATACCTATAATTATTAATTGTAATTTTAATTATGATTTTTTAATTACTTACCTCCGCTTGCTAAATTTTTACATATTGTTAAGACCTGTTGGGGCCCCGAGTCGCTTTGCAAACTCGACATTTTTTAAATAATTAAAGAGACCCAATTGTATGGTGAATGCATTGAATAACTTTCACTCGAATGCCATCCCAAATGGGGGGGTACCTGAATATTATTTGTTGTTGCTTAATACTTAATAGTGAAATTTCTCTCAAAAATTAATATTTTAATAATAAAAATTACGTCGTTATTGTTATAAAATGGAAATCTCTAATTTTGCTTACTCGTTTGGTAATGAAACAATATATATTTTCATAGTTTGAATTAACTGAAATACGATATGGAAATTGTTATTTTCTTCATTCCAATATTGATATTTTTTATAATAATTCAAAGTTCAATATTTTATTTTTGGCAATATTTTGGCATTGATTTGTGTATTAGTTATGTGAGGTTATTATTTCATGTGTGAATTCGAAATAATTACAATAATTAAGGGTTTTCAATTAGTAATTTATTCATATATAATAATTGTTTAAACAAAATATTATTAACATGGTATCGAATTCAAAAACAAAATTTGAATTTTTAAATTTACCGCGGTTTTTTTTTAATTTTGAATGTCACTTGGGATGTAATTTTGAAATTGCTCAAGGATATTACAGAGAAAAGGATAAATCACTTTCTTATTACTGTATTTTTTTTAATTATAAAATTATAGGTGGCATTGAAATGTTGCCAAATGCCTAGATTGTAGTAGAAATGCATTAAATGATTAGATTTGATGGAAATTGTGATTATTTTTACTCATTTTCTACCTAATTTTTAAATTCTTTAATGGGTCTTATAGTGACGTCAACTTCTCGCATCATAGATGGCCTTGGAAAGTTTCCAAGTGCCTGGAATAACTAAATAATTTTTGTATTTGAATCGAAAATCACTCATTAATGAGTCGTTTAAGTAGGATTTTAATCAAAAAATTCATTGAACAGTTTATTGATGAGTAAAGGCGGGTTTACCGCATCGCTCCTGCCACGCTGCAAGTAAAGGCCGGTTAAAATTTTGTTACCTACAAGTATTTTGTGTCAACAGATCCGTTTTCAATTCTACAACTAAGCACTGACACTACTACATACTAATCAAAGTGTAAACCGACCTTAAATGGCTGCGGAAAGGCGGAACTCGCTGCGCTCGTCCCGCAGTGGTTCGAGAGTGAGTAGAACTCATTGTAAAACTGACATGTGAGTAGATCATTTTTGATTCGGTCTGCCAGTGACGTCATCACCAATACGTGGCCATGAAAAATTTCCAAATGCCTCGAATAATCACATTTGAATCGAAAATTGAAAAGTTTAGAAGAAGTTTCACTCATCAATAAGTACGAATTACATAGTAAATGGTTCCAGAACAGGAATCGAAACCTGGGAACGCGAACTTATAGTTCTTGTTAAAACCCTAGAACCAGTGGTGCTAGTTCAGGATCGATCCGGAACCGATTTTAGTTAAACCAAGGACAAAAAAATGTGCTTCCGTTCGGTATTTTGCCGCAGAGCGTACTAAAGCGGAGCCGTAATCACGTGACACACAGAGCAGTTAAAAAAAGTATCAGAACTCAAGGTTCCTAAAGTTAACAGGTTGTCTGGTAATGGGTAACTTGATGACGCATTTAGATTGCCTTATGGAGATTTGCATTATGTTCAGGCATACAGATGACGTCATAAAAGTTATCAGGCAACCTACCTTTCTCAAACAACCTTGATCAGAACTCTTGAAATTTCAATAAAGGAACGCGAATGAGCCTGCACCGAGCACACTTTTTAAATAAACAAACAATAAACTCTCCAGAACAGGAATCGAAACCTGGGAACTGGTAACTTTTCACTACCACTAACTGTGAATATTCATCGGGAATGCTGGTTGGAGCACTTGGATATAAAAAATTAGTTTTTTTTTTTTTGGGAATTACTCCAAATGACTCCGTTAATACGTCTAGTTCCGGAGCGTCTGACTCTTAAAAACAACTCTAAAGTGATCCGAAATCCAGTTCAGTATGTTCATTTAGGTCTGGTTGTACCAGAATTAGGTATACGTTTGGAGTAACTCCTAAAAAGAACGCGAACTTATTGTTTTTGTTAAAACTTTATAACCCGTAAAACTAGTTCAAGATCTATCTGGAACCGATTTCTGTTAAACTAAGGACAAAGAACTGTAACTACAAATTTAAATTTAAGTAGTGATCCACAATTTTGAGCAGGATAATACCGAACCAGCTCTAAAGCTTCTCGGATCACATAACGAACTCACTCCGACTCAGTTTCAAAATTATTAAAACACATGCCTACTGGAACTAGTTAGAAATTTTATTTTATTCCGAACAATGTCGGGACACACAAATGAAACTCTGAACCATTTAAAATTTGGAAGCATAAAATTGCACTTTTTAATACTCGAACCAGAAGAATTGGTTCAAAATCGATTCGGAATTGGTTCCAATGACAACATATCAACCCTACTCCGAACTAGTTTGGAACTTATTTAGGATAAAACCACATAGAACACATGCCTACTATAAACCAATTCGGAATTTTATTTTATTACACACAATTTCGAGACACCAAATTGAAACTCTAGCAGATGAAATTTGTAAATAATAGCTGCATAAAATTGCACTTATGATTCTCGAACTAGTAGAATTAGTTCAGAATCAATTCAGAACTGGTTCTAATTGAACCAAGGACAATATAACGAACTAGTTTGGAACTTTATTTATGGTAGAACACATGCCTATTACAAATAATCGGTTCGGAATTTTATTTTATTGCGAACAATTTCAAGACTCCAAATTGAAGTTCTGCACCAGTTAAAGTTTGCGAATGAGCTGCATAAAATTACACTTTTATTTCTTAAACCAGTAGAATTAGTTCAGAATCGATCCAGAACTGCTTCTGGTTGAACCATAAAGAACTTGTTCTGGAATTCAAATTAGTATTCCATGCTCTGATATAAAATTAGTTCAGAATAGTTCGAGACCTTCTCTCTAAATCCAGAACTTCTTACTCTTTAGCTATTTTGTAGAGCAACAAATCTTAATAGAGTATTCTTGAGACGGCTGATAAATTATGTTAAATAAAATTTGAATGAACAAGTTGGATCAAGCATCAAGATAAAACACAATACTGTTTTGTTATTGCATTGTGAATGACTCCGGAACAGAAATTGAAACCTAGAAAAAGTGTTCATTTTGGGAGTTACTCCTAGTCATTTCGGCTTAAGTGATTCATAAAGCTGTTATGTATTTAGTCCAGAGTCTCCAGAGTAACGTGCTTTAAAGATCCACCTTCTAAGTTCGGAGTTACTCTTATAAAGAACACGAATGTATGACACAGTCCTATTGAAACCGAACTGGTAGAGCATAGCAGCTCTGAAACCTTGCCTCGAACAAAGCTACTCGGATCACACAACAAACCTACTCCCAACCGGTTTAAAGTTTATTTAGGATAAACAAACATATTATGATTCTTGAACCAATAGAATCAGTTCGGAACAAGTTTAAGAACATTAGAAAAGGCGGCCGTACACGATGTGAGAAACTTCAAGCGTTAAATGTATTCGTGACTCAGAGGACATATAAAAATAGCATTCGAAACCTTCACATATCTGTGTCTTCACCCACGTGATTTCCCGAATCGTGTACAGCCACCTTTAGTTCAGAACAAGTTCTAGACTTCGGCTCAGAACAGCTCGAGAGCTTCACACTCCAGAACATCTTACTCTAGAGCAACAAACCTTAATAAATTATTCATGAGACAGATGTTAAATTATTGTTTATTTATTATTAAATATAATTTGAATAAAAATAAACCTAAAACAAATACAAGAGAGGTAATTAATTCTTTCTAATAAAACACAAAACAGTTCTAGGCTCTTTTTCTCAAAAAACAAAAACAAAAATGTTTCCAAACATATACACCTTACAACCAGCAAATTACTACACAAACGGTACCGAAACCGCTTATCAGCAACGGTACCAGCCCCAGAACCCACAAGAGCCCTATTCGTACATCACCCCCGAAGTCTCAGTCACATGCGAATCAGTTTTAACAGAACCTGAACCAGGGGTAAACAATTTATAAAAATTATATTTGTAAGGCCCATTTGATTCTTGTAGGGTTTGACAATGGACGAAAAACTCACAATCAAACAAGAACCCGATTTGGAAGAAGTAAAAGAACCCAAAACCAAATCCCAAACTTGTAACGTGTGCAATAAAACCCTAGCTTCGCCTTCCAGCTATTACGTTCACATGAAACAGCACTCGAATCATAAACCTTATTGCTGTACAACTTGTCAAGTTTCGTTTTGCAGAAAACCATATCTTGAAGCAAGTTTTAACAGGTTTATATGAATTTTTTCAAAAAAATCATTCTTTGTAGGTGCACATGAGGGTTCACACTGGTGAAAAACCCTACCAGTGTGAAGTGTGCCAGAAACGCTTCACCCAAAAATCCAGCCTCAATATTCACAAACGCGTCCACGCCGGACTGAGGCCGTACATTTGCAACACTTGCTGGAAAACTTTTACAGTCAAAAGCTACTTAACTTCCCATCAATTGACTCACATTTCAGATTCAGGCGTCAGTTGTCGCAAATGCGATTTGTCTTTTACTAATAAACATTTGTATTTGCAACATTTGGATAGTCACGTTAAAAAGGAGTATCAGTGTCAAGAGTGCGATAAGGCTTTCAGGAAGGAATCGCATTTGATTAGGCATAAGAGTAGGATTCATAAGTTGGTTGATAATAATAGTCTTGTTGATTAGAGGTTTGATAATAATAAAAATGTGTCTTTTGAGTCCTTGAAATAATCAAAATTATCTTTAATTTGGGCTTGATTATGTTTAAATCAGATTGAAATTGTCAAAGTTATTGTTATTTTGAAAAAAAAATCAAATTTGAAAAAAAAATCAAATTTCCAAAAAATTACTCTTGAGGCTCCGCAGCTTCGAAACTATTGAAGCTGCATTGAAATGATTCATTTGTAGAGGATTTAATTGGCTTTAATTCAAGCCTAATTACGCTAAAATCGGATTGAAATTAACAAAGTTGTGAGGCAAAATGGGTACCTATCAATGTTATTTTTGGAAAAATCAAATTTCCAAAAAATGACTTTGAGGCACCGCAGCTTCAAAACTATTGAAGATGTATTCAAATTATTCCTAAGACATTTGTAGAGAATTTAATTGGCTTCAATTTAAGCCTAATTACGTTGAGATCGGATTGAAATTAACAAAGTTATGAGGTAAAATGGGTATCAATGTCTTTTTCTTCAAATTGCGAGCCCACAGGGCCGGAGTCTTTTTAATCTCGAACAGGTTGCCTAATAACCGTTAGCATCGCCTGTACTGCACGTGATAAATAAATAGGTCGATGGTGACGTCATAAAAGTAGAATTCCACTTGTGGTGATCCCAGCTTTGGCTCGCAACTTGAAAATACCCCGGCCCTGCGGGCTCGCAATTTAAATAGACCCCATCCCTTTGGGCTCGTGAATTAATAAAACCCCGACCCTGCGGGCTCGCAATTTGAAAAAAAAATGTCATTGATACACATTTTACCTTATAGCTTTGTTAATTCTAATTCAATCTTAACGTAATTAGGCTTGAATTATTAATTAATGAAATGAAACCAAAATTAGTGATAAAAATGTGCGGTGTTGCCATATTTTTTTTTCAAATCGCGAGCCCGCAGGGCCGGAGTCTTTTCAATCCCGAGCCCGTAGGGCGAGGGTTTTTTTAATTACAAAACAGAATCGCGAGCCCGCAGGGCCGGGGTTTTTGTAAATCACAAGTCCGAAGGGTGAAAATGGGGGGAATATGGCAACACCGCTCATAACACAACAAACGTCAAAAAAATTGATGTTCAAAGTAGGCCTTGTTTTCTTTGACAGTTAACTCCAAAATAACGTCTTCTCAATATCATTTTTAAAAAAATCAAATTTCCAACAAAAAAAAATTACTTTGAGGCACCGCAGCTTCGAAATTATTGAAGCTGCATTGAAATAATTCAGTAGCCATTTGTAGAGAATTTAATTCCCTTTAATTTAAGCCTAATAACATGGAGATCGGGTTGAAATTACCAAAGTTGTAAGACAAAATAAGTGACAACGTCATTTTATTCAAATTTCAGCAATTTACGAGGACTTTCAAGACACACCCCATTAATAATCGCTTACTTAGTGCATCCTACTAATTAATATTGTTACAATTATTATTGAAATAAATAAATAAATACACGAAAAAAAAATCACGTTTTATTATTTTTTTACCATCTTACATTAAGTTTAATCAATAAAGAATTTGTAAAAAGAATGCACGAGACAAAAAAACAAAAATATTTCTAAAAAGTTACACAACAACAAAGCTAAACACAATAATTGGCATGTTCGCACAGCAATCACAAACCAGTCAGAAAACTAGTTTTGACTGGTTTGTGATTGCTGTGCGAACAAGCCTAATAATTCAGACTTGAAACTAAAAAAAAACATCTTTCTCTTATATACAAAAAAAATAAAATATTTCTTAAAAACTAAGATTTTTTCTTAACTTATGTTATTGTTACGATTGAGGGAACAATGAATAATTTCGCTAAGGCAACCGCCAAATTCTTCAATTATTTGTTTCACTGTCACTTCTTCCTCTTGCATTGTAGATTCAGCTTCGTCTGATATTGTCAAGATACATTGGCAAGTGGCCTCAACCACTTCTTCAGTCATAAATAATTTAACTGTTTGTTTCCTTGAAATTAAAACAAAAGTAATTTACGATTTTTATAAATAAAAATCCCTACCTTGAACCATTCCTTTTCGGTCTTAAAGGTGCAGGCAAATCACTTTCTTTATACAAAGGTGAAATTCTTCTATAAATTGTATCAGCCAATTCAGCGTCACTTATTGAAGACACTTTAGGTGACCTCAGCCTTCTTTCAAACCTCCTCTTTTCCACCCCATCTTCAACATTTTTACACCCAAAACACCTACAATTACTACTACAAGCAATTTTAGCCTCATAGCACTCACAATAATTCTTCAAACACCCAGACCTCTTACAATTGCACCCTTTGGTATGTTTCCTCAAAACAACATCTCCGGCCTCTTTAGCTTTACCAATTTTAGGCCTAAAAGCTATAGGATTGCGTTCCAGGCAACCCCTTATGGCCAAATTTCTAGTTTCTTCATTTTCCAGGTTGTTTTGGCAATTGACGCAATTGCACAAATAGCAAAATTCGCCGTTAGCGAAGCAATCGCAATATAGTTTCAGGCATTGGGATTTGGTGCAATTGCACGGTTTGCGGGGTCGTAGGGCGTTGGTTTGGGCTTCAGTTGAAGTTTCAGTGGTTGGCTGAGAAGTGGTTGTGGAGGTGGAAGGCGAAGTTTTTGTTGGTTCGGGATTGGTTTTGGTTGGGTTTGGGGAGTCGAGTTTTTTGGGATGAGGCGCGATTGGTTGGCGTTTTTGGGTTAAGGCGGGTATTGCCACTTTTTGGAGCTGGAATTTTCGATAATTTACAACCTGTGGGAATTTGAATTGTGGTTTTCTTACCTGTTGGTTGCCAGATAAAAATCCTGCTGGTACCAGTACGACTTGTTTGGTTGGATTAGTTGATGGATTGGCTATTAATTTAGTGGTGGTGGTACTTAAAACAGGCTGAAAAATGTTCAATTTTAGTAAAAAAAGGACAAAATCATTGAATATTTCAAGAATTATTTATTTATTCCAGGCTCTTGAATTTTCTTTTAAAGTAGATGTCAACCTTTATTTTATCTCGGCAGGACACACGAACGTTTATTAGTATATAATTACTTTCTTATTACTTCTTTGTGCAAATTGATTCTCCTTAATAAACGTCTTATTTATTATTTATTATTATCTATTTGCAAAATTTCAATCCAATCCTTCAAATATTTTCCTCAAAAAAAAAAAAATACGTCCCTCAATGTTGTTTTTTTGGAAATTTGAATGACATCATCTTACATTTTGCCTCACAATTTTGTTAATTTCAATTCGATTTCACAAAATTACGCTTGAATTGAAGCCAATTAAATCATCTACAAATGTCCAATGAATAATTTCGATGCGGCTTCAATAGTTTCAAAGTTGTGGTGTCTCAAAGTTTTTTTTTTTTGGAAATTTGATTTTTCTAAAAATGACATTGATACCCTTTTTGCCTCATAACTTTGTTAATTTCAATCCAATCTTTACGTTATTGGGCTTCAATTGAAGCCAATTAAATTCTCTACGAATGCCTAATGAATAATTCCAATGCAGCTTCAATAGTTTCAAAGCTACGGCGCCTCAAAGTAATTTTATGAAAATTTGATTTTTCTCAAAATGACATCAACTTACAATGCAATTAGGCTTAAATTAAATCCTCTACAATTCAAGAGCCTGGAATAGACAAAAAATTGACATATACCTTCACATCAGGCCCAGTTTTGCTATTAACCAAAGTAGAATTTGCCCCTTGCGTCGATGGAGCAGTCACAAATTTAACATACTGAATCTAAAATAATAATTTATAACAAAACAATTTGATTGCAAATAAACAAAATTTACTCCTTTTCCTGGCACATTAATTTGATGAATTTGCCCATTGGCAAGCCCTTGACTATTTGCAACTTGTATCAGTTGCCCAGCAGGTAAAACTTGATTTGTTCCAGAACTTTTCAAAATAATCTTTTGGGGTTTTTTCTGTTGAGTTACGGTACGAATAATTTTGCCTTGTTGTTGTTGCCCCAACGAAATCGTTTGCGGTACCAACTTGATGGTTTTCTGTTGAGGTTTATTGATAATAATTTGTTTGTTGGAACTTAAAAGGCCCATTGCTTGAGCTTGTTGGAGCGTTATGGTTTTTTGCGGGCCAGATTGGACCACTTTAACATTTTGCTGGTTGGATTTTTGTACCAACATGAATTGCTGTTTTGGTGGTGGAACGATTTTTTTCATTACTAGTTGTTTTGTTTGAGGTGGCATTGTTATCATTTTGCCGCTTTGTTTGTTAACAGTTATAGGGCGATAGTTGGATAAATTGATTTCTTGCCCTTGCGGGCTTATTAATTTTATGGTTTGGGATGCGCTGCCTCCTGGGAGTAGAAGTAAAGGTTGTCCATTGGAAGTTTTCAATGCAAATTGTTGTTGTACTTCTGGTTTTGGCGCTATATTAAGGAGTCTTAAAGGAGGTACACTTGAAGCGGGCTTTATTCGTTTTTCAGGCAATTTTTCTATGACTTCTTCAACTTGATCATCTGATTCTATTTCAATTGATTCAAACTCTTCTTCTTCTTCTTCAATTAAATCAATTACTTCTTCTTCTTCATAATCTTGGGATTCTGCTACAAAATCACTTTCTAAATGGAAAAAAAAATTGTGTTAATTCAAATAAATTGAATTAGTTTGATGGAACAAACCATCAATATCCATTTCAGTGCCGTCCAAGACCAATTCTTGTGGAATTTCGTCCAAGTTTTCAGTTTCATCGATCAACTGATGTGAAGAATTTGAATGATTTTCCGATAAAACTTGCTCCATAGACTCGTCTTCATCTATAGAAATAATATTTATGTAATTTACTGTTAGTTTTGCACCAAAAATCAAATTATATTTGAAAAAAAATTCAAATTTCCTGTCATATTTGAAAAATAAATTCAAAAAATGCACAGTGGGTCCAGTAAAGTGACGCTTTGTCTATTTGGCCCAAAAACCCTATCAAAAACCCAAAAACCATTTGAAGCTTAATTAAAAGGCGTAGTTTTTTACCTTCTGCTTGCAGGGACATTTTTTTCCTGATTAATATTTTACGGAAAATTTAAAAAATCACACAAACATTTCAATTTCAAAACACAAAAGTCAAACTTTTTGATTTTGCGTTTGACAATTGACTGACAAGCAGGGTTGCCAATTTGAGTGGCAACGGCATTAAAATCACCTGGCGCCATCTATGGATTTTGTAGTGTAAGTATGTATTATACTCTATTTGCACTATAAATCCAAACAGTCAGGGTGCTAATGGAGTAGTTAGAGTATAAGCTTTTGATGGAACATTTAAGGCAGACGCTCACTGGAGCGTAGCGTACGGAAGCGCGGCGTAGAGGACTTTTTATAATACATTGTTTTAAATGGGAGTCTGCCAATCGGTGCGCTTCTGACAAGTGAGCGTACTCCGGTTTAAAACAATGTATTTAAAAAAGTCCTCTCCGTCGCGCTGCCGTGGGCTGCGCTCCAGTGAGCGACAACCTTTAGAGTATAGTCTGTAAATACATACGGAGTCATTCGTAATAATCAATTTAGTTCATCTGTAACGTCTCGAATGCACTTTTTTATGAATCATTTTTGTTTATTTCAGTGCAACCGAATCTGATCTCTTTTGCTCTTAGTGCAAGTAGTTTTATTTTGGTGCGGCATTAAGTGTAATTTTGAACTCATTTTGTTCTGTACTTTTGGAATTATTTGTATTTTCGATAGGTACTTATTTGTCATATCGATAAGAATCTTGCTATTTTAAATGATAGAACATTCATATTTTGTCTTCAAGGCTCTTGAATAGAAAAAAAAAATTTGAGAGAAATTAGAAAAAAATTGGTAGATAAGAGGACATTAATGTTTTTTCTATTCCAGGCTCTTGAACTTTGGAAATATAAACGTAAGTAGTTACTCTATTTACTCTAAAAAGCTATACACGAATAGTTAGAGTGCACACGGAATACCTACTTGGAGTGCACGGAGTACTTATAACGCTTTCGATTTTTCCCTTAAAACTGTAGCCGATTGAGCAACCGAAACGGATTCACATGTTAGCCCTAAAATGGAGCGAGAAACAATAAACAATAAAGTACGGATATTGACTCGAGATCTTTGACATGACTGCCCGTTGTTCGGAATAAAATTGAACTTCGAACTGGTTCTGATTAATAGTAGGCATGTGTTCTATCCTAAATAAGATCCAGAGTGGCTCGGAGTAAGTTCGTTATGTTGTCTTTGGTTGAATTAGAACCAGTTCCGAATCGATTTTGAACTAATTCTTCTGATTCGAGAATCATAAGTGCAATTTTATGCAGTTTTTTGCAAACTTTTAACTGGTATAAGTTTTAATTTTGTGTCCCGACATTGTTCGGATTGAAATAAAACATCAATCCTTTCGCCAACTCTTTTCCTGATTTACATAAATGACCTCATAGATAAAACAGTAAATCCACTTTATTGCTTTGCAGACGATGGCAATGTAGTCTCCTCACTCATACCACCCACAGGTCTTACCGCACGTGAATTCCATCATCTTAGACTAACTCAAATATCGCAGATAAATAACGACCTGAAGATAATAGAGGACTGGGGTAACAAAAACCTTGTACAGTTCAACGCGCAGAAAACCCAAGCAGCTCTGTTTTCAAAAAAGACCAGCACCGGTGAGCCAAACATCATGCTATCTGGAAGTGCTGTCACATTACAGACTCAGTTGAACATCTTGGGGGTTACTGCAGAGACCAACATGTCTTGGCACAGTCACGTGGCAGATATTGCTAAAAGGGCCTCCCAAAAGCTGGGGGTGCTATTTCGTACAAGACATCTGTACACACCAAGCCAATTGCTGACACTCTACAAAGCCCAGATTCGACCAACTATGGAGTACTGCTCACATATATGGAGTGCAGCACCCAAACATACCTTAATGCTTTTGAATACCGTGCAAAAACGAGCTATCAAGCTGATCAATGACCCCGTACTTACTCGTAACTTGGATGGTCTCGAACATCGCAGATCTGTGGGCGATTTATCTCTCTTCTACAGGTACTATCACGGAAAATGCTCTGAAGAGTTGGCACGTATGATTCCACCGAGAGTAGCACCTACCAGGCGAACCCGTCAAACAGACGGTAACCATGAATTTACTGTCAAACTAGAGGTACCAAGAACCTCATTATATCAGAATTCATATCTCTGGAGAACAGCATCGCTGTGGAATAAACTCCCTGCGACGGTTTTCCCTGCAGGTTACAACCTGAACCGTTTCAAGACCAACATACACCGACATTTCCGCGCACTTGCCGCTTCTCGAGCGTGATAGGACATTTCCTTGCGAGTGCGCATATCCGTAAAAAAAAAAAAAAAACTGGTATTCTGGTTTAATAGTAGGCAAGTGTTCCATTCTGAAATAAGTTCCAAATTGGTTCCAAGTAGGTTCGTTATGTTGTTCTTGGTTTAATTAGCAATTTTATACATCTTATTTGTGAACTATTAACTGCTACAGAGTTTTAATCTTGTGTTCTGACATTGTTCGGGGTAAAATAAAACATCGAACTGGTTCTGGTTTATAGTAGGCAAGGTTCCATTCTAAAATAAGTTCCAAATTGGTTCAAAGTAGGTTTGTTATGTTGTCCTTGGTTTAATTAGAACCAGTTCTGGATCGATTCTGAATTAATTCTACTGGATCAAGAATCATAAGTGCAATTTAAGCAGCTTATTTGCCAACTTTTAACTGCTACAGAATTTGAATTTTGTGTCCCGACATTGTTCGGAATAAACAAAAAAAAAATAGAACTAGTTTTGGTTTATAGTAGGCATGTGTTCTATCCTAAATTGAGCTCCAAATTCATTCCTTATGTTGTCCTTGATACAATTAGAACCAGTTCCGGATCGTTTCTGAACTAATTGCATTGGTTCGAGAATCATAAGTGCAATTTTATGCAGCTTATTTGCAAACTTTCAACTGGTACATAGTTTTAATTTTGTAATCCGACATTGTTCCAAATAAAATAATTTTTTTTTTTTTTTTACGGATATGCGCACTCGCAAGGAAATGTCCTATCACGCTCGAGAAGCGGCAAGTGCGCGGAAATGTCGGTGTATGTTGGTCTTGAAACGGTTCAGGTTGTAACCTGCAGGGAAAACCGTCGCAGGGAGTTTACTAACTCCACAGCGATGCTGTTCTCCAGAGATATAAATTCTGATATAATGAGGTTCTTGGTGCCTCTAGTTTGACAGTAAATTCATGGTTACCGTCTGTTTGACAGGTTCGCCTGGTAGGCGCTACTCTCGGTGGAATCATACGTGTCAACTCTTCAGAGCATTTTCCGTGATAGTACCTGTAGAAGAGAGATAAATCGCCCACAGATCTGCGATGTTCGAGACCATCCAAGTTACGAGTAAGTGCGGGGTCATTGATCAGCTTGATAGCTCGTTTTTGCACGGTGTTCAAAAGCATTAAGGTATGTTTGGGTGCTGCACTCCATATATGTGAGCAGTACTCCATAGTTGGTCGAATCTGGGCTTTGTAGAGTGTCAGCAATTGGCTTGGTGTGTACAGATGTCTTGTACGAAATAGCACCCCCAGCTTTTGGGACGCCCTTTTAGGAATATCTGCCACGTGACTGTGCCAAGACATGTTGGTCTCTGCAGTAACCCCCAAGATGTTCAACTGACTCTGTAATGTGACAGCACTTCCAGATAGCATGATGTTTGGCTCACCGGTGCTGGTCTTTTTTGAAAACAGAGCTGCTTGGGTTTTCTGCGCGTTGAACTGTACAAGGTATCGAACTGGTTCTGTTTTATAGTAGGCATGTGTTCTCCTACTTTAAATAGGCTGGTTATGATGTCCTTGGTTCAATTAGAACCAGTTCCAGATTCCGAACTAAAGGCGGTTGTACACGTTGCGAGAAACCACGTGCGTTAAGGCCTTAAATGCAATTTTTATACGAGCTCCGAGTCACATTCAACGCACGTGGTTTCTTGCATCGTGTACAACCGTTCCTAATAATGTTCTAAAACTTGTTTCGAAGTGATTCTGAACTAATTCTCTTGGTTCGAGAATCATTAGGCATGTGTTCTATTTTAAATAAGTTCCAAACTGGTTCGGAGTAGGGTTGTTATGTTGTCTAATTAGAACCAGTTCCGATTTTGAACCAATTCTACTGGTTCGAGAATTAAAAATACAATTTTATGCTTCCAAATTTTAACTGGTTCAGAGTTTCACTTGACATTGTTCGGATTAAAAAAATTTCAAACTAGTTCTAGTAGGCATGTGTTCTAATAATTTTGAAACTGGTTCGGAGTGAGTTTTTTGTGTGATCCGAGAAACTTCAAGGCAAAGATTTAGAGTTGGTTCGGTATTATCCTGTTCAAAATTGGAGTAGATTCGTTATGTAATACGAGCAGTTTTGTTCGAGACAAGGATTCAGAGCTGCTATTTTCTACCCGGTTCGGTTTTAACAAAACTGTGCCGTAGATTTGTGTTCTTTGTAAGAGTTACTCTGAACGTAAAAGGTGACTCTTTAAAAGCACTGTATAAATAGAGCTTTATGAATCCCGAACTCCGCAACTATCCGTGCGTTCGGTATTTTGATCTGAGTTCTCCGAACTTGAATTTACCGTTCGTTTATTTAAAAAGTATACTCGGTGCAGGCTCATTCGCGTTCGTTTATTAAAATTTCTGGTATACTCTAATACAGCGTTCAACTGCTCTGTGCGCTCGCTGGTCACGTGATTCCAGCTCCGCTCATCACGCTCTGCTCTCTGAGCAAAATACCGAACGTAAGGTGAGTGTTCGAACTTATTCGGAGTAACTTCTAAAGCAAACACTTCTTCTAGGCTTCAATTTCTGTTCCGGAGTCATTCGCAATAACAAAGCAATATTGTGTTCTCTTGATGCTTCAAATAACTTGTTTATTTATTGGAATTTTATTTAATAATAAATAAACAATAATTTACCATAGCTGTCTCAAGAATAATTTATTAAGGTTTGCTGTTCTACAAAAAAGCTAGAGTAAGATGTTCTAGATTTTGGAATATAAAGTTTTCGAACTGTTTTAAACTAATATGTTATATTAGAGCATGAAACACTAATTTGAATTCCACCTACATAAGTTCCAAACATGTTCCAAACTAGTTCGGAATAGCGATTAAGAAACTTTTTACAATTTTCAACTAGTAGAGGGCTCCGAGCATTAAGTTCTAGTCCCGAAATCGTTCGCAATCAAAATTTTCAACTGGTTTACGTGTTCAATTGCGACTATCCTTAATAAATTCCGAGCTGGTTCGAAATAGATACTCTATGTGATCCGAGAAGCATCGAGGCAAGATCATTTTTTTTTTGCAATAGAATAAATAAATAAAAACGAGGTGGATGGTTGCTCTATTTACCCTACAAAGCAAATGGAATGGTTGGAGTACTAAGAGTGCGTAGAGTAAGTACAAAAGCCGTTGTTGGCGGCAAATTTAAAGACTTTCAATTAAGTATAGTTTTTCTAGTAACCAACTACGTTTAAGGGACTTGAAACAAACCAAAATTCACCAATAATCAATTTCAATTTCAACAATCGGTTACCTTTACAGGTGCCTGTCAAAAATTTGACCATGGACTTCAAGAAATATCGTATTTTTTGACTTTTTTCCGGAAACATGGACAACCCATGCAAGCCCAAAATCGACGAGAAACTCTACAATTGTCCGAAGCTTACGGAAACGAACATCAAAGGTGACGCGAGCGTTTTCGACTCTAACGAGTTGCAAAAGGTGGAGTGCGGCAAAGGGAATTTCTGGGGGAGCAAAACCGATTCGGAAGCGACAGGCAAAAATTTAAACGAAGATGGATCGGTAAGAACCCATAATTAATTTTTGAATTATAATTAAAATTGTTATTACCTGAAACTAACTATAAAATCTTGAATTTGTTATACAATTTTCAGAAATGTTTTTCCGTGCGTTTTGGCGCTTCATGAAATACCGCTAGCCGGGAGGTGAACAGTGTTGCCAGATTCTTTCTTGCTTCTTAATTATGTTTACTTCTTAACTTGATTATTTGAAAAAAAGTCTATTTATTTGGTTTTTTCTGATTTTTGAATTGATAAATAGGAATAAAAAATACAGCCAGTGACTCTTTATCTGAACCAGAATCTTCGGTTTTAAAAGTTGCTTATCTGAGACAAATTGAAAAACACGAGCAAAGAATCTGAAGCCAGGGCGACAAGGTTGTTTGATAGAGGTAAGTTTCCTGACGCCATTAAGGGTGCCTCAACATAATGCAAATCTCCAAGGCACATGACGTTATCAAGCAAAAATTCTACAGCTCTGGGTAGTTCTGACCGTTCTGACTCAAAAAAAGAAATCCACTCCGATTTATGAATTCCGAAAGTTAAATCTGGCAACGCAGCCCAAATACCTCCGTCTCTTTCCGCTTCAATTAAAAAATGTTGGCGTCTTTGTCTAGACCGAGTGTGGCCATATTCACCAGGCCGGGTGGTGCAATTTTTTTGTGTAGTAGTCAGACAATTTTCTTCGTCTTGTGGTGTAAGGTGTCCTTTTGTCGGTTTTTTTTGAGGTAATTTGAGGGTTCCTACCGTAATATTTTTACATTTTTGTCACTAGACGTTTTAGGTAAGTTGTTTTGTTTTATAACAGTTTTCAAGGCCTAGGTTGATAGAGCAGGGCCCCCAATAATTAGTTTGAATTTTTGCTTTTTTATTAAGGATTTTGTTAGCTCTAGAGTGTTCTATTTGAATTTACCGAGCAAAATTTCGAATCGCACAATTTTTGGTCGATTATGTAAGATTGTGTCATGATGGACACGATGGCAGCGGAAAATCGATTTTGTCTCATCAAAAACAGGCCAATAATTGATTTATTTTGTATTGTGAAAATAATAGATTTGTTTCCATTAGAATTAGAATAAAATTTTTGATTATTTACGGCTTATTTTCCTAGAAAAATTAGTTTTATCTTGGTTCGCCATGTTTTTCGTCTTGTGACCTTCTGGTTTAGTTAGTAGATGCGTTTCTCAACAGATGGCGCCTCCTGTCTTGTACCTCCATTTAGGGTCTTTATTAATTGCAAAAACTAACTTTTAGGCCCAATTTATTTATCTTTAGTAACTATCTGCAAGATAAATTTACCGTTCGTTTGGTTGGCAAACAACTGTCTGACCAATGGGATTACAGATTGCGTTTTTATCTATCAAATTGCAGCTTATCAGAAGGTGTTTTAACTGGCCCCTAATTTAACTCTAACTTTATTTACATACATACAGATGACCAACAAGTGTAAATCAAAGTTATTTGATAGAGGTATAGCTTTTATGATGTCATCTGAGGTACCCTAACATATGCCTATAAGGCACTACAGATGACGTCATCAAGTTACCCATTCTATTAACTTTAGAAACCTTTGGCGCAAATGTAGGCCTTTTCGGAAGTTTTGATCTGATTAACCCGATGACCAGCTTTTTTTTTGTGTTTCTTTTTTCATTAAACACGATTTGAAAAAGACAACGGATGATTTGGATAATTGGATTAGCGTTTTCAAAAAGGCCCTGTATGTAAATTATGATAACATGGAATAAGTAATTAAGATTCGGTTTATTCATCTTCAGATAAACTTGGTGGTGGATAATTATCTGCAAAACATACAAATTGCGTTTTTATCCATCAGATTGCATACCTGACAGTAAAGAAACTGGCCCTAAGAATTTATTATTAATTGTATACAGGGTGGAACAAAGTTACTAACATTTCGAGTTCTGGATCCTTATTCTTCAAACAAGATAGCAGCGTTCTGTCTTTCTCAATGATATATGCAAATAATAAGTAACAGAGACAGAACACTTGTTTTCCTGAGAACGCTGCTCCTCCTATTTCAAGAATAAGGACCCTGAAGATGAATAAATCAGGCTTTAAGCATAATTAAAAATGAGGTGATACTTTTTTGTATTATGCAATACTACAGTTTACTTTTAAAAAAATAATAATTGGCAAACCAATTCCTTGTTTCCTAAAACCTAATTATAGATTTGGCATGCTCTATTCAATCATAATTTAATGTTTCTAGCTACAAGTACAAAAAGTCGAAGTCATGGCTCCCCCACCGTACTCAGACTTGGGCAAACAAGCCAAAGACGTATTCGGCAAAGGTTACCACTTCGGTCTAGTCAAGTTGGACGTCAAAACCAAATCCACCTCGGGAGTGGAGTTCAGCACCAGCGGTTCGTCCAATCAAGAATCGGGCAAGGTTGCCGGTTCTTTGGAAACCAAGTACAAAGTCAAAGATTACGGTTTGACTTTTACTGAAAAATGGACGACTGATAATACGCTGAGTACTGAGTTGGCTGTACAAGATCAAGTTATACCCGGGTTGAAGTTGTCCACGGCTTTGAATTTCGCTCCTCAAACTGGGTAAGAATTTTCACACTTTTAACCGTCACAGCTTCGAAATTATCAAAGCTGCATTGAAATGGTTCATTGAACATTTAAAGATGATTTAATTGGTTTTAATTCAAGCCTAATTACATTAAGATCGGATTAAAATTAACAAAGTTGTGAGGCAAAATGGGTATCGATGTCATTTTAAAAAAATCAAATTTCCAAAAAATGACATTAAGGCATTTCAGCTTCGGAACTATTGAAGCTGTATTGAAATTAATCATTAGACATTTGTAGAGGATTCAAGTGGCTTTAATTCAAGCCTAATTAAGTTAAGATCAGATTGAAATTAAGAAAGTTATGAGGTGAAATGTGTATCAATGCCAACAGGTAAACCACCATCCCAGAATTTGTGCAAACAATTCCTCTGAGGGGAATTATTTACGCATAATTCCTCAAAATTCCTTCAAATTCCTCCAAATACCCCACCAGTGAAAGGCTCTTTTTCCCAAAATTTCAAATTTTTTCAGTGGAAAATAACAACATGAAGAATCTTAGAAATCAATTTACAATAACTGAAATACTAAAAAAAATACTGTCTCACACAATTCAAAGTTTTCCTGAAAAACTAGTGAAGGGAAAATTTTGAAACTGAATTAGTTGAAATTCAAAAAATACAGTCTCACACATTTCAAAGTTTTCTTGGAAAACTAGTGAAGAGATATTTTTGAAACTTTTTGCATGTAAAGAGGAAGGTAAGAAGCTTATTTTCCTGAAATTTCAAATTTTTCCAGTAGAAAATAACAACATGAGAAATATTGGAAATCAACGTACAATAACTGAATTAATTAAAAATATAGTCTCTTACATTTCAAAGTTTTCCTGGAAAACTAATGAAGGGAAAATTTTGAAACTTTTCGCATGTAAAAAGATTGGTGAGAAGCTCATTTTCCCAAGATTTCAAATTTTTTCAGTGAAAAATAACAACATGAACAATCTTGGAAATCAGCCTACAAAAACTTCGGACCTGTAAATCATGAACTGTAATTTTGGGAGAATTTCTTTAATGAAAATGAATGTCTAACGTTCAACACAAAACAAGATTTTTTTTTTCAATTTCCATTTATTAGTGTTTCTTATAATAAGAATGTGAACCTCATGACTTTACAATTTCCTTTAAATTTCTTATAAATTCCTCACAAATTCCTTGAAATTCCCTATACATTTCTCCGAATTCCCTATAAACTCCCCAAATTTTCATAAATTCCGAAGAGTTCCTTCAAATTCCTCATAAATTCTTCTAAATTCCCCACATTTTTGGCAAAGAATTCCTAGGTGGTTTGCCTATTGAAGTTGCATCGAAATGATTCATTCACTAATTTCCTTAAAGTCCAAACATCCTGTATAAAATTCTACATAGAAATATTTTACCATACCTAAAGTGAAAATTATGGGGCATTGAAGAATATCTCCAATTTGGACCACCCTTTATAGGGGGTTGTCATAAACCTCCTACATAGTTGCCACATTGTTTTAATTTCAGAAACTTGTAGCATTTCTGTATTTAAATTGACTCCAAGAATGGGTGATGAACCTCTTACAAAGTTGCCACATTGTGACTTAATTGACTAATTTTTTTTTTTTTTTTCCACAGACAAAAAACTGGCAACGTCAAGGCCGCCTTCGTCAACAAACAAATTGCAGTAAATGCGGATTCCGACTTTACAGCCGACGGTGGTCTTTTGCCCAATCTTACCGCATCAGCAGTGGTAGGCTACCAGGGATGGTTGGCCGGTTACCAAGCCGGTTTCGACGTCAACAACAAAAAGTTGACCAAAAGCAACTTCGCCTTGGGTTTCACTTCTGGAGATTTTACTCTTCACTCAAATGTGTAAGTTAAAATCAGTGTATAAAGAATACTTTTGTCAAGGTTGTTTGAGAAAATAGGATGCCTGATAACTTTCAATGACATTATCTCTGTCCCATTACCAGACAACCTATTTTTGGAGTTTTTTTTCCTATATATAGAGCTTCACATCATGGAGACAAATTAGCTTTTTTGTTTGTCTCTAATTTTTATCGACTGCTCTTAGAAATTGTCTAGAAGAAAAAGGAGTTACCTTTGGAGGTTCGATTTATCAGCAAGTTACACCGAAATTAGAGTACGGCATTATGGCTCAATGGGTGAATGCCGACGCCGAAGGCGGCGAAGATGCCGACAGTGACAATGTAAATTTGTCTGTTGGTCTTCAGTTTCAATTCGATAAAGAAGCGTCTATTCGTGCCATGGTTGACAAAAATCTCCAAGTAGGCCTCGGGTATCAACAAAGATTACATGAAGGCAAGTTGCCAATAGAAGAAAATTTGAATTTACATCTTAAATTATTGAATTTTGTTGCAGGAATCACCCTATCTCTTTCGGCTTTAGTTGATGGTAAAAATTTGGATCAAGCAGGTGGACATAAAGTCGGTCTCGCTTTGGAATTTGAAGCTTAAATTATTGTCCATGTCTTCATTTGAATATTATACAGATTTTTATTTTTATCTTTGTTTTTTGTAAAATAAACACTGGAACAAAATAAGTGTACAAAAAAGTCAAAAAGTTGCAAAGTTCAATCGTTTTTTTTACAGTGACGATGGTCAAGAGTTTGGTGGTTCAATCTACCAGAAAATCAACCCCCAATTGGAAACTGGAGTTTCTCTTAACTGGTCAGCAGGCAGTAGCAACACCAAGTTTGGCATCGGTGCTAAATACAATTTGGACAAGGATGCTGCTTTGCGTTTCAAAGTTAACAACCAAAGTCAAATTGGGTTGGGGTACCAACAACGTTTACGCGACGGTAATAATTAACCAATATTTAATCAACAATTAAATTCAATAATGGGTATTTTTTTAGGTGTTACTTTGACATTATCTTCATTAATCGATGGTAAAAACTTCAACCAGGGAGGCCACAAAATCGGTTTGGCTTTAGAATTAGAGGCTTAAACTCGTTAGAGATCCACTATTGAGAAAAAAAAATCTATGATCTTAGAGATATGGTTTACAGAAATCTTTTTTTTTTTTTAGTATTATCACACTGATTGTAATGTCCTAATGTGTAGCTTCTGATCATAAAGGATTAAAGGGCGACTTCATTATATGTCTTTTGTGGCTACACCTATTTTTTTTTATAAATCATGTTGTTGGTTTAAAGTGAGTCTTTTAATTGTTAAAATAAAGAAAAAATAATTTATAGTCTATAAGAGTTTTATTTTGTTGGTAATAATCCAGTAGCGGATACAGGGGGAAGCCAGATGGCGCGCTTCCCCCCCCCCCCACCCCCTGAGAGTCTGAAAAACTACTTGAAAACTCAAAACATTTGAGAATTTTTTTGATATATGGGTATGGGGTTGTCATTATTGTATCAGTCTAATATTTAAAAACACGCTTAATGTATCTTACCATATTTCCTACAGTGTTGCCACAGGTGGCTCCATATGGCCAGATCTGGCCCTTTCTAAGACAGAGTGACCCGTTGGCCACTCTTTTTCGAATCTGGCCCGTTTCTCCATTCCAAACCAAATCATTATTTTTTCATGCAAAATGAACGTTTTTGAACGTGGCACCCGAAAAAAATTTCTGCCTTCGGCGGCGCCTGCGGCGATCTTTCTCTCTTCTTTTTTGTTTAAAAAGAGTTTGCCCGAAATTCTGAAGTCTGGACCCATTAAAAAATATAGTCTGGCACTAAATTTTCAGAGCTTGTGGCAACACTGATGATTTCCGACATCTCAGTATTCAGACTATAACGAATAGTGTTCAACATTTTTATTGATTTCAATATGAAAAAAGATGAAGACAGCAAGTATTCTTATATCAGTTACAGATAGAGCTCTGGGGATTTTTGGGAATGCCCAATTCAATGCAATGGTAGTATTTGCAATGTTGCCAACATGCTATATATAAAATAACTAGAAAAAATCCCGAACCCAGGGTTTATTGCGTTTATTGTCAGAAAAAAAAAATTGATAAATTTTCTCAGGATTTTTTTTTTGTTGCACAAGTGATATTTCTACTGAAAATTAACGTAGAATTTAAAAAAATATTTAATGCCAACCCTTCATTTGGCATATTTTTTGAAATATGGCAACACAGGTTTTTTGTTAAAATGTATGGAAAATGGTCTTGTATTCCAGAACAGACTGGGAAAATGTGATAATGCGTATATCCTATTCACAATCTGTAGTCCAAAGGTACAGATAAATTTATCACCTTTCCCTATCAAATAGCATTGAAAGGTGATAAATTTTACCTGTACCTTTGGACAGTTCATTGAAATAAATAGACAATATTCAAGATTTATAGGGGGGCTGGTAAGTACTGCTGGTAGGCCCAGGTAAAAAATATTCTACATTTTTTCTAAAGCCTGTTCTGGAATACGATACCCATTTCCATTTCCATACATTTCAACAAAAAAGCTGTGTTGTCATATTTAGGGGTTTTGCTAATGTGACGCTGAGTTATAAAAATAAAGAGAGACCAATTTGAAAAAATCAAGTTACTTATTATGGCATAATAAGTTTGGCAACAATGCAAATACAACCTTTGAATCGAAATAATAAATTGATTTTGACGTCATCCATAATCAACTTGATTTGTCATTTTGAATTTGGCTGTTGATTCAAATTGGTGGAAAATGGCAACATGACAAAATCTTGAAAATAAATTTAAAAAAACCAAATTAAGCAAATTATTGCAACCTTTTATATTTTAATTTTTTTTTGGAAAACTACTAAAGGGAAAATTGTGAAACTTTCAGGAGAAAAAGAGGAAAGTGTGGAGCTCATCATACTAAAATTTCAAACTTTTCCAGTGGAAAATAATAAAATGGGAAATTAATGAAAATCTACTTGCAATTTTAACTTAAGCAAAAAATGCACTCTCACATTTTAATTTTTTTCTGGAAAACTACCTGAAGGGAAAATAATGAAACTTTCAGGAGAGAAAGAGGAAAGCTAGGAGCTCATCATAATAAAATTTCAAACTTTTCCAGTGGAAAGTAACAGAATGGGAAATTAATGAAAATTAACTCGCAAAATCTAAATTAAGCAAAAATGCACCCTCTTACATTTTATTTTTTTTCTGGAAAACTACTGAAGGGAATATTGTGAAACTTTTAGGAGAAAAAGAGAAAAGGTTAAGAGCTCAATACTAAAATTTCAATTTTTTCCAGTGAGAAATAACAGAATGGAAAATTGATGAAAATCAACTTGCAAAATTCAAATTAAGCAAAAATGCATTTGCTTACATTTTAATTTTTTTCTGGAAAACTACTGAAGGGAAAATTGTGAAACTTTCAGGAAAAAAAAGAGGAAAGTTAAGAGCTCATCATACTAAAATTTTAAACTTTTCCAATGCAAAATACCAAAATGGGAAATTAACGGAAATTTATACTTGCAAATCTAAATTAAGCAAAAATGCACCTTCTTATATTTTATTTTTTTTTCTGCAAAACTACTAGAGGGGAAATTGTGAAATTTTCAGAAGAAAAAGAGGAAAATTAGGAGCTCATTATATTAAAATTTCAAACTTTTCCAGTGGAAAATAACAAAATAGGAAATTAATGAAAATTTATTTGCAATTCTAAATTAAGCAAAAATGCACCCTCTTACATTTTATTTTTTTTCTGGAAAACTACTGAAGGGAAAATTGTGAAACTTTCAGGAGAAAAAGAGGAAAGGTATGAGCTCATTTTACTAAAATTTCAAATTTTTCCAGTGAGAAATAACAGAATGAGAAATCAATGAAAATCAACTTGCAAAATCCAAATTAAGCAAAAATGCATCTGCTTACATTTTAATTTTTTTCTGGAAAACTATTAAACCAAAAATTCTGAAACTTCCAGGAAAAAAAAGAAGAAAATTAAGGGCACATTATACTGAATTTTTAAATTTATTTAATGGAAAACCGACACATCTTGAAATACAAATTGTAGTGTCCAGAGAAATTGATTATTAATATTTGCAACACTGCCTTGCAATTTATCAAGGATACTACAGAGTATCAAGGGCTGGCCCTCTCTCCTACCACGACCATCAACGAAGCAACATATACTCGTCTTTACTCTATACCAAGTCAACCCTGAAATAATTGCATAATCTAAAATTCATTAACCTGTCCAATAAATACGTAAATAAGTAACATGCCTTATTATAACCACAACCACCCCAACAGAAATAATACAAGATTTTGATTTGATATACTTTTAACATAAAAATCATTGTTGATAATTCATTGTAATAACATCTTAAGACACCATCTGTTCTTCAGTGATTTTGGCCATCCAATCAGAATGCGCATTTGCAATTTGCTCAATCATCGAATTGACTTGCTGGCACAAAGACTGAATCTGTTTGTCCCATTGAGGCAAGGTTTCTCTGGCTACAAAACAATTAATAATTACCAAAAATAATTACACAAACAAAAACATACTCTCAAAATGTACAATAGAATCAATTTGATCAATATAGCCGTGCATTCTGCCTTCTGTAATCATTTGGCTGGCAATTTTTTCAGCTTTTGACGGATTAATTTCAAGCAAGGCCCCCAACTCTTCAAAACTAATATTGTTGTACAATTTACTTGCAGACAATAAATTATGCTCCACCATTGCCCGGTCTAAAATCTTAGTACCATCTAAAGTAGAGGCTTTTTGATGCGGCTGAAGCAACGCTTCAAAATCTTTAAGCTCAGACCTACGAATAATCCTTTCTAAATACATTTTTTCCAAAATACCAACAGCAGGTAATTGCTGACAGCGTTCGTCTTTGAATAATGTAGCCAGCATTCTGGATCTTTGCTGACCAGCTGAGGCTAAAACAGTACAAATTAAAGCATTCCTCAAGGCAGTCATTCTTTCATCTTCATGGACAATGTTTCTAAAAGACAATTCATTGTAACGCTGAGCTGCTTCAATAAACTTCCTGCGATAATCCAAAACCCTTGCATAGCAAACTTTGTAATAGACTTGAAGTTGTTCGTTTTTGGATTCTGCTTGAAGTAGTGAGGCTCTATTTATAAAAGCTTCAGCCTGAACAGGATCATCATCTTCTAAGTATAGTCTGGCAATTTTTAGGTAAGTCTCAAGCTTGTAGTCTACAGAGTATTGTTTTTGGCCAGTTTCCAAAGGTATTCCGACTAGGACTGCTGCAGCTTCGCGCCATTGCTGGGTGCGCTCATAGATGTCTGCTAAGTGCTGACGAATGCTGGCAACTTGTTCTTCAAACGAAATTACTCTGGGTTGGACTTTTTCCAGGGTGAAATGGGAGACTGATTTTGAGACGTCGTCTGGGAGTTTTACCAAGTGGCTGCTGATTTCTGTGAGGATTTGGCGAGAGATTACTAGACTTACATTTTCGTTTACAACTGTAATAGAAATTTTTATTAGGATTTTTGGTTTGATTGTTTGTGAACAACATACTGGCTTCAATGAATATTTGCAGGCCTTCAACTAAGTCGTCTCCTTGTTCTTTGAGGATCAAATCCAGAATAACTCTATATCTATTATGGTATAATTATTAATAAATTGGTGAAAAATCATTGGAAACTTACTTTTCGGCCTGTTCCTTGTGGGAACCTGCACTCTGGATGATGCTTTGCAAATTTTTACGTATATAATCGCTTATTTTCTTCGACATTGTTGTTTGCTTGAAATTGTTTCTTAACTTTGAGCTTTTTTGAGAAATTTGAATTATTTTCTAAATACTGAAAATTAGACAAAATCAAAACAAATCGCTGTTGCCAGATTTCCAATTCGATTGTAACTAAAAGAAAACGCTGTTTTATTGAAATTAAGAGGTTAATGTTTAATTAAAAAAGGTAAAGGGAAATATCCAATATAAATAAATATAATTTAAAGAAATTTTGCACGAACATTCCTAAACAGTACGCTGAGTGCAATAATACTAATTGCACTGAGCTTAAAATGAAAACTGCATGAAGTGCAGAGTAAAAATAGTTGCTCGAAAGTTGAGGGAGCAAATTTTTCATTGGATTTTGTTCTACATTTTCAGAAAAGCAATGAAAGGCTGGACGTGGATTCTGTGTTCTGTCGCTTTCTACATACTAATGTCGATTTGAAAATTAATTTTGGGTTTTCAGTAATTCTACTCTGACTGTTCCAAGTGCACTGACTCTTTTTGATCTGTTCAACTGTCCGAACTACATTGCCTGTTTTAATTCTGTTCCATTTGCACTAGCTCAATTTGAATTACTTTTAAGTATTGTATCTGCATTAGTTGTATTCCTTTCAAGAATTTGAAACACTCGAGCTCCTCGCTTCGGTGCTCAGTCGCCCCCGATTTGCAGGGAATAGATGCGTGGTGCAACAAACACTTTTCGAAAGGAATAAGTGCGTGAAGCCCCGGAGCTGTACCGGAGCTCCTCCTAGGTGTGAAAGGAATACAACTAATCAGTGGCGGTCCATACTCCATACATGATTTTCTGGGAGGGGGGTAATATGGATGACGGGATTTTTTTTTTGGGGTGTCATGCCCAAATTTGCACCCGAAAGTCGTTTAAAAAACACGCTTCGTACAAAAATGTACCCCGATGCCCTCAAAATAGTTATACAGGGTGTCCACTCAGTGCGATATCGGACGATATCTTCTTACAGGGTGATGCAAGAAAAAATAAATAAAAATTCAAAGTTATTTGATTCTCTAATGGCCATTTGCACGGCTATCACTTAACTATCACTTAAGGGAAATTTTAATCAAGTGAAGCTTTGAATGTGAGTAATGTAACTTTTGTTTCTACAAGAGTCACATTCAAAGCTTCACTTGGATTAAATATCCCTTAAGTTATAGCGATGCAAATGGCCGTAAGGTGCATTACTTAAAAATATTTTCAAATATACAAGGTGCTCTGTAAATGGGGTATGCGACAGAACTTTGTTATTTTTAAATGGAACACCCTATATTTTGATACATTCTGTCGTTCTAAAAATCCTACATACTTTTTGTTAGGAATCGTTTATACAAAATATTTAATATTTCTTCAAAAAATCGCAGACATTTCAAACAACCATAGCACGGTATAAAAGTAGGTACGCAAGGTTGTCTGAGAGAGGTAGGTTGCCTGATAACTTTATGACGTCGTCTGGGGTGCCTCAACATAATGCAAATCTGCATAAGGCACCCCAGATGCGCCGTCAAGTTACCCATTACCAGACAACCTATGAACTTTAGGAACCTAGGTAGGTACGTCGGTACTGGTGAGCCTATCATATTCATATGATGTCTTTAATCCTTTACTTGATAGAAATTATCTTTGGTTGAAATTTTGTTATAATTAATAAATGTATTAAAAAAATCTTTGTCTGGGGGGGGGGGGGTAATTACCCCCTCTACCTCCCCCCCTTTAAACCGCCCTTGTCTGCATTAATATTTGAATTCCTTCTATGGTGCAAGTTACTCTAAGTGTTCCAATTGCTTTAATTTCCGTTCCATTTTCACTTAACTCTGTTCTGTTTGCACTGCCCTGATTGTTACTGTACAAAATTGAATGGTAGAGGGCGCTTCTGTACTTGCGAGTTTTTTAATGACACGTAAATAAACGAATGTGAAGCGCTCTCTTCAAAGTGTCAATACATGCCATTACGTGCCATTATTTCCATGTTATATTACAGGAATCTTTAGAATATTGGGGTTATAATTTACTTAAACTTATGCATAATCACTGTGTATAACTATTATAATAATTTACATTACAAGTGCATTTATGAGCATGATTACAATAACGAGTGTGGATTATCACACGAGTTTTGTAGTCATGTTCAAACGGAGTAGGATTATCTATTTGTTTAAAGACTTCGGAGACTGGAGAGTTCCCTTGTGCTAATGGCAATAAACTGACGAATGTTAGTTGCATTGGTAACGTCACAAACCTGAAATATTTTGCACTCAGTTCAAATTAGTGCGACACAAACAAACCTGCTGTTTGCTGGATTGCAAACTTGCAGAACTGCAATGAGTGCTGTAGAATCCATGAAATCGTGATATAAAATTGAGATTTTTAAAATCTAAAAAGTTTTGAAAAATTATTAATATTATTACTAATTACTCACAAATTGGCAACCCTGCTTGTATGCAAAAATCAAAAATGAATACCCCCTCAATACTCCATCGCCGTTTTGATTTGTTGTGCCGCGCAGGGAAGCTCCGCCCATTTTCCCTCGATAGACTCAAATTTTGTCGTGTCAGCAGTGAAGCTCCGCCCACTTTTTCCCGATTGGGTCAAGAACGAACATGGCGTTATTTGCTAGGCGTGAAGCTCCGCCCACTTTTTCCCGATTGGGTCAAGAACGAACATGGCGTTATTTGCTTGATGTGAAGCTCCGCTCACTTTTTTCCGATTGGGTCAAAATTAAACATGGCGTTATTTACTAGACGTGAAGCTCCGCTCACTTTTTCCCGATTGGTTCGAACGATAAACACAAAGCGCCAATGAGAAGTGCAGTTGTCACCTCCTACACGCATCTGATGCTCCTGTTTTAAAAATTGCCAAATTTACAAATTTGTATCAGGAACATAGGAATTTGAAAAAATGAGTCATAGAATCAATAAAATTAACTTTCAAATCAGCCTACTGTTATAGTGAATAAATTCATTGTATACCCAAGTAGCACATATAATTGGATAAACATCGTTTTTCAGTTGGGCCAATATTTATTCATTTTTGTTGCTAAATCAACACAGTACCAATATTGGGGCAACGTTAGTTTTACCTATGTGGAAACAATATTTAAAAATAATCTTGTACCAATATTGTTTTCATAGATTAATTAACTTTTCAATAATTTGAATATTGGCCCAAGACTTCTCACTACAATATTGATTTATGAAATATTGGCCAAATATTACATTTTATATTATCGAAACAATATTGTAATATAATATTAATTCAATATTGGCATTCAATTTTTTATTGATATTTAAATTCACTTCAAAAACTTTGTACACCCAATATTTATTTTCAATTTTTTCACAATATTGATACTTTTTGAAAAGCCCAATGAAGAGCCAATATTTACATACTAATTTTTACCAAGGTTGGATTTTCTGAATTGAAAATGTTGGTCCAATATAGGGTATACAATGTGCGCACTTGGTGTGCCGACCAACAAATAGATGGAGACTCTGTCTTCACTTTACCTGTCTTAAACCTGGTTCCGGAATGAAGCCAAAAATTGGTTGTTTTCTCTCTGGCGGGACTTAACCGTGCTGATGAGTTGTGATACAGCGAAAGGGGTCCACGGATGGTCCGGCAGAGAGAAAACACTTCTCAGTCGGTCCTTATAATTGGTCCGTTACCTTAATTAAATATAATATAAAGCCAAGATTTACATACGTCTTCGGGCCAATATTGGTAATTTCAATTGGCTCTATATTGCATAAAGTTCTTGATATGATATTGATTATTTCTTTTTGGGCCAACATTTGGTTACGTTATTGTACCAACGTTGGTATTTGTTTTTGGGTATATATTGACATACGTTCTTGGACAAATATTGCAGAATGTCCACATCTTTTATTTGGCCAACATAGAGAATCTGACTTGGGCCAATAAATCGTAGTTATTGTCCCAATATTGGCCCAACATCGGAGTGCTGCTTGGGTAGTAGCATATTAGAATAGTTCGAAGAATAACAATCAAGACAATGTAAATAAACAGAATAGAATTAATGCAGATGGAACAGAAATTAAAGTAATGTCTGTTTTTTTTTAAAGATAAAAGTCAAAATGACATTATGTTGGCAATACAATGTAAAATTATCAATGCTTCCAAATTTTTTATGTAGAAAAGGCTTGTGTTGCCAACATAGTTACTAAATTTTTGACTTGGGGAATTATCTTTAAAAAAAAAACAAACTTTAATTGGAACTCAGCGTAACCGGTAAATTAAATTGAGTCAAAAAATTGAGATTTAAAATGAAAAGTTTTGGAAAATTACTCATAAAATAAAATACTCATAAATTGGCAACCCTGCCTGTATGCAAAAATGAAGGACCTCCCCAATATACCCCTTCAAAACTCCATCTTTGTTTTGATTTGTTTATCTGGCACAGTGAAGCTCCTCCCACATTTCTCTGATTGGCTCAAACGCGGAAATGTTTTCGTGTCAGCAGTGAAGGTCCGCCCACTTTTTCCCGATTAGGACAAAAACAAACATGGCGTTATTTGCAAGACGTGAAGCTCCGCCCACTTTTTTCCGATTGGTTCGAACGAGGTTCGAACGACAAACGCCAAGCGCCAATGAGGGGCGCAGTTGTCACCTCCTACATGTTTCTGATGCGCCTGTTTCAAAAATTGCCAAATTTCGAAAATTGTATCAGGAACACAGGAATTCGAAAAAATGAGTCATAGAATCAATAAAATTAATTTTTAAATCAGCCTACTGTTATAGTGATTAAATTCATTGTTTAGTAGCATATTAGAGTAATTCGAACAGTAACAATAAGGCAATGTAAATAAACAGAATAGAATTAGTGCAGATGGAATAGAAATTAAAGCAATTGGACCTCAGCGTAACCGATAAATTATATTGAGTCAAAAAATTGGGATTTAGACTAAAAAGTTTTGGAAAATTACTCATAAAATAAAATACTCACAAATGTAAGTAATTACTCACAAATTGGCAACCCTGCTTGTAAACAAAAATGAAACACACCCCCAATAAATATACCCCTTTAAAACTCCATCTCCGTTTTGATTTGTTTTGTCAATGCAGTGAAGCTCCGCCCACTTTTTCCCGATTGAGACAAAAACAAACATGGCGTTATTTGCAAGACGTGAAGCCCCGCCCACTTTTTTCCGATTGGTTTGAACGACAAACGCCGAGCGCCAATGAGAAGCGCAGTTGTCACCTCCTACACGCTTAAGATGTTCCTGTTTTAAAAAATTGCCAAATTTCCAAATTTGTATCTGGAACATAGAAATTTGAAAACATGAGCCATATCCAATAGAATTCGCTAATAGAATTTGATCATTGACCTCTACAGATTTTCCCATTCCTGTTTCAAAAAACACAAAATTTCCAATTTCCTATCAGGAACACAGAACAATATCAACCCTACCAAATTTCGTTCATATCGATAAACAAATAAAAAAATGGCAGCCGGAAAGTAATCTCGTGGGCACCCGATAACATTTATGTAATGGTAATGTAAAAGCTAGGTTTGTTTGTGTTTTTCGAAGCAGCACTTCTTGCTCTGAAAGCTTCGAAGAGTTCGTTTGTGCTGGCAATGAACTGACAAGCGTTAGTTGCATTGGTGACGTCACAAACCTGAAATATTTTGCACTCCGTTCAAGTTAGTGCGATACAAACAAACCTGCTGTTTGCTGGATTGCAAACTAGCAGAACTGCAAGGAGTGTTGTAGACCCCATAAAATTGAAAAATAAAATTGAGATTTTTAAAATCTAAAAAGTTTTAAAAAATTATTAATATTATTACTAATTACTCACAAATTGGCAACCCTGCTTGTATGCAAAAATCAAAAATGAATACCCCCTCAATACTCCATCGCCGTTTTGATTTGTTGTGGCGCGCAGGGAAGCTCCGCCCATTTTCCCTCGATAGACTCAAATTTTGTCGTGTCAGCAGTGAAGCTCCGCCCACTTTTTCCCGATTGGGTCAAGAACGAACATGGCGTTATTTGCTTGATGTGAAGCTCCGCTCACTTTTTTCCGATTGGGTCAAAATTAAACATGGCGTTATTTACTAGACGTGAAGCTCCGCTCACTTTTTCCCGATTGGTTCGAACGATAAACACAAAGCGCCAATGAGAAGTGCAGTTGTCACTTGTCACCTCCTACACGCTTCTGATGCTCCTGTTTTAAAAATTGCCAAATTTACAAATTTGTATCAGGAACACAGAAATTTGAAAAGATGAGTATAACAGAATTAATGGATAGTAATGACTTAAGTATTCACCTCCGCATATTTTCTGATGCTCCTGTTTCAAAAAACGTAAAATTTCTAATTTCCTATCAGGGAACACAGAAGCTGCAGAAGATTAATTTTCAAATAAGGCCTACCTAACATAATTACAGATTTCTGTAATAATCTAATCGGCTTTGGTTTTTTGATTGATAGATGTCGCTAGTAGTTTACCACAAAAATAGATGACATAACCTCACTTTATTTGTTTATATTTTGATTTCGAATGTTTGTTATTATTTAAAAATTATTTGTTTATAAAATTTAAATATGTACAAAAGACGACATCCAGATCATTCAGTAGACGCCAGTATAAGAGGCTACGCCGCTTTTAATCAACACGTTTCCCTATTCGAATTCGGCGAAGTTATTGTAGACAAAAATTTCAAAAATACCGATCAAGTACGATTAGTTTCAGGCGGTACTTCTAGTTTTATAGAGTACGTTGGTGCTGGCATGCTTACAGCTTCAATACAAGGTAAAAATCATAATTTATTTTAAGGCCCGGTTTATTCATTTTCTGATAAACTGTCAGGTATTGTCTGGCCAGTGGATTTAAAGCAATTTGAAAATGTTCGATGTTGCCACGTTCAATTATAATAAAGCAAAAATACTGTAGACATGAAGTATAGATCATTTTGTAAATCTATTTTTCAATAAAAACTTGAAACATCGACTGATAACTTTTATGATGTCATCAGGGATGCTTCAACATAATGCTAATCTCCGTGAGGCTCCCCAGATCAGATGACGTCATCAAGTTACCTTGCAATGTCGATTTTTGCATATAAACCATTATCATAATATATTTTCAAAAAATTCCTTAATAAAATCAGCCACATTCTACTACAACTACATTTCCTTCACTCCCATAGCTTCAGATTTGTTGGCCAAACAATTAATAAGCCCATTGGTCAACAAGTTATCCGCTAACTAATAGTTACCACCAAGTTTATCTATAAATGAATAAATCAATGCTTATTTCAGGCAAACCAAATGACTATCCAACCCCGAGCATGATTCTACGCGTTCTAAGAGAATTAAGTGTCAACCATGTAAAAGGAGTTTTAGTTATTGTACCAACAAGCTCTAGTAACTTATTAAATTTTGGGCTTGCAATTGAAAGGGCTGACAATGATGATTTAAGGGTAGCTTTACTAACAGTGTCAGATGATTGTAAAAACCATGAAAAAGCCAGATTCGAACACAGAGGACTAACAGGGGTTGTTCTAGTAAATAAAATCGCTGGTGCCCTTATTATAGCAGATAAAACAATAACTGAAATTTATAATTACTGTAATAATGCAATTAACAACATCCTATCTGCTGGAGTTAGTTTTCAAAAATCTTTGCCACATACACGAGAGTGTCTCTATTGTACTAAATGTGAAACAGATGATATTGGATCAGGACAAACATGCATCGAAGATGTTTTGAAAAGTACTTTTATTAATTTGTTAGAGCAATTGACTACAAGCCAAAGATTCAGTTTGCAAGGAGGAGACAACATTGTCGTTCTAGTTAACAATATTGGGGCTTTTGATCGGACAAAGCAGTTTATAATTGTTAAATATTGTACGGATTATTTCAAAAGGTTTGATGTTAAAATTGCTAGGTTTTATATTGGGAGTTATTTGCAATTGGATAATGATATGGATTTAATGGTTACTTTGCTCAAGGTTTTCGATGGCCAGGTTTTGGAGCTGTTGGATAAACCTTGTAACACAACAGGTACAGATTAACTTTAATTGGAGAGAGTAGAGATACCCAGTAAAAATCAAATTTCCGAAAAAATGACTTGAGGCACCGCAGCTTCGAAACTTCTGAAGCTGCATTGAAATTATTCTTCAGACATTTGTGAAGGATTTAATTGGCTTTAATTCAAGATCGGATTGAAATTAACAAAGTTATGAAGCAAAATGGGTATCAATGTCGTTTTGTGAAAAATCAAATATCCAAAAAATGACATTGAGGCACGTTTTATTTTTTTTGAGAAAAATGTTGAACGGATTGAATTGAAATTCTACAAGTGAATGAATAAAAGATTCAAATTTAAGAAAAAAATTTAAATTTCCTTCTGCTCATTCACAATCACCTTGATAGAGATCAAAGTCTAAAAAGTTTGAAGCATCGCAGCTTCAAAATTATTGAAGCTACATTGAAATTATTCATTGGACAGTTGTAGAGGATTTAACTGGCTTTAATTCAAGCCTAATTACATTGAAATCGGATAAAAATTAACAGCTTCAAAGCAAAAACTATCTCAGTGTCATTTTATATATTATCCCTTATAGAAAAACTTCAATTTTGACACAAAATTACTCATGACTTAATTATTATTCTAAAATTTTAAGGTATATTTTGATATTAGAATTAACCGCTCTTTAAGATAAAACAAAATTGAATCATTTGTCTCAAATAGTTTTAGAGATATTGAGCCTCAAATTTGAAACTTTAACTCAAAATGTCATAGATATGTTTACTGGGTACCTAAATATCTCAAAAACAGCTAAACCCTAAATGTAATTTTCACATTAACAAGGTTGGAAGTCAAATTTTCAAGTGGAACCCTTAAACACCGACAATAACCTAATGTTGGGAAGATTACGAAAAAAATGCAGGCTATCACCCCCTATTAAAGGCCCAAAACTGACCGAGAAAGCGGCAAACATAATGCAATTATGCCTCCAATTCGCTTGCGACGCTCTAATCTCCTGCGAAAAAATGCTAAACAAAATGGACAGTGAAAACATCAAAGGAGGTAAATGAATATTCAATTATTGTATCTCTATGCATTACATTAATATTCCTAGGTGATGGAGACACTGGCACCCGTCTACGAATAATGGCCAACATTTTAAACAAACGCAGCTGCGATAAAAAGCTAAACTTCACCTATCCCTTTACATTTTTCCTCAGCCTAAGTAAAATCCTTGAAAACTCAGTCGGAGGCACAATGGGCTGTCTTTATTCAATAATGTTTGAAGCTACAGCCAACACATTTGGAGGATATCCAGACGATGAACAAGTAGACTCAGAAATGTGGATTCAAGCTATGGAAAATGCTTGCAGCGCGGTGAGACGATATGGAAACGTAGAACTAGGAGATAGAACTTTATATGACCCTTTGGAAGCTTGCTCTAGTTACCTGAGACAAAATATAGGAAAATCATTTATTATTTTGTTTGAAAACGGGGTTGGAAAAGCCGAAGAAGCTGCCACTGCTTCTAAACAACCCGGTTGTAAATATCCAAACGCTGGAGCTCACGCAGTAGGCATTTGGCTAAGGGCTGTATGCGAAGCAGCAAAATTAAGACTTTACCACGATAGTATTTATTAATTTACAATAAAATTTTATTCCTTGCCAAAAACTTGTTAAACTCCTTTGTAGACGTTTCAATGAGGCTAATTAGTTTTTGGCCAGCAGGTGAGTTTTTTTCGTTTTTCAACGCCTGGGCGGCTTCTTTGAGGGCCGTTTGGCATTCTTGGAACATCAGATTTATTGATTTTACTTTGGTTTTGATGCCCAAGTCCCATTTACGTTTGATGAGAATCTGGTTGGCCAGGTAGAGTTCGTGGAAGAGGACTCCGGTGTAAAGAGGCAACCTGGAACAAATAATTATGGTTGTTTTCTGCTGAATTCAAATTGATTTTCCTATGGCTTCTTTTAATTTTAAATCTCTATAGCTGAATTTTAGTTCTATTAATTAAGGTAAGTACGGGAAAAAATGTCTAATTCTTTCATTGTGGTTCTTGCGGGTTTGCACTGTGAACTTTGAAGCGTCGTAGTTTTAAAATTATTGAAGCTGCTCCACTTGAACTTTTCTTTCTTCAGATTTAGAAGAATCAAGTTCCATGTTTTGCTTATCATTTCTAGAATCCAGATTTTTGCATTGTGAATAAATCTTGGAATTTAAACAATTCTGGATATTTTGAAAAAACAATTCTATGATTTGCTTATGATACTCAGAGCCAGAGTTTTATGATTTTTACAAATCCAGAGATCTATGATTGGTTCTCTGAATCATAATTTGCTCAGCATAAGATTCTCATTTCAAAAGTGAGCCAATAAGAAAGATGATACAACTCCACAATTATTACCTGGAATTTGCAGGATCAATTTTCCTTGTAATCTCAATCAACTCCCTACACATTGTCGCCTTTCTCACCACAACATCATCACTCAACTGATTAGGCATGTATCCTTGCTGATACCCTAAAAATAAAAATTAGCAAAACCATCAAAAATCAAAAACTCCTCACCATAGAGTTGCACCAAAGAATGCTTAACTGAATAAGCATGATAATGATTCGGATGCACAAAATTAAGCATCTTCGTCAATAACCCATCCAAATCCCTAACTGTAGGGTTTGAAAGTTGTACATGATCAACCTCTTCACCGATTTGATTGATCAAAAACGAAACTTCTTGATTGGTAAGTTTCACGTCGCACTTATTGCAAGCCCACTCTGTGTTGTCATCTAATGGATCAACAGGTAACTGAACTCCTCCGCAAGGTTCGTCGTCTTGAGTGCCTATACATCTTAAGGCACTCAGGAAAGTACCTAATTCGGTAGGATCAGCGCATCTGTTGCATTTACATGAGAAATATTTGGTTTCTAGTAAATGTTCTCGTCTGGCTTGAGTGCCCCATAAGGAATGGGTGTACATTGTTGAAATGTGGTCGCCTTTGGGTATTGCAAAGGCTGCTCTTATTGTGATAGTGTAGCTATAAAGAAAAACTTAAATTATTCCCAGGAGTAAATATATCTAGTTAGTGACATTATTAATGTAAAGTTTATATAATATAAATTCCTCCTATATTTTATTTTTTTTCTTGAAAACTACTGAAGAGAAAGTTGTGAAGCTTTCAGGAAAAAAATAACAGAATGAGAAATTAATGAAAATCAACTTGCAAATCTAAATTAAGCAAAAATGCACCGTCTCACATTTAATTTTTTTTCTGGAAAACTGCTGAAGGGAAAATTAGGAAACTTTCAGGGAAAAAAAAAAGGAAAGTTAGGAGTTCATCATACTAAAATTTCAAACTTATTCAGTGGAAAATAACAACATGAGAAATTAATGAAAATCAACTTGCAAAATCAAAATTAACCAAAAATGCACCTTCTTACATTTTAATTTTTTTCTGGAAAACTACTGAAGGGAAAATTGTGAAACTTTCAGGAAAAAAAGAGGAAAGTTAGAAGCTCATCATAATAAAATTTCAAACTTTTCCAGTGAAAAATAACAAAATGGGAAATTAATGAAAATCAACTTGTAAAATCTAAATTCAGAAAAAATGCGCCACCTTCTTACATTTTATTTTTTTCTGGAAAACTACTGGAGGGAAAACTGTGAAACTTTCATGTGAAAAAGAGAAAAGTTAGGAGCTCATCATACTAAAATTTCAAACTTTTTCAGTGAAAAATAACAAAATAGGAAATTATTGAAAATCAGCTTGCAAAATCTAAATTAAGGAAAAATGCACCCTCTTACATTTTAATTTTTTTCTGGAAAACTACTGAAGGGAAAATTGTGAAACTTTCAGAAGAAAAGGAGGAAAGTTAGGAGCTCATCATACTAAAATTTCAAACTTTTCCAATGAAAAATAACAGAATGGAAAATTAATGAAAATAATCAACTTGCAAAATCTAAATTAAGCAAAAATGCACCCTCTTACATTTTAATTTTTTTCTGGAAAACTACTGACGAGAAAATTATGAAACTTTCGGGAGAAAAAGAAGAAAGTTAGGAGCTCATCATATTAAAATTTCAAACTTTTCCAGTGAAAACTAACAGAATGGGAAAATAATGAAAATCAACTTGCAAAATCAAAATTAACCAAAAATGCACCCTCTTACATTTTAATTTTTTTCTGAAAAACTACTGAAGAGAAAATTGTGAAACTTTCAGGAGAAAAAGAGGAAGCTTAGTAGCTCATCATACTGAAATCTCAAACTTTTCCAGTGAAAAATAACAAAACGGAAAAATAAATCAAATATATTTACCCTTTTTCCGAATTCTCAAAAAAATGCACAGTATTACACATGCAATTATGCTCCATAAGATAAGCAGTCGGATATAAAGCTGTAACTTCAGCATCTTGGTTGATTTCCAAAGCATTGACATCAATAATGCCGCAAATCTTATGTATAGTTTCTTTGGAGATGTCTGGCAAAACTTGCTTGCCCGATTTGCCTTCCAGAATCCTCATCGGAGCAAAGAAGTTGTCTTGTAGATAATCAACAATCCTACTTTCAATGCTTCTGCATAAGAATTGCAAATTACTTTTAATACAAAATCCAATTTATAAATTCTTACTTGTAAATATCAGTATTCTCTCCTCTTTTATCCAAATGACTTTCCATTTCCAAAATCTGTGCAAACTTTTTTGGATGTCTGTTTTGCAAAAGCAAACATCTGAGTGCAAGCAAAGCATCTTGCCTGTAAAACTCGTGCAAACCGTTAATAGCTCTCAACTCTCTGAGTCCCAAAATCATACATTCATGTCCGTGCCTGTCCATGTCTTTCAAGCCTGGACAATCTGGATTGCAAACTGGAAAGTCGCAACCTTCGCATCTTGCAGCAGTGTCTGGCAATATCAATCTATGGATTGGAATTGTGTATTAATTTTTTTGTATTTAAGTTTTTTTTTTGAGTTTTTACCTGCAACATCCTGGACAAGGAACTGGACCTTCTTCGACCATGTGAGGCCTGGGACCGTAAGCGACTGGATTTTCGACTAAAATCAAGTCTCCAGGCTGTAAATCTCTAGTGGCCACAAGGCATTTGCCAATTGCAGCATCTTGGACTATCTAATAAAATAATTAATAAGTGAATTTATATAAGTAAAAGGTGTACTTGCCTCAAAAGGTCTACACAAGTTCTTGTGCTCCTTCCAATGTTTTTTTTGATGTTCTTTATCACAATAAGATACCAATTTACATCCGGAGCACTTTAATTCGGCTTTTTCGCCGCATTCAGCGCACTTTGATTCACTCATTATTGCATTATTGCGTCTCAAAAATTCAAGAAAAATTGTGTGTGGAATTTTCAATATCTTTGTCTAAATTTAGATTGTATATTTTACTTGGGCTGGGAAGTTTATAAATATTTTCTGCGTTCCAATTGGAATTTTTCCAAAAAATTGGGTAATCTCATCATTCGTTATGTACATATTTCGTTACAGGCTTAACGTTGTGGAATCAAATTAATTGAGAATTTATTACAAAGAAATATGTTTTATTTTTTTGGAGAACAATAGAATTTGATGCAGGATAGCTTCGAAACTATTGAAGCTGCATTGAAATGATTCATTAGATATTTGTAGAGAATTTGATTGGCTTTAACTCAAGCCTAATTACGTTAAGATCGGATTGAAATTAACAAAGTTATGAGGCGACAAAGACAAAACCTTCGTTCCCATGAGAATGCTGGGGTCCATCACACTATCCGGAAACAAGAATTTGACATTTTTGAAGCTTTTACATTAAAGTAGACAACTCAAATAATAGTTTTATGAAAAAAAAAATGCGGGTTTTTTCATTTTTCTGCAAGAAAATTCAGTTCAAACTGACTAATAAGTTCCATTAACCATTTGTATCTATACATTATAATATAAAAATGGAAAAGTTGAATTAGAACCACTAAAACTAAACAAAGCAAACTTCCTTAAGGGAACAAAATATATCATTAATCAACTAAATAATCCTATAAAAAAACCATTTAATATTTTTGTCCAATTTGCAATGTTAAGTTATACATTCGTTGAATGGCATTTTTGTCATATATCTGCTTCCACATTCCTATATTGGTCAATATATTGTGGCAAATATTTTGAATGCATAACACCCAGAGCTCTGACATATTTTTTCAAGCCAGACCAATACCCTTCCACCTGGTTGGTACAGACCCCTGTAATGGGATCTTTGAAATATTTGGTATGGTTTACTGTTCGGTGGACGTCACCATAGTCTACTAATCCAGAGTAAGCGCGCCAATTGTCTGTCCATATTTCCCTACCTACCCTTACATGTTTTCTTATAATCGGTAAAAGAATCGCAGCGGATCGATTTTTGACATATTGAATATATTCCCTTTTTTCAGTCGCATTATAAATTCTTAATATCCACGACTCTTTCACCAAACGACCTCTGTTATATTTTCTTTTAGAAATTACTGATTCATCAATCTGTACCAAATGATTCTCCCGCCTAAATAGAATAAAAATTATAACAGACGATCCTCTTCTCAACCTTTGACACAGATCAATGAATAATAGAAATTCTTATCAGTTTAATATCACTATCGCTCTGTTTTCGATAATGACACATAAATAAAAAAAAGAATCAATAGTAAAGTTATTTTTTTCTGGGTCTCGTAAAGAAAAAGATGAAACTTTTCAACAAAAAAAAAAAAACATAAAATCAATAATCTTCGTAAATTAAATGACAAATATTTTCCTGTATGAATTTCAGTAAATTTATTTATTCATAAGAATATTTATTGTTTTCCGCATCTAATTGAACATTTTAAAGAGGAACTAAACGGTTTTATGAAGAAAGTATATCGAACTTGTAAGTTTTAGTGTTTCCGTATAGTATGATGGAACCGAATGCTGCTCTCCTGTCTCAAGAATACGAGCCCTTGAGAAAAATTCAGAGTTGGTATACACAAAAACCAAGTGGGTTTTTGACACAAAAACCCACCGTCAATATTGACGAAATCCTAGTAGAGGCTTTCAGGCTTTGGTCTTTCTTCGCTGTATGCAACATCCTCTTTAAACTTAAAAGCGCTTTTTAAAACTGGTACCTTTAAAAATTTGTATGGCTTAGAACTTAGAATACAGAATCTTAAAAGTGACCAGTTTTAAAAAGCGCTTTTAAGTTAAAAGAGGATTTTTGTATACAGCTGTCTGTGTTTAAATAAAAATCTTATTGAACAGGTTTGTAGAGAATTTAATATTGGCTTCAATAAGAGCTCAATTACATTGAAATTGAATAAAAATTAACGGAGCTGTAAAGCAAAAACTGTCTCAGGGCCGGTTTCTCAATAGCGAGTTACCCCCGGGTTAGTTTTAACTCCCTGGTTAACGTGTCAAATTGCAATGTTTACCCTGGAGTTAGCTTAACCCGGAGGTGACCTGCATTTGAGAAACCGGCGCCGGCGGCCCTCAGTGTCAAGTACACACTTTGGAAAAATATCGTATCGATGAATCGTATCGATAAGTAAATAAACCCTTCTCTAATTCTACCAAATTACAGATTTCTTCTTTGACCTAAAATGGTTGTCCTTGTCAAATAAATGTCGCATATTTGTTGTCAACAAAACAGCCATATTGATTATTAATTTACTAAAAAAAAATAACTTTTAATTATTATTGTGTTAAAATGAACGATACAAAAAAGGTAAAAACGTATTTTTAAGCTCCCCCTAAGTCCAAAGCTTAATTAAGCAACAATTTTAGGGCTTTCAATCAGACGATGAAGAAGATTTGGAGGCCTTGCGCTTGGCTGCCCTACAAACCTTAAAAAAAACCCCTTCTGATGTTATTTCTATACAAAGTCCTATACGTAATTTGCCTTATAGACCTCGTGGGAATTATACGAATAAAAGGGGAAGGTTTTATGGTGGTAGAGGCGTAAAAAATGTAAGTACACAACCATTTAAATCAAAAATTCTATAGCATTTTCATCCTAGGGTCAATTTCATGGTGGTAGAGCTGTTTCAAGCAACTTAATACCCTTGACCCCTTCTCCAATGGAAATCAACACAAAACCCTCAGAAGAAATCAAACTGCACCTGCCCCAAGACAATTACCTCAACAAACCAACCGAAGAACCATCAAAATCCAATGAAATTTCAACCAAATTTGATCGTTACAAAGACAAATCTGAAGACGAAGACACTGAGGATGAATTACTTAAATCAGACTCGGACGACGATGTCAGTCCTGGGCCAGTAAAATTGCAAAGATCTGACAGTTTAGAGGCCCTAATGCAAGAACTGACTGATGAAATTCAAGGCAAAATTACTCAACAACCTAAAGCAAAAGTGAAGACTAAAAGAAAAAAAGAAGCTACAGTGGTTGAAGTAAAAGAAGAACCAAAAATAGAGGAAAAAGTAGAAGAAGAAACAATTATTGAAAAGGTGGAAGAAGAAAAAACAATTATCAAAAAAGTGGAAGAAGTAACGGTACAAAAAAAAGAAGAGCTAGTTGTTGAGCCTCAACTGAAAAAAGCCAAAAATTTCCAGCCCCAAAAAACCTATCAAAGATACAGAAACAATTTCCAACAACCCTTTGTACCACAATTTCCAACATACCCCCTTGAAATTGCATATGCCCCTTATGTGCCCCCTTTTAGACCTCTCTCACCTCTTCACATAAGCGCAGAAACTCTACAAACCCAAACCATGGCCCCTTTGTCCCCAAGAAGTGCAGCCTTTGTCCTGGAAAACAGAGCAATTGTAGAAAAACGTAAACGCTCCCCTAGAAGATCCCCATCTTTCAGCCCTAGAAGAAGCTTAACGCCAGTACGTAGAAGATCTTTGTCTCCTAGAAAACGATCACTTACACCTAAAAGAAAATCCCCTAGTCCACTACCAAGAAAAAGGCGAAATTTCAGTCCAAAACGCAGACTCCCTAGTCCTAAACGAAGATCTATGAGTCCTAGAAGACGAACTGTTAAAAGCAAGCCAAGCATTAGAGAGCGTTTAGGGGTCAAGACTGCTGCAAAAGTTGAAGAAGACAAAAAACCTACCAGTGTGGAAAAAGTGGATCCTGTTTTGGAAGCCAGAAAAAAGAAGTTTGAAAATAAGGAGATTAAACTTAGAGAGGGAGTGATAAGGCTTAAGCCTAAAGAAGAAGCAAAAACTATTGTTGAAGAGCCTCTAGACGAAGATGAATTAGAGATAAATACAGATATTGATTTATTTTTTGATGAAGATGAGTCTACAAGTGAAATTGAAGTGAAAAAGGAGCCTTCAATTAATGGAATAAAAGAAGATAAAAAGCCAAAATTACCAGCAGAACCTAAAATCAAGAAAAAATTGGGGGTGAAATTGGACAGGAATTTGAAAAAGTTTGACAGGAAAATTGAGATTAAAATTAAAAATCCTTCCAAGTATCAGCAAGCGGATAAGGAAAAGGAGAAATTGAAGAAAGTTGAAAGTTTGTCTCAAAATTATCCTGAGGATGAAGAGGAAGATGATGCTGAGATTATTGTAGAGGATGACAAGGATGAAAACAACATAAATAATGAAGGTAAATATTTTTTTTTTAAGTTGATTTTCTCATGTTGCCAGTTTTTTTAAAATTAAATTTAAAATTTAGGTATGATAAGCTCCTGTTCTTCCTCTTTTAAATCCAAAAGTTTCAAAATTTTCCCATTAACAGTTTTTCCAGAAATTATCAAAACGTGAAAGGGTGCATTTTTGCCTAATTTACCTAGATTTTAAGAGTTGATTTTCATTAATTTTCCACTGAATAAGTTTGAAATTTTAGTATGATGAACTCCTAACTTTCTTCTTTTTGAAAGTTTCACAATTCTTCAGTAGTTTTTCAGAAAAAAATTAAAATATTAGATGGTGCATTTTTGCCTAATTTGGATTTTGCAAGTTGATTTTCCTTAATTTTCCATTCTGTTATTTTCCACTGAATAAATTTGAAATTTTAGTATAATGAACTTCTAATTTTCCTTTTTCTCCCCTGAAAGTTTCACAATTTTCCCCTCAGTAGTTTTCCAGAAACAAATTAAAATGTAAGAGGGTGTATTTTTGCTTAATTTAAATTTGTAAGTAATTTTCATTAATTTTTCATCAATTTCCTATTTTGTTACTTTCTACTGGAAAAGTTTGAAATTTTAGTATGATGAACTGCTAACTTTTCTGTTTTTTTCCTGAAAGTGTCACAATTTTCCCTTCAGTAGTTTTCCAGAAAAAAATTAAAATATTAGATGGTGCATTTTTGCCTAATTTGGATTTTGCAAGTTGATTTTCCTTAATTTTCCATTCTGTTATTTTCCACTGAATAAATTTGAAATTTTAGTATAATGAACTTCGAATTTTCCTTTTTCTCCCCTGAAAGTTTCACAATTTTCCCTTCAGTAGTTTTCTAGAAAAAAATTAAAATGTAAGAGGGTGCATTTTTGCCTAATTTGGATTTTGCAAGTTGACTTTCATTAATTTTCCATTCCGGTATTTTCCACTGAATAAGTTTGAAATTTTAGTATGATGAACTGCTAACTTTTCTGTTTTTTTCCTGAAAGTTTCACAATTTTCCCTTCAGTAGTTTTCTAGAAAAAAATTAAAATGTAAGAGGGTGCATTTTTGCCTAATTTGGATTTTGCAAGTTGACTTTCATTAATTTTCCATTCCGGTATTTTCCACTGAATAAGTTTGAAATTTTAGTATAATGAACTTCTAATTTTCCTTTTTCTCCCCTGAAAGTTTCACAATTTTCCCCTCAGTAGTTTTCCAGAAACAAATTAAAATGTAAGAGGGTGTATTTTTGCTTAATTTAAATTTGTAAGTAATTTTCATTAATTTTTCATCAATTTCCTATTTTGTTACTTTCTACTGGAAAAGTTTGAAATTTTAGTATGATGAACTGCTAACTTTTCTGTTTTTTTCCTGAAAGTGTCACAATTTTCCCTTCAGTAGTTTTCCAGAAAAAAATTAAAATATTAGATGGTGCATTTTTGCCTAATTTGGATTTTGCAAGTTGATTTTCCTTAATTTTCCATTCTGTTATTTTCCACTGAATAAATTTGAAATTTTAGTATAATGAACTTCGAATTTTCCTTTTTCTCCCCTGAAAGTTTCACAATTTTCCCTTCAGTAGTTTTCTAGAAAAAAATTAAAATGTAAGAGGGTGCATTTTTGCCTAATTTGGATTTTGCAAGTTGACTTTCATTAATTTTCCATTCCGGTATTTTCCCCTGAATAAGTTTGAAATTTTAGTATAATGAACTTCTAATTTTCCTTTTTCTCCCCTGAAAGTTTCACAATTTTCCCCTCAGTAGTTTTCCAGAAACAAATTAAAATGTAAGAGGGTGTATTTTTGCTTAATTTAAATTTGTAAGTAATTTTCATTAATTTTTCATCAATTTCCTATTTTGTTACTTTCTACTGGAAAAGTTTGAAATTTTAGTATGATGAACTGCTAACTTTTCTGTTTTTTTCCTGAAAGTTTCACAATTTTCCCTTCAGTAGTTTTCCAGAAAAAAATTAAAATATTAGATGGTGCATTTTTGCCTAATTTGGATTTTGCAAGTTGATTTTCCTTAATTTTCCATTCTGTTATTTTCCACTGAATCAATTTGAAATTTTAGTATAATGAACTTCTAATTTTCCTTTTTCTCCCCTGAAAGTTTCACAATTTTCCCTTCAGTAGTTTTCTAGAAAAAAATTAAAATGTAAGAGGGTGCATTTTTGCCTAATTTGGATTTTGCAAGTTGACTTTCATTAATTTTCCATTCCGGTATTTTCCACTGAATAAGTTTGAAATTTTAGTATGATGAACTGCTAACTTTTCTGTTTTTTTCCTGAAAGTTTCACAATTTTCCCTTCAGTAGTTTTCCAGAAAAAAATTAAAATATTAGATGGTGCATTTTTGCCTAATTTGGATTTTGCAAGTTGATTTTCCTTAATTTTCCATTCTGTTATTTTCCACTGAATAAATTTGAAATTTTAGTATAATGAACTTCTAATTTTCCTTTTTCTCCCCTGAAAGTTTCACAATTTTCCCTTCAGTAGTTTTCTAGAAAAAAATTAAAATGTAAGAGGGTGCATTTTTGCCTAATTTGGATTTTGCAAGTTGACTTTCATTAATTTTCCATTCCGGTATTTTCCCCTGAATAAGTTTGAAATTTTAGTATAATGAACTTCTAATTTTCCTTTTTCTCCCCTGAAAGTTTCACAATTTTCCCCTCAGTAGTTTTCCAGAAACAAATTAAAATGTAAGAGGGTGTATTTTTGCTTAATTTAAATTTGTAAATAATTTTCATTAATTTTTCATCAATTTCCTATTTTGTTACTTTCTACTGGAAAAGTTTGAAATTTTAGTATGATGAACTGCTAACTTTTCTGTTTTTTTCCTGAAAGTTTCACAATTTTCCCTTCAGTAGTTTTCCAGAAAAAAATTAAAATATTAGATGGTGCATTTTTGCCTAATTTGGATTTTGCAAGTTGATTTTCCTTAATTTTCCATTCTGTTATTTTCCACTGAATAAATTTGAAATTTTAGTATAATGAACTTCGAATTTTCCTTTTTCTCCCCTGAAAGTTTCACAATTTTCCCTTCAGTAGTTTTCTAGAAAAAAATTAAAATGTAAGAGGGTGCATTTTTGCCTAATTTGGATTTTGCAAGTTGACTTTCATTAATTTTCCATTCTGTTATTTTCCACTGAATAAATTTGAAATTTTAGTATAATGAACTTCTAATTTTCCTTTTTCTCCCCTGAAAGTTTCACAATTTTCCCCTCAGTAGTTTTCCAGAAACAAATTAAAATGTAAGAGGGTGTATTTTTGCTTAATTTAAATTTGTAAGTAATTTTCATTAATTTTTCATCAATTTCCTATTTTGTTACTTTCTACTGGAAAAGTTTGAAATTTTAGTATGATGAACTGCTAACTTTTCTGTTTTTTTCCTGAAAGTTTCACAATTTTCCCTTCAGTAGTTTTCCAGAAAAAAATTAAAATATTAGATGGTGCATTTTTGCCTAATTTGGATTTTGCAAGTTGATTTTCCTTAATTTTCCATTCTGTTATTTTCCACTGAATAAATTTGAAATTTTAGTATAATGAACTTCTAATTTTCCTTTTTCTCCCCTGAAAGTTTCACAATTTTCCCCTCAGTAGTTTTCCAGAAACAAATTAAAATGTAAGAGGGTGTATTTTTGCTTAATTTAAATTTGTAAGTAATTTTCATTAATTTTTCATCAATTTCCTATTTTGTTACTTTCTACTGGAAAAGTTTGAAATTTTAGTATGATGAACTGCTAACTTTTCTGTTTTTTTCCTGAAAGTTTCACAATTTTCCCTTCAGTAGTTTTCTAGAAAAAAATTAAAATGTAAGAGGGTGCATTTTTGCCTAATTTGGATTTTGCAAGTTGACTTTCGTTAATTTTCCATTCCGGTATTTTCCACTGAATAAGTTTGAAATTTTAGTATAATGAACTCCTAATTTTCCTTTTTTTTTCCCTGAAAGTTTCACAATTTTCCCCTCAGTAGTTTTCCAGAAAAAAATTAAAATGTAAGAGGGTGTATTTTTGCTTAATTTAAATTTGTAAGTAATTTTCATTAATTTTTCATCAATTTCCTATTTTATTACTTTCTACTGGAAAAGTTTGAAATTTTAGTATGATGAACTGCTAACTTTTCTGTTTTTTTCCTGAAAGTTTCACAATTTTCCCTTCAGTAGTTTTCTAGAAAAAAATTAAAATGTAAGAGGGTGCATTTTTGCCTAATTTGGATTTTGCAAGTTGACTTTCATTAATTTTCCATTCCGGTATTTTCCACTGAATAAGTTTGAAATTTTAGTATAATGAACTTCTAATTTTCCTTTTTCTCCCCTGAAAGTTTCACAATTTTCCCCTCAGTAGTTTTCCAGAAACAAATTAAAATGTAAGAGGGTGTATTTTTGCTTAATTTAAATTTGTAAGTAATTTTCATTAATTTTTCATCAATTTCCTATTTTGTTACTTTCTACTGGAAAAGTTTGAAATTTTAGTATGATGAACTGCTAACTTTTCTGTTTTTTTCCTGAAAGTGTCACAATTTTCCCTTCAGTAGTTTTCCAGAAAAAAATTAAAATATTAGATGGTGCATTTTTGCCTAATTTGGATTTTGCAAGTTGATTTTCCTTAATTTTCCATTCTGTTATTTTCCACTGAATAAATTTGAAATTTTAGTATAATGAACTTCGAATTTTCCTTTTTCTCCCCTGAAAGTTTCACAATTTTCCCTTCAGTAGTTTTCTAGAAAAAAATTAAAATGTAAGAGGGTGCATTTTTGCCTAATTTGGATTTTGCAAGTTGACTTTCATTAATTTTCCATTCCGGTATTTTCCCCTGAATAAGTTTGAAATTTTAGTATAATGAACTTCTAATTTTCCTTTTTCTCCCCTGAAAGTTTCACAATTTTCCCCTCAGTAGTTTTCCAGAAACAAATTAAAATGTAAGAGGGTGTATTTTTGCTTAATTTAAATTTGTAAGTAATTTTCATTAATTTTTCATCAATTTCCTATTTTGTTACTTTCTACTGGAAAAGTTTGAAATTTTAGTATGATGAACTGCTAACTTTTCTGTTTTTTTCCTGAAAGTTTCACAATTTTCCCTTCAGTAGTTTTCCAGAAAAAAATTAAAATATTAGATGGTGCATTTTTGCCTAATTTGGATTTTGCAAGTTGATTTTCCTTAATTTTCCATTCTGTTATTTTCCACTGAATAAATTTGAAATTTTAGTATAATGAACTTCTAATTTTCCTTTTTCTCCCCTGAAAGTTTCACAATTTTCCCTTCAGTAGTTTTCTAGAAAAAAATTAAAATGTAAGAGGGTGCATTTTTGCCTAATTTGGATTTTGCAAGTTGACTTTCATTAATTTTCCATTCCGGTATTTTCCACTGAATAAGTTTGAAATTTTAGTATGATGAACTGCTAACTTTTCTGTTTTTTTTCCTGAAAGTTTCACAATTTTCCCTTCAGTAGTTTTCCAGAAAAAAATTAAAATATTAGATGGTGCATTTTTGCCTAATTTGGATTTTGCAAGTTGATTTTCCTTAATTTTCCATTCTGTTATTTTCCACTGAATAAATTTGAAATTTTAGTATAATGAACTTCTAATTTTCCTTTTTCTCCCCTGAAAGTTTCACAATTTTCCCTTCAGTAGTTTTCTAGAAAAAAATTAAAATGTAAGAGGGTGCATTTTTGCCTAATTTGGATTTTGCAAGTTGACTTTCATTAATTTTCCATTCCGGTATTTTCCCCTGAATAAGTTTGAAATTTTAGTATAATGAACTTCTAATTTTCCTTTTTCTCCCCTGAAAGTTTCACAATTTTCCCCTCAGTAGTTTTCCAGAAACAAATTAAAATGTAAGAGGGTGTATTTTTGCTTAATTTAAATTTGTAAATAATTTTCATTAATTTTTCATCAATTTCCTATTTTGTTACTTTCTACTGGAAAAGTTTGAAATTTTAGTATGATGAACTGCTAACTTTTCTGTTTTTTTCCTGAAAGTTTCACAATTTTCCCTTCAGTAGTTTTCCAGAAAAAAATTAAAATATTAGATGGTGCATTTTTGCCTAATTTGGATTTTGCAAGTTGATTTTCCTTAATTTTCCATTCTGTTATTTTCCACTGAATAAATTTGAAATTTTAGTATAATGAACTTCGAATTTTCCTTTTTCTCCCCTGAAAGTTTCACAATTTTCCCTTCAGTAGTTTTCTAGAAAAAAATTAAAATGTAAGAGGGTGCATTTTTGCCTAATTTGGATTTTGCAAGTTGACTTTCATTAATTTTCCATTCTGTTATTTTCCACTGAATAAATTTGAAATTTTAGTATAATGAACTTCTAATTTTCCTTTTTCTCCCCTGAAAGTTTCACAATTTTCCCCTCAGTAGTTTTCCAGAAACAAATTAAAATGTAAGAGGGTGTATTTTTGCTTAATTTAAATTTGTAAGTAATTTTCATTAATTTTTCATCAATTTCCTATTTTGTTACTTTCTACTGGAAAAGTTTGAAATTTTAGTATGATGAACTGCTAACTTTTCTGTTTTTTTCCTGAAAGTTTCACAATTTTCCCTTCAGTAGTTTTCCAGAAAAAAATTAAAATATTAGATGGTGCATTTTTGCCTAATTTGGATTTTGCAAGTTGATTTTCCTTAATTTTCCATTCTGTTATTTTCCACTGAATAAATTTGAAATTTTAGTATAATGAACTTCTAATTTTCCTTTTTCTCCCCTGAAAGTTTCACAATTTTCCCCTCAGTAGTTTTCCAGAAACAAATTAAAATGTAAGAGGGTGTATTTTTGCTTAATTTAAATTTGTAAGTAATTTTCATTAATTTTTCATCAATTTCCTATTTTGTTACTTTCTACTGGAAAAGTTTGAAATTTTAGTATGATGAACTGCTAACTTTTCTGTTTTTTTCCTGAAAGTTTCACAATTTTCCCTTCAGTAGTTTTCTAGAAAAAAATTAAAATGTAAGAGGGTGCATTTTTGCCTAATTTGGATTTTGCAAGTTGACTTTCGTTAATTTTCCATTCCGGTATTTTCCACTGAATAAGTTTGAAATTTTAGTATAATGAACTCCTAATTTTCCTTTTTTTTTCCCTGAAAGTTTCACAATTTTCCCCTCAGTAGTTTTCCAGAAAAAAATTAAAATGTAAGAGGGTGTATTTTTGCTTAATTTAAATTTGTAAGTAATTTTCATTAATTTTTCATCAATTTCCTATTTTATTACTTTCTACTGGAAAAGTTTGAAATTTTAGTATGATGAACTGCTAACTTTTCTGTTTTTTTCCTGAAAGTTTCACAATTTTCCCTTCAGTAGTTTTCTAGAAAAAAATTAAAATCTAAGAGGGTGCATTTTTGCCTAATTTGGATTTTGCAAGTTGACTTTCGTTAATTTTCCATTCCGGTATTTTCCACTGAATAAGTTTGAAATTTTAGTATAATGAACTTCTAATTTTCCTTTTTCTCCCCTGAAAGTTTCACAATTTTCCCCCTCAGTAGTTTTCCAGAAACAAATTAAAATGTAAGAGGGTGTATTTTTGCTTAATTTAAATTTGTAAGTAATTTTCATTAATTTTTCATCAATTTCCTATTTTGTTACTTTCTACTGGAAAAGTTTGAAATTTTAGTATGATGAACTGCTAACTTTTCTGTTTTTTTCCTGAAAGTTTCACAATTTTCCCTTCAGTAGTTTTCCAGAAAAAAATTAAAATATTAGATGGTGCATTTTTGCCTAATTTGGATTTTGCAAGTTGATTTTCCTTAATTTTCCATTCTGTTATTTTCCACTGAATAAATTTGAAATTTTAGTATAATGAACTTCTAATTTTCCTTTTTCTCCCCTGAAAGTTTCACAATTTTCCCCTCAGTAGTTTTCTAGAAAAAAATTAAAATGTAAGAGGGTGCATTTTTGCCTAATTTGGATTTTGCAAGTTGACTTTCATTAATTTTCCATTCCGGTATTTTCCCCTGAATAAGTTTGAAATTTTAGTATAATGAACTTCTAATTTTCCTTTTTCTCCCCTGAAAGTTTCACAATTTTCCCCTCAGTAGTTTTCCAGAAACAAATTAAAATGTAAGAGGGTGTATTTTTGCTTAATTTAAATTTGTAAGTAATTTTCATTAATTTTTCATCAATTTCCTATTTTGTTACTTTCTACTGGAAAAGTTTGAAATTTTAGTATGATGAACTGCTAACTTTTCTGTTTTTTTCCTGAAAGTTTCACAATTTTCCCTTCAGTAGTTTTCTAGAAAAAAATTAAAATGTAAGAGGGTGCATTTTTGCCTAATTTGGATTTTGCAAGTTGACTTTCGTTAATTTTCCATTCCGGTATTTTCCACTGAATAAGTTTGAAATTTTAGTATAATGAACTTCTAATTTTCCTTTTTCTCCCCTGAAAGTTTCACAATTTTCCCCTCAGTAGTTTTCCAGAAACAAATTAAAATGTAAGAGGGTGTATTTTTGCTTAATTTAAATTTGTAAGTAATTTTCATTAATTTTTCATCAATTTCCTATTTTGTTACTTTCTACTGGAAAAGTTTGAAATTTTAGTATGATGAACTGCTAACTTTTCTGTTTTTTTTCTGAAAGTTTCACAATTTTCCCTTCAGTAGTTTTCTAGAAAAAAATTAAAATGTAAGAGGGTGCATTTTTGCCTAATTTGGATTTTGCAAGTTGACTTTCGTTAATTTTCCATTCCGGTATTTTCCACTGAATAAGTTTGAAATTTTAGTATAATGAACTCCTAATTTTCCTTTTTTTTTCCCTGAAAGTTTCACAATTTTCCCCTCAGTAGTTTTCTAGAAAAAAATTAAAATATAAGAGGGTGCATTTTTGCCTAATTTGGATTTGGCAAGTTGATTTTCATTGATTTTCCATTCTGTTATTTTCCACTGAATAAGTTTGAAATTTTAGTATGGTGAACTCCTAACTTTCCTCTTTTTTTCCTGAAAGTTTCACAATTTTCCCTTCAGTAGTTTTCCAGAAAAAAATTAAAATGTAAGAGGGTGTATTTTTGTTTAATTTAAATTTGCAAGCAGATTTCCGTTAATTTTCCATTTTGTTAGTTTGTACTGGAAAAGTTTGAAATTTTAGTATGATGAACTCCTAACTTTCGTCTTTTTTTTTCTGTTAGTTTCAGAATTTTCCCTTCAGTAGTTTTTCAGAAAAAAATTAAAATGTAAAAGGGTGCATTTTTGCCTAATTTGGATTTGGCAAGTTGATTTTCAATAATTTTCCATTCCGTTATTTTCCACTGAATAAGTTTGAAATTCCATTATGATGAACTCTTAACTTTCCCCTTTTTTTCCTGAAAGTTTCACAATTTTCCCCTCAGTAGTTTTCCAGAAAAAAATTAAAATGTAAAAGAGGGCATTTTTGCCTAATTTGGATTTTCAAGTTGATTTTCATTAATTTTCCATTCTGTTATTTTCCATTGAATAAGTTTAAAATTTTAGTATGATGCACTCCTAATTTTCCTTTTTTTCTCCTGAAAGTTTCACAATTTTCCCTTCAGTAAATTAAAATGTAAAAGGGCGCATTTTTCTCAAGTTGATTTCTTCACATTCTTTCTAGGTGATTTGAGGGCACAATTGAGCAAAAAACGAGCAGAAAAACGTCAAAAAAACACCAGAAAAGAAGTGATGACGTCCCGATTGCTGCAAAACGCTTTACAGAACGTTTTGCCTATCAAGAAGAAATCTAAGAAATCTTCAAAGCTGTCCAGCACTGGTAAGAATCACCAATTTAATAATTAAAAATAATTCACCTCGTAAACACAGGGACAATTAAGACTGGTTTATTCACCTTCTGATATGTAAATTTATTTTGCAGATGAATAAACCGGGTCTTAGTTAAGTTAATTAACTATGAAAAATTAATTTTTTTTATTAGAATTGACAAGTTTGTTCATTGCTGATATGTTTAGGGGTACACAGTGCGTGTGTAGCATGAAGAAATTATCAAGCTATCAAAGTAAATTGCAATTTGGTTATTTATTTTTTTCTAATCAATTTAGTCTTAGGGTTATTCATCTTCAGATAAACAAACAATTACCGGAAAGTTTATCTAGAATGTGAATAAATCTGGGCCTTAGACTAACGAAAGCTTGTTTATAGATATCGATAGTAGTAAGATGCCGATACGTTTGAGGCTAGGCCTGGCTCACACTTCGGACGCGTTCGCTACTAGTAAGCAGAAAAATAAATCAAAAAAACGGAAATTGAGCGACATTGATTCTGAAGATCAGGTATTTGTTGTTTTTTAAAAAAAGAATATATTTTGTTTGTTGTTGGTAAGTTTTGAATGTGAATTACGAGAAGAATGATTAATTTCCTATTTGAAAAGGCATATCAAATGTAGATTTTTTTTTTTTTTAATAATTTTGAAATTCTAACATTATTGTTAAACATTCTGTGATATTAATTTAAGTGTTATTATTGTCAATTATTAGTATTAAGGATTTTTGTAGCTGCTAAATCTCATTCTTATGGTCGTATAGGTGTAACAACGAGACAAAAATGGATATGCAATGGAAAATTACCAAGCGCTGGGATTTAATTCATAAGTTAATTGTAAAAAAAAACTTTTTCCAGTGAATAATTAATTGAAATTGATTTATTGTTTAGTTGTAAGTTTGCGGTTTGTATAAAAAGGTTTTACGATTCTTTATTTCGAGTTTTAAGCTGTATAAACTAAAATTAAGTTAAGGTTTAAATCTGAATTTATTTATTTTAAGTCTCAATATAGGTATGTGCTAATTATATTGCTTTGTATATATAATTTAATTTTGTATATATTTGTCGATATACATGATACATAGATTTTGTTTTTATTTATTTTAATTATTAAATATCCCTTTTTTTAAAAAGTTTGTATTTTTATTTACATTAATAATTATTATTAATTAATTTTATCTGTTGAATTGTTGCTATACCTTATTCAAATTTATTGGAATCAATGGTACTCAGTGTTGCCAAATGAGATAAAGAAAAATTGTATGTGCAATGGTGCAATTTTGATCAAAAGTGGTGTAATCTTACGAATAATCGTGAGACCTGGCAACATTGGAATGAATACACAATACACGTGCTCATAGTTTTGTTGATAATCCGAATAACCTCCAAACTTTTTAAATAAAAATAATGATAAAATTAAAACTATTCAAAGGCAATATTTTTGTCTATGACGTAGATGATTGGCTCAAATTAAGAAAAAATCACCGCATCATTGGCCATTTAATAGGTAACACTAATCTAATCCCTTCATTACCTAGTAAATTATTACCAGAAGAAGCCCTAGTTCTCTTAGAGCAAAATTTGGCCCAACTCTATGAAAACAATAATGACAAAATTATAGAAAATTCAAAAGAATTTGAAGAAAAACTGCTTGAAGCCCAACAAGCTGAATACAAAACAATAAGAAAACAACAACTCGATGGTTTAATTGATAAAATCCTGGCAAAAAGACGTCAGAGAGGAGATACAAGACCACAATCTGAAATTTTCGATGAAGAACTCAACAAATCTTCACTAATAACAAAATCCAACATGCTTTGGCCAATTTTACTACAAAATGAAGCACAAAACCTCATTTTAAAAGGCCTAGAAGATGTTTTACCCTTAACAAACCCTTTAAAAGCGACAGTTTTCAAAGACCTTTGGATCAAGGGCTATTACGTAACTAGTGGCAAAAAATTTGGAAGCGATTTTTTGGTTTACTACGGGGACCCCATTATACACCATGCAATTTTTGCTATTAGATGTATTGATCGGGAAACTGCTTTTACCCCAACAGAATTGATTGCCTTTGGTAGATTAGGGGTGTCGGTTAAGAAAAGGGCTGTTTTGGCTACAGTTAGGGATGGGGTAGTTGATTATGTAACAATAAATTGGATAGATGCTTGAATTTGGTTTTATTTTTAATTCACCATAGGGTCAAGAAAACGCCTACTTTATCGAGTTTCATAGGTTCGATTTCCATTTTTTGTCTATTCCCGGCTCTTGAATTTGTCAAAATAAAAAAGATTCAAGAGCCTAGAATAGAAAAAAATATGAATGTCCTATCGATGGCCGCCACGCCATATTGAATTTTCCTTTTTGACAGATTGATTGGATTGCTCATAACGTCAAAACAAAAGTAAACAAATCAAAATGTAATCGTTATCAAATTTTAGAACCACTTAAAAAAAAACAAGCAATGACACGAAATATACTGAAAAGCAGCCTCCAAAATGCTTCATTCAGCATCATTTTCCAAGTAGGTACCCACAAAAACGACTGTCACCCAATAAATTTGGCTCTTAAGATTCTTTTCAGGTGCATCTCCTTCGTACTCAATGCTTTCATCATTAGAACTGTAGGCCAAGATGTTTTAGGGATTATGAACGTCAGGCTCCTTTTACTGGAGTCTACGATACTGTTTTTATCAAAGGAGCCCCTCTTAAAAGCTTGTCTTACCAATGCTAAAGCGCACAATTGGGCACAAGTTGTTAATTTGATATGGCTTTCGTAAGCAAAGAACCAAGGGGTGAATAGTTCTTGCAATCTGTGTACATATTTCTCACAATAATCGTTACACAATCTCTCAATCATTACACAATCACACGGTCAGTTTACACATTTTGGGTCAGCTATTCACCCCTTGCAAACAACTCTGGTAGTTGTTGGATTTTTTAATATTATTTTGCTTAAAATTTAGGGTTCCTTTATCAATGATTCTCAGTTCAGTGCTGGCATACATTTGGATAAACCTTTTAAGCCCTACTGATGCAATTTACTTGAGTCAGTACAAATTGGGTTGCTATGCAGTAGCTATTTCGTGCCTAGTAGAACAAGCTACACAAAGTGTAATTTTGGTTTCACAAAGTTATTGTTTTGTTAAGCTTAAGGTAATTTTGCTTGGATGTTTAAAACAAAAATTTAATTTTGAAATTTCCAGATAGTTTTTGAAACAATTTATATTCTGGCAAGGACTTTTACTTTTGTCTATTTAGTTGTTTACTATCCTAGTGAGGCTATCAATGCATTTTCAATAGCCCAAGTGGTTTCAGCTGTATTACTTTGCGTGTTGTACTATGGGTTTTTTGCTTGGTACATTCCAAAATTGAACCAGGAAGGCCAAAAGGGGGCATTGTTTGCAGACATGGGGGATTTTCCTTTTAGGAGTTTGCTGAATTTTTTTCCAGGGTTTATGTTTAACGAGGTAGGTTTGTATGTGCAGTATTCTAATTAAGATTTTATGAGTAGTTGTAGCTGACCTCAAAAAGTTTTTTATAATTTGACTCATAGTTTTGGTAATTTTCAACGAATCAACTTGTATTATAGATTTTTCTGAAAGGGGATCAAATTCTCTATAAATCTGTGCTAATTTGAGTTTGATATCTCAAATACTTTTCGAGCAACCGATCCTCAAAGTTGAAGTTATTGATATCCTGACATGATCTTAAAAATATAGTTTCTATAATTTCAAATCAATCAATTTGTATTGTAGGTTTTCTGAAAGAAGAATAAATTCTTTATAAAATTTTCCAAAAATCATATACAGGGTGGCCCAAATTCGAGCCTCATCATTGAGATCTTGGTAACTGTAAGAAATACGGGGTCGTTTAAATTATGGCAAAGTTCCGCAATTTTAGCAACAAATAGAACGCCGTTTTGAAATTAGAAAGATTCCGAATACTTCCGGAGATATTCGGAAAAAACCGGAATTTGGTAAAATCGTTTTTATTTTTTCCCGGGCTTATTTGAAAAGCAATTTTAAAATAAATGTCACTTCATCATTGTCACTTTTTCCCCTTTAGAAGATGGTGCTGCCAGTGGCGCAATTAGGGGGGGGCTTAGCCCCCCCAAATCCGATGGTCACAAATATGATGGTAATGACACAAATTAGCCATCCGTCCTCCCAAACCCGAGCGAGCAGATCTGAGTCGCTTTCCAGTGATGCATTTTAAACACTCCTGAGCTGCTCTAGAGCGCCCTGGACTGTTTATAAGGCGTTCCAGCGCAATAGAGTTTCGCGCAACTGAACTGTTCGTTTTTCCTCTTCCCTGCCCTCTCAAGCACCGGCTATTTTATAAGGGAATCAAAAACACGAAGCTTAAAGTAGGGTGCGTTCCAGTGACACAACAGTTTTATTAACCCTTTCGTCTGCTGGTCCGTGTCTGTTTGTGCACTTAGGAGGAATTTAATTTAACACAACTTGTTCAGTTTTTAAGTTGTTTTTAGTACCGATTTTAGTAGTTTAAGAAGTTTTAAACTCAATATACAGGATGTCCCAGCCGAGAGTGACCCATTTTTAAAGCTTATAACTTTTAAACCAGGTATGCTGGGTACCTGTGGTTTGTGCCATTCGATTTCTCTTGGCCTAAAGTTTTTCTTAGTAGGTTGCAAATTTTTTTGAAACGTATACAGGCCGAATAAAAAAAAATCCATTTTTCAACATCGAAATTCTCCACCATTTCTAATGGAACACCCTGTATATCACAGCGACAAAAAAGAGATTCATGTTCAAGGTATCCATGTATCAATAGACATCGTCCCTAAAACTTGAAGTTTTAGCCGTGAAAAATCAAAATTGAAATCTTGGTATTTTTGCAAATGCATGCAACTTCATGTTGTAGGTACTTGATATCACTCTATGTCTATGGCAAATATTTTGTAACTGTCTGGTTAAATATCAATTAAATTAAAATACGTTTTCCAAGAAAATTTAATGAGTTGAGAAAAAATACAGACCATTTTTTATTAGCCAACTACAACAGAAACTGTATACACTGATATGCTCTTTTTCCCACAGTTAAGACAGGAGGATATCTTGGATGATATATATTTTCAGCAGAATGGTGCCCCCACCTTATCATTCTTTAATAGCAACGGAATCACTAGATAATGGCATTTGGGGAAAGAAGGATAAGGAGAGCTGGTCCTATAGAATGAACACTTTACTCTCCTGACTTGAGGGTTCTAGACTTTTTTCTCTAGGGTGATGTCAAGGAAAGGTGCGGTAATACTTTGCTCAAATAGCCTGGAAGATCTTGAGCGGAACATTTGTAATGTCATTGAAGCGATTCTCCAGGAAATATGTTACACAATTCATTCAACCATTTATTAATCCATAAATGCTTGGAGCAGAATGGCTAACATATACATATACAGCATTTTGTATAGTTTTATGCAGTTTTCATTAAAACTTTTCAGTAGGCAAACCTAAGGTCCCAGCTTTAAAAATATGCATTTGCAAAAATACCAAGATTTCGATTTTGATTTTTTATGGCTGAAACTTCAAGTTTTAGAGGCGATGTGTTTTCGTACATGGATACTTTGAACATGAATCTTTTTTTTTTGACGTTGTGATATACAAGATGTTCCATTAAAAATAGTGGAGAGTTTCGATGTTGAAAAACGGATTTTTTTTACTTGCCCTGTATAAGTTTTAAAAAAAATTGCAACCTACTAGAAAAAACTTCAGGCCAAGAGAAATCGAATGGCACAAACCGCAGGTAGCTAGCACACCTGGTTTGAAAGTTATAAGTATTTAAAATGGGTCACTCTCGGCTGGGACACCCTGTATTTTTACTTACATATTATGTATGTATGTACAGTTGCGATAAAAAAAAAGTAGTACAAAAATTATTAACCCTAATTTGAGCTCCCGGTGTAACATACAAAATTTTGACAGTAAAGAAACATTTCAAAATATGTTAAGGTTAAGCAATGACATATTCTAGGTTAAAAACGGGTGGAAAAATGTCAAAGTAGGTAATGTCATTTGAAGCTTTCTAGGTTACAAACTTGTCGAGAAATGCCAAAAATATGTCATATTTGATTATGAATTAAATTAATGTATAATAGACCAGGAGATTTTAGAGATTTTTCTTGTACTACTTTTTTTTGATCGCAACTGTACATAATCTATTATAACTTGGTTTTTTTTTTTCAACTAAGAACGTAGATTATATCGAAGAACAAAATTTAAATCTGAGTATTTCCGTCAAATTCAGGCATTTGTGAAATACGTATTGTAGTGAGTTTTGAACAACATCATATACTGTCACGAAATCGACTTATAGAGACCCGGGGCTCAAGCCCCCCCAAAACCAACAAGCTAGTTGCGCCCCTGGGTGCTACTAAATTTAAATTTCGATGTTTTGTCAACTTCCTTTTTTTAAATACGGACCTGGCTTTTTCATTTGCGATTTTGTCATCTTTGAGCATCCTAAAACCGATACTGTTTATAATTTTTTCTGCGATTGACAAGAAATGTCAGCATTTTTGTTGACAGGTTGATAGGTCGCAAAACTCAATATTCTGGTATTTCAATTATGTTTCAATAGTTGCTAAGAAATCAATGAGTAACAATACGGGAAACACTTTTACGGCCTAGGCCGGGAAAGTGATTCTTGTATTGCTGAATAAATGGAACTAAAAGACAAACATTTGACAGGTATTTAACCGATCGCAGAAAAAATAGTACGTATGTGTATTTCGGTGGAAAAGCACATTCTCGGCCTTCAGAGTGTTTGCCGGCCTCGGCTACGCCTCGCCCGTCAACTTACACCGTCGGCCGAGAATGTGTCACTTTTCCACCTAAATACACAATATACTATTTCAATAACACAGGTAAAAAAGCAGGCCCGTATTTAAAAAAATAAATAAATTGATGATGATTCCAGAGGAACGAAACGTTGGATTTGAAATTTGATATTGCCATCTTGTAGAGAAGAAAAAGTGACAATGGGAATGTAAAATTAGTTTTTCACAATCTTTTTAAATAAAATCAGAGAAAAATGAAAACTTTACGAAAAAAACATGAATTTCTCGTTTTTTTTTAATTTTTTCCTGATTCCATTTAAATAGATTTTGAAAAACTAATTTTTCTACGAGCGTGCGGGAAATGGCTCTTCCCGCACGATTTGCTGTGCGGGAAGACCTTTTTCCCGCACCAGTGCGGGAAGACTTTTTTCCCGCACTCAGTGCGGGAAAAGTTTGAAATAATCATTGTGACATGGAATTGTTTGTATTGTTGATACACTTATACCTTTACCTTTATAGTTATTTATCTAACAAATGCAGAAAGTGATACTTTACCGCACGCAACGGCAGTTGACCGAACGACGCGAAGTGGAGTTCGGTCAAGCCGTTAAGGGCGGTAAAGGTACTTTCCGCATGTGTTAGGTACAAAATTTTATCTATGAGCATCTACATCTCCAAAAAAAGGCATTGATAAAATTAATTAATGAATCAGATTTATTAATGAAATAAGATTAGATTTAGAAATGATCAAAAATCTATTTTCTGAAAAAGAAAGGAATTTTGAAAATAAATATCAAATTCTACTTTACCACACACTATGCGGTAAAGTGCACTTTACCGCACACTTTGTAATCCACTTTACCGCATACTGTGCGGTAAAGTTAACTTTGCAGCATAGTATGCGGTAAAGTGCTACTTTCCATTTTCAAATACGTGCGGTAAAGTGCACTTCACCGCACGCTCGTAGGTAAATACCTTTACCTTTTTTTTTTAACAAATACCTTTCAATACATTTTTAATTCTACCTTCTGCACAATCGCATTTTATTTAAATTAAACTTCTCGTAACATCAGCTTTAGTATGCTCGTAGAAAAAATATAGTTCCTAACTCTTACGGGAAATTTCTCTTCCCGCACTCGTTAGGAAAATAGCTATTCACATTCCCATTGTCACTTTTTCTTCTCTATTAAATTTGAAATCCAACGTTTCGTTCCTCTGGAATCATCATCAATTTATTTTTTTTAAATACGGACCTGCTTCTTTCACCGTGTTATTGAAATAGTTATTTGAACAACAAGTTTTGAAAACGACTTTTTTCGCACGGCGAGACAGTTTGTTGGACCGAGCCGTAGGCGAGTTCCGCAAGTCGAGCAAGTGTGAAAAAAGGTTTTCAAACGAGTTTTTTACAATGCTTTTCCTACAACTGCAAAATAAAACAACCAAATATGTAATTTTCATTTGTTAGAAAACTTGAAGCGTGTGAAAAACTTTTTCGCACGCCGAGGAGCGTGTGAAAAACTTTTTCGCACGCTAAAATGCGTGTGGAAAACTTTTTCGCACGCTGTGCGAAAAACTCTAATTTCAGAGGTTGCCTAGCGTGCGAAAAACTCCATTTTCAGACGCAGTCGTAGGAAAAATTATAAACAGTATCGGTTTTAGGATGCCCAAAGATGAGAAAATCGCAAATAAAAAATCTAGGTCTGTATTTAAAAAAAGTAAGTTGAGGATGGCCGCCTGAAGACGAAACGTCGAATTTTAAATTTAGTAGCACCATCTTCTAAAGGGGAAAAAGTGACAGCGATGAAGTGACATTTATTTTAAAATTGCTTTTCAAATAAGCCCAGGAAAAAATAAAAACGATTTTAGAAAATTTCGGTTTTTTCTGAATATCTCCGGAAGTATTCGGAATCTTTCTAGTTTCAAAACGGCATTTTATTGGTCATAAAATTGCTCAACTTTGCCATAATTTAACCGACCCCGTATCTCTTACGGTTACCGAGATTCCAATGATGAGGCTCGAATAATTTGACAGTTGTTTTTCTTGATTTTGAGAAATTGGGCTTCAAACTGGAAATTTCACAATCACATATTACTGTTATTATTTCAGGATGAAAAAATCAACAAAAACCTTCTACTATTGACCATCAGTTTCGTAAAACAATCAATAGTCAAGCAAATTCTAACCGAAGGCGAAAAATATGTAATGACAATATCCCCAGTATTAACTTTTAGCCAGCAATCAATTTACGATATTGTTAATAATCTTGGAAGCCTTGCAGCAAGATTTATATTTCGCCCAATCGAAGAATCAGCCTATTTTTATTTCACCCAAATGATTCACCGAGACCTGCCTTTGAAAAAGCAAAAAGAGCAAAATATTGCTGAAGCATCTCAAGTGCTGAGCCAGCTTTGTAGAGTTGTAGTCAGCATAGGGCTAGTTGTAGTTGTTTTTGGACAATCTTACAGCTACACTTTGTTGTACTTGTACGGAGGGCAAAAATTAGTTGCCAGCACTTTGCCTACAACTCTACTACAATTTCATTGTTTTGCAATTGTATTGTTGGCTGTGAACGGAGTTACTGAGGCCTATGTTTTTGCTACAATGAATAATAAACAATTAGACAAGTAAGTTTATTAAAAATTAAATATTATTTGTTAATTAATTATTTTTTGTTTTTCAGATATAATTATTTAATGGTAATTTTTTCAATAGGGTTTTTGTTGATATCCTATGTTTTGACTAATGTGCTAGGGCCTGTGGGATTTATTTTGGCCAATTGCGTTAACATGGTTGCCAGAATTGGACATAGTTTGTATTTTATTTGGGAAAAATACCACAATAGCAACTATAGGCCTTTAGAAGGCTTAATACCAACTTCTAGGTTTGTAATCGTGCTTTTTTTAGCAGGGATTTTCACCAAGTATTCAGAGGTAAGAATTAATAGATTTATTCACACAAACATTGTGACTTCTGTGAGAATAAACCTAATTTGCTCTTTTTCAATTTAGATCTACCTACTACCAAAATCCATACTACTACACATTGGTTTTGGTGCGATATTGTTCCTATTGGTCTTGGCAACATGGGCCTTGGACAACTCAAGCCTACTACGACTAGGATATGAAAAATACAAACGCAGAATTTCAATAAAATCAGATTAAATAATTCAAATAAAATGTTATAATTTCTTATAAATAGCTCCCGTAATGGTATCGGCCTTTTGTATCATGCAAATTTGGTTTTCGTTTTCTAAGGTGACCACTGGCATTTTGCTGTTGGGTTCCAACTTGGCTACTTGATTTGCTATTGCCGTTATGTAGCCGGAGGTTTCATTGGACGCTTGTCCTTTGGCTGGAAAAAGGTAATTACTAATGGAAAGTGATGGAAAGTTTTACTTACATCCAATGCAAAGGCCTTGCTGGTCAGCAAATAGACAGCCTAGTACTGCAGGGTCTAGACATCTATGAGTAAAGTTTTTTTAAATTTAATGCGGAATATATTGTTTAAATACGTACATTTCTTCCATTACACGGTCTAGATTGTTTTCCATGTTTTATTTAGGAAATTAATTTTTCTAGAAGTTATTTTTCTTTTGGAAATTAATAATCAATATGGCTGTTTTGTTGACAACAATATGCGACATTTATTTGACAAGGATGACCATTTTAGGTCAAAGAAGAAATCTGTAATATATTGATATGAGTGGAAAGAAGCAGTGATGCCAACTTGAGAAAAAAAAATCAGCAGCAGCATGACTTTTGATTTTTGGCATCTCATCTTCATCTGTCAGTCAGATGATTCTTCTACTGACAATAGATTTCATTAAAATCTCACACACACAGAAAAGTATATTAATTTTTCATTATTGCTCACTTATTTTCGACCAAAACACCATTTAAATAAATTGCAAATCCTTGGCTTTATTGTCACAAACACTGAAACCATCCAGAACGATTAGTTCCATTCAAAAAAGCCAAATTTAAAAAGGTTATTCAGAAACGTGGAAATGGAAACGAGACATAATTTGACCTTTTTGGACAACGACGAAGACACCTCGGACACCAGCGTAGTTACTGAAGGTTGCACCCACATCAACAAAGCAGTAGATATACTCAGAGTCAAAAAAGTAATCGCCAAATCAGGTTTTCTTACTGATTGCCTCGACTGCAAACTTTTCCCTGAAGACTTACCATCTTGCCTTACCGATCTTGATCTACAAACTCGGCTGAATCTTTCTTTTGACGACTCATTGTGGCTCTGTTTGAAATGCGGCCATCAGGCTTGCGGCAGAGACAAAGCCGCACACGCTTTGAAGCATTACAGCACTGTAAGAAGCGAGTGCCACTCTATGTGCGTCAACACTGAAGACTGGAGAATTTGGTGTTATGACTGTGATGATGAAATTGGTAATTTTAGTCCTAATGGGATTTATAGGAAGAAGCTTGATGATGCTATTGAAGATATAAAGAAATTGAATAGATATAAAAAGAAAACTACATTGCCTACAATTAGTACTGCTAGTGGGGCTTTGCCTAAAAAGGTTGTAGCCACAACAACAATAGGACAACCAATAAGAGTTAGAGGCTTGAGCAATTTGGGCAATACCTGTTTTTTCAACTCAGTAATGCAATGCTTAGGACAAACACCATATTTGGTCAAGTTGCTTGACGAAACAAGCTCACCAGGCCAGTTTTTCCACTTGCCAGGAGGCCAATTGAAGCTAAAAGACAAAACTGAAATCAATTTGAATCCTTTAGAAGGTGAAGCAGAAAAGTGGAGGCCTCTAGCTCAAACCTTAGCAGAAACTTTGCACGAGCTTCAAAGCGATAGAGCAGGCGTTTATAATCCTAGAAACCTTTTGGATAAATTATGCGGCAGGATGCCTCAGTTTGCAGGTGGAGACCAGCATGATTCCCACGAGCTTCTGAGACACTTACTTGAAGCAGTACGTGAAGAAGATCAGAAAAGATTCAAGCTTGTTATTCTAAAGCAATTAGGCTTCAGCCAGAAAACAGATCCTGCCACTGTAGACGAAGAAAAAAAGCAAATAATCAAATTTTATGGGCAACAAGTTTCAGAAATGTTGCTGGCAACTGAGCAAGTTTTTCGTGGGGCTTTAATCAGCACCTTACAATGTCAAGTATGCGACCACTTGTCCCACAGAGTGGAAAAGTTTCTAGATTTAAGCTTGCCTATAACAGAAAAGCAAATGCCTCCTGTCCTACGAAGAAAAGCTGAAGACAGTGAAGACCACAAACCGTCAAAACACCAACTGAAAAAAGAAAAACGTGCAGAGAGAAACAAAAAGAGACAAAACAGGAAAAATAATGCTAATAGTAGTAATGTTGCAGAAACAAAATCCGATAGTGAAGAGTCTCTGAATCAATCCCCAAATGCAGATGCAGACGTTGAAGATAATGATGAAGATGGGCCTAGTAAAACAATAATAGCCTTGCCAGCTCCTGGAGAAGATTTCCAAATTGAGTCTGGATACAATTCGGAAAAAATCGAAAACAGCAGCCCTGATTCTAATAGAATTAATTCCCCAGTTGAAGCTATGATTGAGGATAGCGGTGTTGCAACATGTAGCAACATTCCTATGTCGCCTAGTAACAGTGAGGCTTCTAGTGAGGCTAATGTTGATATGGGGAGTCCTAATAGTCCTGAACATGAAGATTTTGGGTAAGAATTTTTGTGAATTTGGCAATATTGCTTATTGCTCCAAACTGGTTTCAAATTCCCTAAAAATGTATTGTACAGGGTGTTTCAAATTCGAGCCACATTATTGGGATCTCGGAAACGGTAAGATATACAGGGTTGGTTAAATGGGGGCAAAGTTGCGTAATTTGATGCTTATTAACAAAATGCCGCTTTGATATTTAGGATATTCCAAATACTTCCGGCGATCACTTCATCATAGCCACTTTTTCTCCCCTACAAGATGCTACCATCAAATTTAAAATCTGACGTTTCGTCTTTGGGCCACCAGCATCAACTCTATTTTTTCAAATACGATCTGGATTTTTTATTTCAAATTTTTAGCGCTTCTGATGTCCCAAAACCTATGACGTATCGCATTTATTCGAAAAAATATTTTTCCTACTTTTTAGTAATTTCCTACCAAAATTCTCTTCTCTGTCTCTCTCTTACACATTTGGTTCTTATGGAAGGTACCAATAATATAATTTTTTTGAATAAGTGCTATACATCGTTAGTTTTAGAACATTAGAAGCTTATGAAATCTAAAATAAAAAATTAGGGTCCGTATTTAAAAAAATGAAGTTGATGATGGTGGCCCAAACACGAAACGTCAAATTGCAAATTTGATGGTAGCATCTTGTAGGGGAGAAAAAGTGGCTATGATGAAGTGATATTTTTTTTGGAATACCACTTCAAAATTTCGGTTTTTTCCGGAAGTTTTCGGAATATCCTGAATATCAAAGCGGCATTTTGTTAAGCATCAAATTACGCAACTTTGCCCCAATTTAACCAACCCTGTATGTCTTACCGTTTCCGAGATCCCAATGATGTGGCTCGAATCTGAAACATCTGTACATATTCCATAAAAATCCCCAAAATTCAAGGTTGGAAAAAACCCGGGTTTTTTTGAAAAAGTCCAACCCGTCGGGTTTTTTTGGATTTTTATGGGTTTTTTTGGGTTTTTTGGGTTTTTTCAGACTTACCGGGGTTTGCATTTTTTTTTTTTTAATTTGATTTTTAGTTTCTGCTTTAGCAAAAGTATTACAAAAATTATGACTTGTTACAAAAATAAAATATCCTTACAAAATAAAACAAGCCACTTGATATAAAGAATAAGTCTGTTTCCACTTTCCAAAGAAATCACAAACCAGACAGAGCGTTTTTGATTGGTGCAAATCGCCAACAACCAGTTGTCTGACTATTTTCAACCAATGAAATTCACTCTGACTGGTTTGTGATTTCTGTGGAAACAGGCCTAATAATTACACTTGGCATCAGTGCACTGTACCACGCCTCTTTTTGAAAAAAAAACCAAAAAACCCAATAATGGTGGGTTTTGTCAATTGAAAAAACCCCACTGGGTTTTATAACCTGGGAAATTTCTATGCCAACCTTGCCAAAATTGTTTGTGATAAGAAATCTATTTTTCTATTTTCTACAATGTGTCCAAGATAAGGAGGGCCAGTATTGGGATCTCGAAAACAGTGAAAGATACGACGTTGCTTAAATTAGGAAAAAATTGTGCAATTTTGTGCTCATTAAAATACCGCTCTGATATTTCAAAAATTCCTAGTGATACCGGAGATATCCGGGAAAACACGAAATTCGGCCGGGGGATTTTATTTTTTCCTGACCTTATTTGAAGAGATATTTGGAAATAAAAGGCACTTCTTCATTGCCACTTTTCCCCCTCTACAATATGGCATTATCAAATTTTTAGTCCGACGTTTCGTTTTTGGGCAACCATTTCATCAGATCCCCATAAGTACTGGCCCTCCTTATCTTGGACACATTGTATAGTGTTAAAACCAATAGGTCTGTTTCTGCAGAAATTACAAACCAGTCAAAGTGAATTTCATTGGTTGAAACTAGTTTTCTGACTGTTTTCAACCAATGAAATTCGCTCTAACTTGTTTGTAATTTCTGCAGAAACAGAACTAATAAATTCCCCCAGTTTCTAATAGATTCCACCAATTTCCCATAAATTCCTCCAAATTCCCCACACAAATTAATCACAGTTTGGGTAAAGTAGGTACCTATTAGATAAATCAAGATTTTTGAAAACAAATTTAGAAACAGTGTAATGAAACTTTGGTAAAAACACTTGTGTTCGCCCTTGAATTTGTACAAAGAAGTCCTTAATCTTCCTGCAAATTTCTCCAAACTGCTGACAAATTCCCTGTAAATGCTTGTTACAAATTCTCTGAAAATTCCCAAAATTGTTCATGATAAAAAATGTATTACATTCGTCCAATTTCCCATAAATTCCCCACAAATTCCCTACAGTTTTGGCAAAGAATACCTAGATGGTTTGCCCCTTGGCTATCTGCTTTAAGACTCAAAAACTAAAGTCTAAAAAGGTGTTATGTCATAATTCAAATTTGTCCCTTTTTTTACTACCAGGACATAAAGTACTTACTTTGTGCACTATTCAAAAGACGTAAAGTTATATTTCACCCACTAGTGTGTAAAATAGAGTAAGAAATTTGTAAGAGAACACAGAGGCGGGATTCTGTAACGGATAGAGATCATTATCCCTATCTCTATGGCACTTGCTGTCTTCTTCTCTCTTTTCAAAATCAATAGAGAGGGGACATCAATAGAGATAGCGAAAATATCTCTATTCTTTACAGAATTCAAGAGCCTGGAAAAAACAAAAATTGTTTACTTTATACAGAAAAGTAACAATTTTAATATTTATTTGAATCCATCTACTTAAGGTTAAAAAGTTCATTTAAGAATATTTTATTATAAAGTACTTCATTTATTCACAATTGGCAACAGCGCAATCAAACCTTCAACTGTGTCTTGACACTGAAATACTCTTATCAAATTTGATTGGTTTGTTTCTCATACGTCATCGTTTGACGCATTTCAATGATTTCAAATTTCTCCAGTTTTGAAAGTCAAATTTCTAATTTTCAGCGTATGTCAACGTCCAATGTCCAGACTGGCCTTCGTAGAGAACAACAACAATAAAAACAACGACCTCAAAGAAGTCGATTTGGAAAAGCTCAGTCTATTAAATGATGGCGATTCAAAAAAGGTGCACTCCATCTACGAACAAGAAACTCTAATGGAGGAAAGCGCGTGCGCAAATGATACATCTACTAGTGAAATTGTAAGTTTGGTCTGATTTCACAGAATTTAATTCGAGGGGTTAACTACCTTGAAAATTGTGTACAATTATCCCCCCTCCATGATTTTATTGGTCCCAGGCGATTTGCACCAATCATTGAATGAATATTGTAACAATTTGTAGATGATGGACCAAGACGAAGACGACGAAGAAGTCTACAGTGGCACTTTGGCTGAAAAATATCAATGTCAAGATGGCGAGTGTTCAGTACAGTCTTGTCTGAGTCAATTTACCGAGTGCGAACTTTTAATGGGCTCCAACAAAGTAGGATGCGATTTGTGCACTAAACGTGCCGGAAATAAAAAGACTGTTTACACTGACGCATCGAAACAGTTGCTCATCTACAATCCACCCGCTGTACTGATTTTGCATTTTAAACGATTCCAAGTAAATACATTATTAATTTATCCTATTTATTAATAATTATTTTTAGGTTTTCAGATTTCGTTCAGCAAAAGTATCAAAGTTTGTCAAGTTTTCAACAATCCTGGATCTTGCACCGTTTTGCTCCAAGCGCTCTCAAAATCTCCCTTCAGTACAAAATGGTCAAACAAAAGTCCTCTATTCTTTGTATGGTGTTGTAGAGCATAGTGGTTCCATGCACGGAGGCCATTACGTGGCGTACATAAAAGTCAGAGCCCCCCTAGAAGAAAACGATCCGAGGTGGCAGTTTTTGCCCAAAAATCAAAAAGATAAAATTGAAAGTTTGGGTACTGAACCACAAGCACCATCTGGCAAGTGGTACTATGTTAGTGACTCTTATGTGTCTGAAAGTACAGAGACTAAAGTTTTAGCAGCGCAAGCCTATTTGTTATTTTATGAAAGGTTACTTTAGATTTTTTTTTTTTCAAATAATTGAGTGAACTATAAGCGTTGCAGTGATATAGAATTAATTATTTGAAACTTGTAATCAAATTGTCTTTTAAGGGTAAACTGCATTAGGATATTTTGTACTTTTTTGTAAATTCCGCAAAATCTGGTATGCTTTGAAATTAAGATAACTTGAATGCCTACTTCTATTGTTTACTCTTAGGTTTTAGGAAAAATTTGCTCCCAAAATTTAATATTTTATCTTTATTGAATTACTCATCTACATATTTATAATAATAGAATAATTTAAATTTTTTCTTTAGTTTTTTTTTTTTCCTCTTGTTACAGGACTACAATCCCTGAAAGTTTCAGTGCATTTGCACTTATACATAGTTCCAAAAATAAAATTGTGTCAAACAATTTGGGTTGGGTTTATTGATTTTTCAATTTTCTGAGTGCCTTTTTTCATAGATTTCGGCTTCAAATGTGAGAATAATTTAGTGTATGGAGTTTGGGGTATGTTGATTGACCATTAGGATACAAAATCTCGACAAAAAAAAATTTGAAATTTTATCGTTTTAGTAAGAAGGTACCTACCTTATGATTTAGATTTTGGAAAACTTTGAAAGGACATAACTTTTTTTCTATTATAGATAGAAAGCTGAAATTTTCATTGAATTTTATCTCAATGAAGGGGCTACAATCCCTGAAAATTTCAGCTTATTTGCACTTATAGTTCCTGAGATAAAATCGTGTTAAGCTATTGGGGTGATTTATCAATTTTTCTGAGTGCCTTTTTTCATAGATTTCGGCGTCAAATTTGAGAATAATTTAGTTAATGGAGTTCAGGGTATCACGAGGGACCATTAGGACACAAAATCTCGACAAAAAAAATAATTGAAATTTCATAATTTTACTACTAAGGTTAAACATTGTTACAAATTCGCAAGAACCCCATGGTTCTCAATAATTATTATATGAAATACATGGCAAAGTGAGTTGGCAAATAATTGGCCGACTAATAATAATAAAGTTTTCATTCATCAGTCCTGACAGTTTACCAGAAGGTCAATGAGCCCGCCCTAAAAAATAATGGGATAACAAACAAGCAAACACGATAAAAGACCCACATTTTAATATCCTTACTTAACCTAAAACTCTGATCTTATAAAAATCCAATTCTGCATTCACATAATTAAAATAACAAAAACATTTTATGTACAAATTAATTATTAAATCCTATAGTTGGCCCAACAAAAAAGGGCCATATCTAGCTATATATTATCCTAGAAATGTCTGCTGTGACCTTAAAAAACAGACAAAAATTATTTATTCTGAATTTCAAATAATCAAATTCTTACCTGCTTGAGGAGGCAATGGAGGAGGAGGCACAGCCATACTCGGATGCATTTGAGGCGAAACAGGAGGCAAACTAGGACTTTGACCTAGCGGCGGAGGTGGCGCCATCATCATATTTATTGTTGGTCTATACTGATTGAATTGTTGTTGCTGAAAATAACTCCTCAATAATCTCGCTAGAAATATTTTTTGCTTAGGTACCTACCTGTGCTGTTTGTATGATAGAAGCCAAAAGGGCAGCTGGTACGTTGTTGACCGGCTTGACTTTGATACGAGGCGGGAAAATGTGAGGGGGTGGCGAACCGGGAGGCGGCGAAGGTGGCGGTTGACCGTCGTCTGAATCGCTTTCCACTATTGGTTGCTTTTTGATTACTTTGGCCTATAAGAATTCATTATAACTAAATAAAAATTAAATCCCAAGTAGCAACAGTTACCTTCTTTTTGCCCTTATGTTTGCCAAACAATGTCTTTTTAAATCGCTTTTCTTTGGGTAGGATGGGTGGAGGTGGCGAATACAATTCTTCGCCTGCTGATGGAGATGTACCTTCGCCCGGTCTTATGCCGTCAGCGAATTTGACTGCTTTATTAGATTTATCAAAATCTAATGAACTATAATATAAGAAAATTCCAGTGTAAGATACAATCATTCTGATTGGTTCAAGTAATGACATATTAAACAAATAATTATTCTTACCTTAATTTATTAACTAAAATGCTTTTTCCTTTGAAATCAGTATAATGGTTCATTAGATCTACTGGGTTATCTTGGGTAGGTTCTTGAAGCATTTGATCAATTTCCAAGTCTAGTGCCCTCTGAAAACATTGAATTAAACACAAGCCTTATCCACAATTCAATTATATACCTTTATCATTTTTTCGTTCTTTGCTTTCAGCTTAATTTGCCGCAACTTTTCTCGTTCCTTTCGTCTGCGTTCTTTTTCCTTTTTGCGTTTTTCCCGTTCAATACGTCTGTTTTCTCTTTCAGTCAGTCGTTCGGCCTCTTTTTGGAGCATCGCAGCCTCTGCTGATAGTTTATTAGAGTCCACCTCGTTTGAGGAGCACCAGAGATCTTCGTCGACTTTTTCGGTTTTTATTTGCACTATAGATTTCTTCTTGGTAAGATTGTCAATCTGAAATTTATAGGAAATATAGTCCAAAATATCTTTCATTGAGTACAGTATTTGAGTTATGATTTTTTTTTTTAGAAAAGACTAATAAGAGACATTCTAGCTGGTGATATTCAGAATGAAAATTTTTCCCGGCTCTTGATTTTCTTTGGAAACATTTCCCAGAAATTCAATAGTCAGTGATGATCAAAATTTGAAATTTTCAGCTGCTGATTTCTTCTGGTGAAGTTTTCTAATTATTCAAGCGCCGGTAATAATGAAAATTTGCCTGACTATTTGATATCATCCTACTTTATCTCTGTCTTATTCTTAACTGTCAAGTTTCTTATGTGGCTTTCTTTGTCCTACTTGCTTATTCTAGGCTTCTTATTGGCCAGATACAAAAATTACATACAAGCTCCTATTTTTGGGCATAGAAATTTTTCAAATTCTTGACATGGTCATAAACAATTGCCCATATTGTTGTTGAATTTCAAGCAAATTGAAATAAATTATATACCATTAGAAAGAGCATTAAATTCTCTATAAATCCGTGCAAAATTGAGTTCGAAAGCTCTGAAGGTTTTTGAGTTATTGAGCCTCAAAGTTGATTTTTAGTCTAAATTTTGTCAAAAACTTCAAATTCAATTTTCTCAAAAACTATAAACCTGAGAATATTGTAAAGTACAGGGCTTTTAGAGCTTGATGAGATTTACAAATGCTGAAAATTTCAATACAATTTGCTCAACGGTTACCGCGCAATTGAGGTTTGAATATTTTGAAATCAGAATTCAAAGGTGGCACCCTTATGAAAAATTCGATTTTTTTATTTTTCAGTTTTGCTCAATTTTGACTTTACCAATCGATAGAGCGGATCAAAATTAGTGGAAAACAACCCGCATATCGTTTCCAAATGGACATTTTTAGCTGAAAAAAAATTAAAGAGGAAATCCTATTTTTGACTCTGGAAAATTTTCAAAATCTTGACATGGTCATGAGCAATTTCCCAGATCTTTGTTAAATTTCAAGCCAATTGAAATAAATTATATATCATTAAAAAGAGCGATAAATTCTCTATAAATCCGTGCAAAATTGAGTTCAATTGCTCAAATAGTTTTTGAGCAATTGAGCCTCAAAGTTGATTTTTAGTCTAAATTTTGTCAAAGACTTCAAACTCAATTTTCTCAAAAACTATAAACCTGAGAATATTGTAAAGTACAGGGCTTTTAGAGCTTGATGAGATTTACAAATGCTGAAAATTTCAATACAATTTGCTCAACGGTTACCGCGCAATTGAGGTTTGAATATTTTGAAATCAGAATTCAAAGGTGGCACCCTTATGAAAAATTCGATTTTTTTATTTTTCAGTTTTGCTCAATTTTGACTTTACCAATCGATAGAGCGGATCAAAATTAGTGGAAAACAACCCGCATATCGTTTCCAAATGGACATTTTTAGCTGAAAAAAAATTAAAGAGGAAATCCTATTTTTGACTCTGGAAAATTTTCAAAATCTTGACATGGTCATAAGTAATTGCCCATATCTTTGTTAAATTTCAAGCCAATTGAAATAAATTATATATCATTAAAAAGAGCGATAAATTCTATATAAATCCGTGCATAATTGAGTTCAATTGCTCAAATAATTTTTGAGCAATTGAGCCTCAAAGTTGATTTTTAGTCTAAATTTTGTCAAAGACTTCAAACTCAATTTTCTCAAAAACTATAAACCTGAGAATATTGTAAAGTACAGGGCTTTTAGAGCTTGATGAGATTTACAAATGCTGAAAATTTCAATACAATTTGCTCAACGGTTACCGCGCAATTGAGGTTTGAATATTTTGAAATCAGAATTCAAAGGTGGCACCCTTATGAAAAATTCGATTTTTTTATTTTTCAGTTTTGCTCAATTTTGACTTTACCAATCGATAGAGCGGATCAAAATTAGTGGAAAACAACCCGCATATCGTTTCCAAATGGACATTTTTAGCTGAAAAAAAATTAAAGAGGAAATCCTATTTTTGACTCTGGAAAATTTTCAAAATCTTGACATGGTCATAAGTAATTGCCCATATCTTTGTTAAATTTCAAGCCAATTGAAATAAATAATATATCATTAAAAAGAGCGATAAATTCTCTATAAATCCGTGCAAAATTGAGTTCAATTGCTCAAATAGTTTTTGAGCAATTGAGCCTCAAAGTTGATTTTTAGTCTAAATTTTGTCAAAGACTTCAAACTCAATTTTCTCAAAAACTATAAACCTGAGAATATTGTAAAGTACAGGGCTTTTAGAGCTTGATGAGATTTACAAATGCTGAAAATTTCAATGCAATTTGCTCAACGGTTACCGCGCAATTGAGGTTTGAATATTTTGAAATCAGAATTCAAAGGTGGTACCCTTATGAAAAATTCGATTTTTTTATTTTTCAGTTTTGCTCAATTTTGACTTTACCAATCGATAGAGCGGATCAAAATTAGTGGAAAACAACCCGCATATCGTTTCCAAATGGACATTTTTAGCTGAAAAAAAATTAAAGAGGAAATCCTATTTTTGACTCTGGAAAATTTTCAAAATCTTGACATGGTCATAAGTAATTGCCCATATCTTTGTTAAATTTCAAGCCAATTGAAATAAATTATATATCATTAAAAAGAGCGATAAATTCTCTATAAATCCGTGCAAAATTGAGTTCAATTGCTCAAATAGTTTTTGAGCAATTGAGCCTCAAAGTTGATTTTTAGTCTAAATTTTGTCAAAGACTTCAAACTCAATTTTCTCAAAAACTATAAACCTGAGAATATTGTAAAGTACAGGGCTTTTAGAGCTTGATGAGATTTACAAATGCTGAAAATTTCAATGCAATTTGCTCAACGGTTACCGCGCAATTGAGGTTTGAATATTTTGAAATCAGAATTCAAAGGTGGTACCCTTATGAAAAATTCGATTTTTTTATTTTTCAGTTTTGCTCAATTTTGACTTTACCAATCGATAGAGCGGATCAAAATTAGTGGAAAACAACCCGCATATCGTTTCCAAATGGACATTTTTAGCTGAAAAAAAATTAAAGAGGAAATCCTATTTTTGACTCTGGAAAATTTTCAAAATCTTGACATGGTCATAAGTAATTGCCCATATCTTTGTTAAATTTCAAGCCAATTGAAATAAATTATATATCATTAAAAAGAGCGATAAATTCTATATAAATCCGTGCATAATTGAGTTCAATTGCTCAAATAATTTTTGAGCAATTGAGCCTCAAAGTTGATTTTTAGTCTAAATTTTGTCAAAGACTTCAAACTCAATTTTCTCAAAAACTATAAACCTGAGAATATTGTAAAGTACAGGGCTTTTAGAGCTTGATGAGATTTACAAATGCTGAAAATTTCAATACAATTTGCTCAACGGTTACCGCGCAATTGAGGTTTGAATATTTTGAAATCAGAATTCAAAGGTGGCACCCTTATGAAAAATTCGATTTTTTTATTTTTCAGTTTTGCTCAATTTTGACTTTACCAATCGATAGAGCGGATCAAAATTAGTGGAAAACAACCCGCATATCGTTTCCAAATGGACATTTTTAGCTGAAAAAAAATTAAAGAGGAAATCCTATTTTTGACTCTGGAAAATTTTCAAAATCTTGACATGGTCATAAGTAATTGCCCATATCTTTGTTAAATTTCAAGCCAATTGAAATAAATAATATATCATTAAAAAGAGCGATAAATTCTCTATAAATCCGTGCAAAATTGAGTTCAATTGCTCAAATAGTTTTTGAGCAATTGAGCCTCAAAGTTGATTTTTAGTCTAAATTTTGTCAAAGACTTCAAACTCAATTTTCTCAAAAACTATAAACCTGAGAATATTGTAAAGTACAGGGCTTTTAGAGCTTGATGAGATTTACAAATGCTGAAAATTTCAATGCAATTTGCTCAACGGTTACCGCGCAATTGAGGTTTGAATATTTTGAAATCAGAATTCAAAGGTGGTACCCTTATGAAAAATTCGATTTTTTTATTTTTCAGTTTTGCTCAATTTTGACTTTACCAATCGATAGAGCGGATCAAAATTAGTGGAAAACAACCCGCATATCGTTTCCAAATGGACATTTTTAGCTGAAAAAAAATTAAAGAGGAAATCCTATTTTTGACTCTGGAAAATTTTCAAAATCTTGACATGGTCATAAGTAATTGCCCATATCTTTGTTAAATTTCAAGCCAATTGAAATAAATTATATATCATTAAAAAGAGCGATAAATTCTCTATAAATCCGTGCAAAATTGAGTTCAATTGCTCAAATAGTTTTTGAGCAATTGAGCCTCAAAGTTGATTTTTAGTCTAAATTTTGTCAAAGACTTCAAACTCAATTTTCTCAAAAACTATAAACCTGAGAATATTGTAAAATACAGGTCTTTTAGAGCTTGATGAGAGTTACAAATGCTGAAAATTTCAATACAATTTGCTCAACGGTTACCGCGCAATTGAGGTTTGAATATTTTGAAATCAGAATTCAAAGGTGGTACCCTTATGAAAAATTCGATTTTTTTATTTTTCAGTTTTGCTCAATTTTGACTTTACCAATCGATAGAGCGGATCAAAATTAGTGGAAAACAACCCGCATATCGTTTCCAAATGGACATTTTTAGCTGAAAAAAAATTAAAGAGGAAATCCTATTTTTGACTCTGGAAAATTTTCAAAATCTTGACATGGTCATGAGCAATTTCCCAGATCTTTGTTAAATTTAAAGCCAATTGAAATAAATTATATATCATTAAAAAGAGCGATAAATTCTCTATAAATCCGTGCAAAATTGAGTTCAATTGCTCAAATAGTTTTTGAGCAATTGAGCCTCAAAGTTGATTTTTAGTCTAAATTTTGTCAAAGACTTCAAACTCAATTTTCTCAAAAACTATAAACCTGAGAATATTGTAAAATACAGGTCTTTTAGAGCTTGATGAGAGTTACAAATGCTGAAAATTTCAATACAATTTGCTCAACGGTTACCGCGCAATTGAGGTTTGAATATTTTGAAATCAGAATTCAAAGGTGGCACCCTTATGAAAAATTCGATTTTTTTATTTTTCAGTTTTGCTCAATTTTGACTTTACCAATCGATAGAGCGGATCAAAATTAGTGGAAAACAACCCGCATATCGTTTCCAAATGGACATTTTTAGCTGAAAAAAAATTAAAGAGGAAATCCTATTTTTGACTCTGGAAAATTTTCAAAATCTTGACATGGTCATGAGCAATTTCCCAGATCTTTGTTAAATTTCAAGCCAATTGAAATAAATTATATATCATTAAAAAGAGCGATAAATTCTCTATAAATCCGTGCAAAATTGAGTTCAATTGCTCAAATAGTTTTTGAGCAATTGAGCCTCAAAGTTGATTTTTAGTCTAAATTTTGTCAAAGACTTCAAACTCAATTTTCTCAAAAACTATAAACCTGAGAATATTGTAAAATACAGGTCTTTTAGAGCTTGATGAGAGTTACAAATGCTGAAAATTTCAATACAATTTGCTCAACGGTTACCGCGCAATTGAGGTTTGAATATTTTGAAATCAGAATTCAAAGGGGGTTCCCTTATGAAAAACTCGATTTTTTTATTTTTCAGTTTTGCTCAATTTTGACTTTACCAATCGATAGAGCGGGTTTAAATTAGTGGAAAACAACCCTGACATCATTTCCGAATGGCCATTTTTAGCTGAAAAAAAATTGAAAAGGAAATCCTATTTTTGGCTCTGGAAAATTTTCAAAATCTTGACATGGTCATGAGCAATTGCCCATATCTTGGTTGATTTTCAAGCAAATTGAAATAAATTATGTATCATTGGAAAAAGCAATAAATTCTCTATAAATTCATGCAAAATTGAGTTCAATAGTTTTTGAGTTATTGAGCCTTTAAGTTGACTTTTAGTCTAAATTTTGTCAAAAACTTCACACTCAATTTTCTCAAAAACTATAAACCTGCGATTATTGTAAATTACAGGTCTTTTAGAGCTTGATAAGAGTTACAAATGCTGAAAATTTCAATGCAATTTGCTCAACGGTTACCGAGCAATTGAGGTTTGAATATTTTGAAATCAGAATTCAAAGGGGGTACTCTTATGAAAAACTCGATTTTTTTATTTTTCAGTTTTGCTCAATTTTGACTTTACCTATCGAAAGAGTACATCGAAATTACTGGAAAACAACCCTGACATTATTTCCAAATGACCATTTTAAGCAGAAAAAAAAAAAAGAAAAAGATACCTAAAATATTTCAAGCAAAATATGTACATAATTTATAGATATTGAAAGTACAAGTACAAGTACATAACAAAAAAAGTAATTCGAATAAAATACTTAAAGTACTTATATGTATAGTCTTTGTAAAGTCAATTGAAACAAGGTAAAAATAAATTGCAACTGGTGGCTGACTAGTGGCAGTGCATTTCTTATGAAAGTATTCAATCACGAGTTGTAATTTACCTTTACCTCATTTCAACTGACTTTGAAAAGACTATACTTGAACTACTTGAAGTAGTTATTTATTTCAAATATTGACAAATCTTACCTCTACCTGTGGTGGATGAGCTTCTACCGGTACCATTTCCGTAGGTACAATTTCCAACATGTTACCAATTTGCCGTATTTGCGACCTCGGCGTAGAAGCAAACGGAGGATGCTACAAAAAATTTAAAATCAATTTTTCACGTACGAGAATTTCAATTCAAATACCTGAAACGCTTGCTGCTGAGGCAATTCCTGTTCAACTGGCACAATTTGCAACATGTTGCCAACCTGTTTATAATTACTTTGTTGCGGTTGAGGCCTTATAGGAACATTGGCGAAATTGTTGTATTGGTAAAACTGTTCTGGCGAAGGTAGTGGTTGCGCTTCCAAACCTAAAACTTGATTTATCCGAATGTCCAATGGGAGGCGTTGAGGCGAGTCTTCGTGTGGTTTTTGTCTTAATTGATCATCACTTATTGTAGAATCTGGTAGGTGCTTCAAAGGGGACAGTCTTCTAGGTTTTTTGTCTCGAGAAGGTGAATATTTGGATTTTTTCCTTGGCGATGGACTGCGACGCCTTCTAGGCGATAGACGGCGTCTGGATCTAGGCGAGCTGTGGCGTTTTATAGGGGATCTTTTGCGATCTTTGCGTCTCCTTATAGGAGAAATTTCACGTCTTCTTTTAGGAGAATTTTGCCTGGTTTGCTTTTTGGAAGTTAATTCTTTAGGTTTTTTTATGGATTCTTTTTTGGTACGCTTGGGTGAAGCCTCTCTATGTTTATTGTCGTTTTCCTCGATAAAAGTCTCAAATGTTTCAGTGTGGCCATCGAAATCTTCTAAGTTCAACTTTGATGAGCCCAACAGGTTTTTTATTGGAAGCATTATGGGCTTAAATGTTTCTTTCCACTCAGATTCAATATTATCGATATCTTTGTCCAAGGGAATATTAAAAACATCTTTGTCTGTGCAATGATTTATCATCACTGGAATATTTTTAGTAAAGTTCATCATTCCTTTATCGATATTGTTGGATTTTTGATTAATTGGAAAATCTTCATTGGCAAAAGTTATTTTTCTTTCATGTACATTTTTTTCAGCAATTGATAAATTCATAATGGCTTCATTAGTAGTATTATTTCTAATTTCAGGAACATTATCTATAGCAGAAGAAATTGTTATATCTTTTGCAACATTTACAACAGGCTCAATTGGAACAACAATCTTATTTTCTTCTGAAGTTGTAACAACATTTGAAACTGATAAATTCTCACTTGTAGCTACATTATCTACAGGAGGAATTATTGGTAAATTCTTATCAATAACAGGCATTGACAAATTCTTATCAATAACAGGCATAGACAAATTCACTATATCTTCATTATTCAAAGGGGTTGAAGTATTCACAATATCACCTTGACCCAAACTAGCATCTTGTGTAGGAATTAACATACTCTCCTGTTCGCCTAATGTTACAGTATTTGGTGTACTAGACCTAATTGTGATATTTTTGATCAATGGATTTTGAATTGTTTTCGGTGCCGGCACTGGTTTAATTTCCTCTAAACTGCTATCAGCAACTACAGTATCAGTAACAGCCTTCATGAATTCTTCATATTCGTCTTCTAAGACTTCAATTTTCTTTGTTGGAGTCGAAGTTTGAATATCCCAGCGGCCTTTTTTTGGAGTAGTTGGAATGTCGAAACAATGATTTTCAATGTCTCTTCTGCAATAAGTTTTTATGTTTAAGGGCATTTCTAAGTCTAAAGGTTTAGCAATGGGGGTTCCAATTAATTGGTCATCTATTATAACTTCTTCTTCAGATTCCCAAGAATTTTGTTCTTGTTTGATGTTTTCTAATACTTCATCCACTTCTTTTTTAGGATGTTTGTTGCTTTTTTCTTTGGAACAAGACCGCTCTTTGGAGTTTTTTCTTTTTTGTTCGCGCAAATATTCCTCGTTCATTTTCAACAGGTCAACTTTGATTTCTTCTTTTTTCTCGGTCGATGTTATTTCCTCACTGTCGTCTAAATTGAATTCCTCTAAACTAATGTTTAATTTTGTTTTGTGTTTGGTTTTACCTTTTAGTTGTCGTTCTGCGTCCAGGCGATCGGCAAAAAATTGAATGTCATCCTGGTAATCAGGATGGATTTCGAGTTTTGGGGGTTTTGCTTCAACTGGTTTGGTTTTCTTTTTTTTCTTTGAATCGTTTTTGGTTGCTGATTTTTTCTTTTGCTTACTACTGCTTTTGTCCTTGGAATTTTTCCTTGTTTTCTTTAGCTTACGTTTCTTGTCGTCATCTGATTGTGAAGTCTTTTTTTTTGTTTTTTTCTTTTTCTTAGATTTCACCTTCCTACTTACTTTGTTGGCTTTTACTTTTTTACGCTTTTTTCTCTTTTCAGTTGGCACTTCGTTATCAGTTTTAACTAAACTCTCAGACACTTTTTCAAGTTCATCTTTACTTTTTTGAACTTCTTCTTTATTATTTTTTGGTAATTCCTCTTTGCTTTTTTTAATTTCTTTTACTTCCTCAACCACACTATTAAATGATTGATTATGGGAATCGTCATCTGTAACTTCGCCTTCTTCTTTTTCTTCCTTAACTGGAGGTGTTTGAGAAACAACATTTTCTTCATCAGAATAGGTTTGTAGGAACGACAAGCCAACCGAATTTTCTAAAGATTTTGTTTCAATTTTGTCTATTTTGGGCCAAGTTTTGCTATACCATTTTCTTTCTGTGAGCGGTTTACAGTCAACTTGGCACTTGGAAGATTTCATTAGTTTTTCAATCATTTGTTGCCTGTTTTTCGGAATCATGGCGAATAATTGTTGCCTGGTTAAATGGCCCGGTTGCTTGTCACTGTAGATTATTGGAGGCTGCGTAGCGGTACATCTAATTGCGAAATATTAGTAATAATATTGAAATATGACAAAGTTTACCTTAAAAATGGAAAATCTATCCAAACAGCTAAATTTTTAGAATGGTATTTGAATGCTTCTATTGGTGGTGATGGAGTTTCAAAGTTGAAAAACTTTTGAAATCTGGAATTTATGTTTTCTTGAATACACTGAATACAAAATATATCAAAAACTTACTCAAACTTTGTTTCTTTTAGAGTTTTCGAAAGCTTAGATTTGAGATTTATATGCTTTTGTACATTCAAGCCTGACTCTTTGTACTCTGCCCAATTGTTAGGGTACTTGTTTTTACTGCTCTTTTCGACGCTTTTGGGCCTTTGAGGCGGCGACACCGTTCTCTGTCGCGAATTGTTGGTTTTTCTTATGTTGCGACATTTAATTTCGCGTTTTTTGAACGAGTTCAATTTGTCCTGGTCTGTGGATATTGAAAAATTGACAAATTATTATTGAAAAAACGAGTGAAAATTAATGGGAAAACTCAGAAACAAAGTTAAGAATTTCTTCCTGAGTCGATGTTAAAAGGAAACTAGGAAATTTCTCTTCTCTCATAACATTCTTTATTCATTTCAATCATTACAAATTTAACAAGAAGTATAAATCCTTAAGGGTAGGTTTATCTGAGTGCGTTTTTTCATGGAAACCGGCTCCAAATCTCAAAATAATTAGTGTATGGAGTTTGGGGGATCCCAAAAGACCATTAGGACACAAAATCTTAACATAAAAAAAAATTGAAATTCCATCGTTTTAGTAAGAAGGTAGCAGCTACCTTATGATTTAGATTTTGGAAAACTTTGAAAGGTTATAACTTCTTCTATTATAGGCAGAATGACAGAAAGCTGAAATTTTTAGCGATCCTTGTCCCAGTAGAGGACTACAATCCCATTTATCAATTTTTCTGAGTGCCTTTTTTCATAGAATCTGGCTCCAAATCTCAGAATAATTTAGTGTATGGAATTTGGGGGATCCCAAAAAACCATTAAGACACAAAATCTGCACACAAAAAAAATAAAAATGAAATTTCATAATTTTAATAAGAAGGTAGCTAGCTACCGAGAGGTTTTTCACCTAACAAAATTTGTACATTGATTAACAGTACTAACAGTACTAACTGAGATATTTCCATGTATTAACAGATATTTCTGTGTACCTAATAACAAGTTATTGACAACTATTTCCATGTTTTAACAAAATATTTCCACATATTACCAGGCATTTCCCTAGTATTATCACATATTACCAGGTATTGCCATGCTATTGACAGACTAAAATCAAATATTTGTTACACCAGAATTCTAGGTATTAACATATCCACAGGTATTTACATGTTAATAATGGGTATCAATGATGACATTAACATATATTGCCTAGATATCTACAAGTATTGACATACCGGGTGGGGCACGAAAAACTTTCCACCCAGGTTTTCTCAGGTGTTAGGTGTTTAATCAAAAATCGTTCAGACACATCAATTTTTGTTTTTTGGGGGACACATTTTATTGGTATTTTCACCCCCTACCTGTGAACCCCTAAGTAGGGGTGACAGGTACCCACAAAATTTCAAATGAAATGGGCGGTCGAGTGATACGTCATTTGATAGCTATTTTCATTAAGATTATATCCTCGAAGTTTCAAGTTGCTACTATTTACCCTGTCGAAATGGCGGCTTTTTAAAGTTAGAAAAAATCAATGGAAAAATTCTGTGTGGTTTTTACCTGTTACCTACGCATAGGTGTGACAGGTAAAAACTATACAGCTTAGATTATCGAAAAAAAGCATTTATTCTAACTTTGACATGCCGCCATTTCGGCAGGGTTAATAGTAGCAACTTAAAACTATGGGGATATAATCTCAATGAAAATAGCTACCAAATGACATATCACTCGACCCCTCTTTCCATTTGAAATTTTGGGGGTACCTGTTACCCCCACTTAGGGGTTCACAGGTAGGTGGTGAAAATACAAATGAAATGTGTCCCCCAAAAACCAAAAATTGAAGTGTCTGAGCGATTTTTGACTAAACACCTAACATCTGAGAAAATCTGGGTGGAAAGTTTTTTGTGCCCCACCCCACCCGGTATATTCTGTGTAATTTTCATAGTGTATAAACAAAAAAACACACATCACAAATGTCTGACTATTGCCGCCATATTGAATTTATGTTTTGACAGGTCGTTGCCATTTTGAAATGGTGACAGCGTTTCACAGTCTACTTTGATGTTTTTGAAACCTGAAGTTAGCTAATGGATAATTTTCACTTTTTTTGATGAATACATTAGATTTCCTCTAAATATTACCATAAACTTTTTTGTATATAAAATATCAAAACCCAATAAGGCAATCCAATCAATATGGCGGCCATAGTCAAACAATGAAATTGGTGGCAAGGATTCCGTTTACCTTCAGACAACTGTGACATTTTTTTTATCATAATACTGTTTTCTGTGGGGGATTTTTTAGTGCTTGGGAAAGATAATTTTTGTTTTTTCGTAGTGTATAAACAAATAACAAACACATATCAACATCACAGCCATATTGAATTTTTGTTTTGACAGCTCGTTGGATGTTGGATTACTTCATTTTTCAGTGAACTTCCAAAGCCTACTTGAAACGTGAAGTTAGCTATATGAGCTAGACAAAGATAGATATATCAATTATAAAAAAAATTTACTAAATTTTTGTTTTGTAGCATAGTATAATACTTTAATCCCATGTTGTGTAGGTCATGTTTTGGAACGATCTATTAATAATAAAATAATTTGTCAACCTCGCAATTTTGCTTTTAGGAGTTTGACCTCACATTCCCAAGTTTTTGCAGCACAATAATGAAAAATATGTAAGTGGCTTATTGAAGCAAAAGGTGGGTGAAATGAAAATTGGGCAAAGACAAACCATGGATAGTTGCAATGTTGCATTTTCAATTCATTTATCTGAGGTTAAGGCCGAAATTATGGAAATCTCATCACCCTTTTTAAGGTTAATTACCATAAAACTTACCAATATTAACTGGTGGCCCCTCATCTGTATCGACTTCCTCTAGGGACTTTGCCTCAACATTAGAAGACACCTCCTCAGGCTTTTCTGAATCCTCAATTACAACTAAAATTCAATAATTAAATTGCAACTACTAAAATGCCTCATTTACTACTTACTAATGTGACTAGTTTCCAATAATTGGGGCGTCGATGTTCCACTCGTGCTACCTTCAGACCTGTAATCCAACGTATCGTTCGATTTTGTAGGGCTTTGCACGTATTCGCATAGGGCTCCCGTTAGGGCAGAACTATCCCTATCCGGCTTCCAAAAGTTCATTATTGCGGTGGTAAAATACACCTTAATTTATAGATTTTTAGTCACATAATTTTGATTTATTTATTTAAGAGAATAGAAATGTTTATTTTTGTGTAATGTGTGTGTGTGTTAAAACTAATCACACAGACACTGCTATTTTTGTTTTTTTAAAACCCTTGCGGTACTGTCAGTTTGACGTTTTCTATTTTAAGTCAATGAAATGAGGTTGGCAACACTGTTAAAGCAATCTGACAGATCCAAATGTCACGACGCTGATCCGATAAGTTTCTTTTCGCTAAAATAAAGGGCAAGTTTTCCTCCTCGTGCCGAAAAATGGCCAAGAAAAAAACAGACGATAAGAGCGACGAAAGCTCGAAACTCAACGACAGCGATAGCGGCTCGGAAGAACCGAATTTCAGTGATCCCGAAGACTATGTGGACGATATCTCAGATTCTGGTAAGCGGGCCACAAAAATATCTAGTGTTTAGGAGGTTAGGTTTTCAATATCGATAATTTCTAACTATAGTAAGTACTCAAATAACGGTCTAAACTTTTTAACAAATACGTTAATAAATGGCACGTTTTGCTTTTAAAATCTAGACCAACATATGCCAATTTGCAGTTTGTAAATTTGAGGTTAGTAGGGATGGCATTCATGGCAAAGAAAATGTATGTATCGATATATGGTATCGAACGATATATCGATACGATTGATATGTGTACCCCATAAACCGAGAGGTAAACCACCTTGGAATTACAATTATTGGTGTACGAGTTCAATAACTCATTAATTTTTAATTCAGAATAACTCATTAGTTCAAAAACCCACTTATTTTCAGGTCAACACATTTTTACAGTTTTTTGACATGCAACTTTGATTTGGAGTTTCAAATTAACTTTTCCATATGAAAAAAACTTTGATTCATTATTCCTGAGAGTTTCAAGGCACTGTGATTATTGGAAGTATTTTGCACAAGTGCTTTTTGCAGATTTTAATCATTTTTACATGCATTGACGTGAGAAAAAGCTTCTAAATTTAGTTTGGAGCTTCAAATTAACTTTTCCACAAAGAGGAAACTTCAATTTATAAATCCTGAAAGTTTCAAGTCACTGTGATCATTAGAAGTATTTTGTCTTGAAGTTAATGGACAAATAATACAGTAGTGTCGCGATAATCCGGATCAATTAAAACCAGACCAATCCGGATTATCAAATTATTCGGATTACTAAGGCATTTTACAGTTCGCTTTTTAAACTATTTTGAAAAAATAACATGCTGTATTTAAGCAAAAAAAGCTTTATATTTATTTGAAAAACAAGACAAACGAAAAAAATACTTCTAGATAGAGTGCGAAATATGTAAGTATGAAAATATTAGTCAATATTGTTCCAACTTTCGTTTACATTATTTTCACCATTTGAATTTTGTCCGCCTTTTTCTACATTCTTTTGCACCACTTGGAAGAAGTTGTGTCATTTTCTTTGAAAAAGCCCTTACAGTCAGGAAGGACGCTGCATATTGAATGATGCGTGTAGACAAGACAATGTAGACATGTAAAATAGTTATTTTCCTAACAAGTGCGCAAAGTGGGGTAAATGGCAGATATCGATTGTCAAGGCATTCCTTTTTAAGTAATGTTTTGTATTATGTAAAGAGTAGCATGATTTCAAATCGCGTCCTCACACTCTCTGACTCCGGTGCCAAATGTGTGCAGGGCAACATTGTCAGGCTGTCAAATAGTGTCAAGTTGTCAAATAGTGAAGTACTTACGTGTGTAGAACTTAATGTTCCAATTACCCCTGTGGGTCTTGTAGATGGTATTGATCATGTTTTTTCATCTACTGGCGGTGAAAATGTGCCCAACAACCTAGCAATAAATATCTCGCAAAAATCTGATAGCTTGCCTTTTTTATGTCCCCCTTCAATAATAATAGAAGAAGGGTAGATTCAAATTCAAATTCTGTGTCAATACTTACCTTGAACATCCAATCTGTTCGCAATAAAATCAAAGAGTTTGAGGTTTTCTTGGAAAACTGCAACAGACCAGACTTAATCTTGCTCACAGAACATTGGTTAAAAAACTGGGAGCCTTTTCACTTGCCAAATTATTATATTGTCTCAAACTACTGTAGAGACTCCTCCAATGGGTATGGAGGTACAATTATTTTAATGAAAAAATCATTCTCTTTAAACTTCAATATGGAGGAGGTTGACAAGTATGACTTCTTGCGTGTGGAAAAAGAATTCGAATTTTCGATTGCATTTAACAGAAGACACAATTTGTATTTAATTTGTATATATAGACCTCCAAGAACAAATGCTACAGGTTTTTTAGTGAACTTAGAAACCATTTTATTGGATTTACCGGTTAATTGTAAGGTCATTTTGTCAGGAGATCTAAATATTAACTTTATTGACAACCAATCACCAGCTACTCTGGCATTAAAGGACCTACTGTGCTCTTATGGTTTGTCCATGCATGTTGACTCTCCTACCAGGGTAGCTGAAGATTCTGCTACTGTTATTGACTATTTTTGTACTAACTTATCCGAGAACGGGGTTAACTGTGAAATGGTTTCCACCCCTGGACTGTCAGACCATGAGGCATTGTTAGCCAACTTCTCTCTACTCTGCACAAAACAAAAAATACCCCAAAGATATGGGAGGGTTTTTTCAAGTCGGAATTTTGAAAGATTTAATACTTGTTCTTCCTTGGTGGACTGGGAGTGTGTGCTTGCTTCAGAAAAACCTCTGGAATTGTTCCATACACTGTTGCACAATACGTTTGCCAAGAGCTTTCCAGTGTGCAATATGAGAGCAAAAAAGCCCAAAAAAAACTGGATTACGAAAGGCATTAAGACTTCCTCAAGAAATCTTAGATCTTTACATTTCATCAAAAAGTTTGCCGATAGTCAGTATTTTATAAATTATTGTAATGAATATCGGAAAATTTATAGGAAAGTTATCGGATCAGCAAAATTACAATACTATCAAAATAGAATCTCTAATGCAAAAAACCCTTCAAAAGAGGCATGGTCCATTGTGAACGACCTAAGGGGCAAGCATAGCCATGCAGAAAAGTCAGCTGATATTCAGCCAAACATTCTAAATGAATTCTACTGTTCAATTGCGAAAAAAATTTCAGACAAGATAGAACCCGCCTTAGATCCCCTCAGTTATCTTAGCCATTCACACATCGATGAAACATTCACTTTAACAGAAACAACTGTAGAGGAACTTAAAATCATAATCAGAGACATAAAAAAATAAAAACTCTGCTGGAATAGACGAGATGTCTGTCAAAATCTTTCAAAACTTAAATGATAATATTCTCTATGTGCTGTCACAGGCCATCAACAAATGTTTTGAGGTTGGTGAATTCCCCGACTCACTTAAGGTTGCCTTGGTGGTCCCCATACATAAAGGTGGCTCCTTCAAGGACCCAGCTAACTTTAGACCCATTTCACTTTTAAATACCCTGTCAAAAATAGTGGAGAAGGTGGTGAAGAATAGACTGACTGTGTTTTTATCACGTAACAATATAATTAGCGATTGTCAATTTGGATTTCAGTCATCTAAAAGTACTAGTGATGCTGTATTCTGTTTCCTGGAGCAATTGTATTTGAAACTGAACGATAGAGAGGTTGCAGCTGCGGTTTTCTGCGATCTCTCTAAAGCGTTCGATTGCGTTAGACATGACATACTCTTGAATAAAATGTATATTTATGGAATTCGGGACACTTCATTGAAATTCTTTACCTCATATTTATCAAAAAGGACCCAAATGGTTAATAACAGGAGTTCCATATCATCAGCCTTAGCAATTGACACAGGAGTTCCACAAGGTTCTGTCCTGGGACCTATTTTGTTTTTGATGTATGTTAATGACCTTTTTGAATTACCACTTGAGTGTATGTTCACTGGTTTTGCTGACGATATTACGCCCCTTTGGCACCATAAGGACCCACTGCTCTTGAAAGAGATTGTTTCTAATGACCTCCATCAAATAAAAGCATGGTGTGATTCAAATTTTCTAAGTTTTAATATTGAAAAAACCAAAGTTCTCAGTTTTAAATTTACATTTGATAATCTTCAACTTGGAAATCAGTCAATCGGTCTCAGTCAGGATACTAAATTTCTTGGAATTAATATTGACTGCAATTTAAAATTTTTCCAGCATATAATCAACTTAAATAAAAAAATTGCAGCGGGAGGCTATGCTGTACGCCAAACGTGCTATGAATTGGGTCAGTCTATGGCTAAGGCCACTTATTTTGCTCTTGTTGAGTCCCACTTGCGCTATGGAATTGCTTTTTGGGGGAACTGCAGTAAGTGTTTGTTTCAATCAGTGTTTACTCTTCAGAAACGTTCTGTTAGGTATATTTTTGGAGCAGGTCTCAGAGATCACTGCCGAGAATTATTTAGGAGGGGGGGAATGTTAACCTTAGTGGATCTCTTTATCTTAGAGACTGTCTGTTTAGTTCACAAGAGGTACCAGGGTACTACACATGCGCACTCCTATCCAACAAGGAACTACAACCTGATACCTTTGCCTATACCAAGGTTCTCTCTAACTCAGGATTCTCTGATTTATAAAAGTATACAAATGTACAATAAACTACCATTAAATTTAAGAACGGATCAAAATTATAAATCTTTTAGAAATAAGGTTAAAAGTTTATTGGCAGATAAAGCATTTTATTCTCTTGACGAGTATTTTGATGACAACCTTTAACAGGATCTTGTGTCTGTATCGTGATGTAAGTGTCTAAAACTCAACTTTATGTTTTATGTTTTGTACTACTTGTAGGACAGGGTCTACCTGATTTAGTAATAGATTCACAATGCCATAATAACTGATGTGTTCTAAATTTTAAAAATGTTACAAATTTACTAATAAGTACTGAATTTTTCTTTTATTGTTAGTCATTTTACCACTTGCTAGTGCCACTGCTGTAGTGTCTTTTTTACTTGTTATCTGTTCTTATATTTTATATTATTAAGGATGTTGCTTTGTCAATAGAATGTACTATAATTTTCTGACAATAAAGCATATTTGAAATTGAAAAATTGAAGTGTTACTTTTCCGCACGCAAACACAGTTATACGAACGACGCGAAGCGGAGTTCGGATAAGTGTTTGCGTGCGGAAAAGACACTTTGCGCACGTGTTAGGAACAAAATTTTTCCTACGAGCTTCATATCGGGTAGGTAACAACAAAAATTAAAAAAAAAAAAAAACGATAATTTGTTCAATTATTTTCAATTACCTTGAAGCGAACTTATTCAGTCATCAAAAAATTACATAGGTAACAAAAACACAGAAAATTGAAATCCTCGTCAGAGCTGTTCATCTTAAAATGTTTAAATTTGATGTGAAAGAAGTTTGTAGATTCTTGCATGTAAATGCACTACACAAATCTGACAATGTGTCAAAGTTAATTATATTTAATGTT